CATTTTGTTAAGGTTCATAGCAATCCGTCCACATTGTACATTTGCAAGTATAACCATAACCTATACTTTATTTTGTACTGTACCCTCCGTCATTTTCAGTATGTAAAAATGATACGAAAGTAAGAACACATTGCTATCTGGTTATTACCGTGAAGAACGAATAGGCGAACGCTTTTAACGTACCAAACATAACCTCACTCTTGTTAAAAACGGACCAACGGAAACGTAAATGTTCATCTTCAACCAACTTTTCCGTCGTAAACGGACGACGTACGATTTAAAAATTTTCTGTCTTCTGATTAGCTAACGAACAAACGGAAACGTATGAACGGAGAGCTATGAACTTACCTTAATATTAATTATTTTGGCAGCTCCCGTTGGTGACATTAAAAATGAACTAATATTACACATTACCGATACGTCGATCTCTTTCTTTCAGGGCCAATTCACATATACAGGGTGGTGACTTGCGTCGCGCATCATAGGGATTTCAATGTAAAATTCATAACATGCCATTATTGGCTCCCCAAATTATTTTAGAGCAAAAATGTATTAAGGTTTTTTATAGACAAAAATTTTTTACGTTAATCAACCGCGTTAGTTTCCAATTTTTTACATAATGAAGACAGAAAATTGGAAAAATAAAACCTGCATCTTTTTCAATAATCTGTGATGCCATGGAATTTTATAATACAAAAACTACAATATCCGTCATGCCATGGAATGTCTGCTATAAAACAAATCAAATTCTATCAAAAAGTATTATATTTAGAACAGCGAATTCAACATAAAGAAAGACCAAATTACTAAAAACGGTTTGCTAATACAACAATTGACAGTAAATGTTCGAATAAGTCACCATTAACTGCAAGACAGTAACCAAGTCGATCATAAAATCCAGCTGCTAATTGACAACTTGACATCTTTTTGTTTTAGAAAATTTCATGGCATCGCAGATTATTCAAAAAGATGCGGGTTTTATTTTCTCAATTTTCCGTCTTTACTATGTAAAAAATTGAAAACTAATACGGTTTATTGACGTAAAAAATTTTTGTCTACAAAAAACCTTCATACATTTTTGCTCTAAAATAATTTGGGGAGCCAATAATCGCATGTTATGAATTTTACATTGAAATCCCTATGATGCGTGACGCAAGTCACCACCCTGTATATTATATATGCCAATTCAAGTCACTAGTACTTCATACCTTAGTTATACATTAAAATTTTCTCTTTCCTTCTCTAAGGATTGTTCTCTCCAAAACTCTACGAGTAAAAATAAGAAGAGAGAATATAACGGTGGTGGGAAATAGCATAACACGCGGTCGTCAAAATATAACTTCCTTTGCGCTGGTCAGTTATGTCGACTTGACTTATCATAAAACAGAAGAGACGGTGTCAGTTTTGTTTTATTACACGGCTGACAATAATGACGCGTTTCTCCCCACTCTTCTCGCACTTTTATAACTTCCTTTTTGTCCATTTCCGACCCCTTTTAATGCAAGGTTCTCTCTTTTTATTTTTACTCGTAGCCAAAGCTAAACAAGATCCTGCTTAAATTTGAAAAATGGCACGTGATCAAACATCTACGGCATGACTCCCTCGTTAGTTGTAACCAACGCTTTGACCTGAAGCACAGTAGGGAAGGAATGTAAAATAAAACACTCAAATTGTGAAAAGTTTGTTTAATAATGATCGCAATTATTAAGATTGTGAAAGCTCGGAAATTTTAAGTTCAAATAAATTACATGCAAAAATAAACTTTGAAAATGGTAGTTCGCCGAATAAAAATAGAAATATGCTGGGAAAAAAGAACTTACCAATAAAAAACCAGCCGTCAAATTAATATCAAATTGTGTTGTAAAATGAATTGTTTGTAATGATGTGAATGCGTAACATAAAATTATAACCTCACAAAAAGTAGCAGGTAAACTTCAAGAGGTAACATATAGGTTAAAAACAAGTTTTGCGAATTATGGGTCAGGTAAGCAGGTACCAAGATTCTAAAAAAGGGTGACACATACACGAACTTATAAATTAATTTATAAGTTCGTGCATACACAAGATGTGACTCATCTTTTGTGCAATAAAGTCCTTTTGTTAAAAGCAAGATGGAATATTACATCATGGCCTTGTAGGCAAATTTAACTAAAAACAAGATACCTATGTGGAAATTATTGATTCGCCACTCATTTATCGCACATAGATTCTAAACTGAAGAGCTTTGATTAGCGTAATCCCGCTCCTGCAAGATAGGTAACCCGCCCCTGGTTTCGGGGTTTCGAGCCTACAGTTGAATGTCGAAGACAATCACGGGATTATGTGTCGTAACTCAATTTTGACTACAGTTTTTACCACCCCCGTGACTGCTTCATTCACGGAGAAAATGTTTAGTTACAACCAACAAGTCAGTACATACATCAAACGAATCGGTAATTTCCACATATTAAAATAAAATGATCTAAACTTATGTGAATGTTACTTCAGGGACAAATCCAAGTAATCAACATCAATAAACATAAATTAAACAAGCATTACACCAAAAACGTAAACAATTACAAACAATAGCATATGTGATTCTGCATTGCAGTTAAACCAAGTACATTTCAAAAACAAAGATTGAAACACCCAAAAAATATAAAATGAGGCATACAAAACACAAATACGATATAAAGAAATGCAAAAATTACCACCTGCATTAAATAACACAAAATAACAACAAACATTTATGGAGCGGGCGCGTTCACGATCGCCATTCAAGACCAGATGCCAAACGTAACCCCCGTTCGTGCTTTTTAAATAGTGCAGGCAGCTTTTTCCCACCTAGAAATTGTATGGTTGCCAACTCTCAAAAATGTATGTATCGTCGTAAGTTGTATATACAGGGTGGAACCTCTCACATCTTTAGAAAAACACAGATTGTAGACCGGGATCAGGTCTTCTGTGACCGGCAATCTTTCCTGGCGAGAGGTTTAGTAAAGAGAGTTTATTTGCGCAGCATGCGCATGCGCTAATCAATCTTCGAAATTTATCTTGGCCAAAAAGAAGAATGAACTAAATATATTGAAAACTGTAGGAGTAGTTAAGGCCTTGGACGGACGTACAGAGAAAGTCACTGCAATCGATAGCGCGCACATAACTTCGATGGAAAATGCGCTAAAATTGTCAAAGTGCGTCCATTATGGCTAATTCTGTACGTGCAGCAATAAAGGTCACATTTTTGTGCAGAAGGCGTATGATAATGGTTTTCAACCATTCTTCCATATGTTTTGAGGAGATTGGTTGCCGGAAGACTGGCCCCGGTAAGTGCACCCCACGTAATTTCGCCCCCGAAAGGCATAACCTGTGTCAAATGGTTGCGTTTCCTTTTCTCATTACACGTCCAAGCAATCAGTAATAAGGGGATTACATCGGTCGATATTTGTCGCACATATCAAAGCCGCACGGCAAAAATCGATCGTTTAAATGTCAATTCAGCTAGGCCGCAAGTGTTTAATATAAGGTTCAGTTCTTCGCGCCATTCCGCATGGGTGTGACGTAGAAGGGTGAGTATTTGCTCAGAGGTCATCAGTTAGGTCTCTACCTTTAAATTTACGAGTCAGTTACTTTATGTTTATTGCACTAGCATTATAATTAAGTATACAGGGTGATTTTTTAAAGATGGGCCATACGACATTGTAAAGACGTTGAGGTATTTAAAATGAGCCATAGGGAAATTTACATTGCATCAATTGTTTCAGTCATAGCTTCCTTGCGAATCATCTACCACAGTACCGTAGAAATTGTTTCTAAATCAACAAATTTATTCAAATCATATATAAACGTATAAGGTTACAAACGGTGCTCGAATTGTTTTCCACCGACAACCAAACAATACCCGATACTCGGCAAAGAATAGCTCGCATTACCCACTCAGCTACTGGGACCACTCTGTACAAATTGTACTACATGAACACTGAACACCTTTTCGAGCGGCAGAATAAATGTTCGAGAACTGTCAGTGAAATAAACTAAGCGCAAGGAAAAGATTTGAGAACAAATTGCGCAATGTAAATTTCCCTATGGCCCATTTTAAATAACTCAACGCCTTTACATAGCGTTATGCTAGGTGTGGACTTTATATGGCCCATCTTTAAAAAAAACACTCTGTATCTGCATTCCCGGTAAATGAGCCTTCGGCAGATTCGCCTTTAAAAAGTTTATTTATTTATGACTTCAAGGGGAGAGAGGTGTGGGTAGTTCCCTTACGAGAGATCTGGCGTAGCAATGTAGCATTGATGGTGTTGATGTTACTTTTGGGAAGGGCGAGTCTTCAGCAGAATTTTCCGGGGCCGAGTTTTCTGGCGGCGAATATTCCGGTGGGGAGGGGGAGGCGAATTTACCGCACACAGTAAATCTAACGATGTCTTTTCAATCATTTGAAGTTTTTTATTGTTTTGTAATAAATCTGTCCTAGACCAGAGGGCAGAGAAGCTAAATCCAATCGTTTGGATTGGGTTTGTATGTTCCAGGATAGAATAGACAACTAAACCTATTACGTATGTATGTAGCTTCTGGGACATATCAGTGCAATTGTACTATCTGATGTGTAGGTAGGTGTAGGTAATCCTATAATTAAATTCTCATTAGTATTCCTTTAATGTTAAACGATGACATCATTGACTGAATTAGTGATGCTATCCGTTACGATCAGGCGAGCAACCGTCACCTAGGCAAATCCCAACTTGAACAAAAAAAATGCCATCATTTCTGGCAAAATGCATGCAAAAAATTGGAAAATGTGCCGGAATTTAACAAATGCACGGCACGATGGTAGAATGTGACACCTGTTGTCGCTTTAACGAACGAAACTGTTACTGGAGATTCAAACCGTTTAACATTCCAAATTTAATAAGATTTCTCCCTAAATTCTGTTTATAATTGTTTAAAAATGACGTGTTTGTTTATTTTTCAAAGTATGCGATTTTTAAATACGAGAGTTCGTACTTAGATACCAGTTTTCTGATAAGATTCGTCATAGATGTCGCGCAATCGTAGGTGAGCGACGCCTCAATCGGAAATTACAACGATATTGGTATTTGAGAACAACCAACCAATTCGGTATAATAGTTCTACCGGGCGGTCAGTGACTCAACTACGTGTAATGGTGTGCATTCTTCACGCTCTTATATTTGTTGATGTTTTATGTTTATTACATGAATATTGTTTGTACAGGACCTAAATTGAATGGTAAGAAGTTGTGAAAAGCGTCAGTACGCTTGTTGAATGGCCGGCGCACTTTGTTTTGAAGTTTTTTTGATCACTTTACCGCTTACTTTGCAGGCGTTGGCCCTTGTTAACAATGTAGGTGCATGACATATGCCAGTGAATCTTCTGGCCGCCCTTTCCTAGGATTCAAAACAAATGCGCTGAACTGCCTAGGCCGCTTTTCTTAGTGTTGTGAATTTTTTTTTCAGTGCTATTGTGATTCGGCGCAATGTTCAAATTTATAAGGGCGAAAGGACCGCAGGCGACAGCCGAAAGACAGAAGCTGCAGAAGGAGTTGTTTTCGTATAGACGAGTAAGTTAATTGGAGGTATTAGAATTAGGTGTTGCCGATCATATCTAAGTATCACTAAACGTATATACCATTATCTTATCTAAGTAAATACGTTTTATAGCTTTCCGCCTGTTTTTTCACACCGAATGAATCAGTTAGGAAAATGTTGGAAAGTACCGTTTAAAAAAAAATGGTCTTGACACTTTTAAATATTTTCGTAATTGCCCTATTTACACGTAGATACCTAAAGTGGCTGTGCAAATAAATCGTCACTTATAAAAATAAATCTAAGGATCATTAATAGGGCTTTTAACGTCGACCTTGATTTATCCATTAGGACCGTTTAAGTCTATATTTATTGATTGGGAGAATAAATTGGTTTAAGTTAAAGATTTCGCAACTGAAAGCGTAGAAGGGCCAAAGGAAACACTTCATTACAAGTTGCAACTCTGACATTCACCTTCACGTTTTAAAAAGGTCCTTATAGTTCAGTAGGTACACACATACATTTTTTTTTTCATTATTTAGGAGTTACTTATTTTTGTGATTCAGGTAGGTATATCGGTAAATTAAAATTCTTTCTATTGGATGGAATGTATTAATATAAATCTATATATTGTGCACAAACCATGAGCATGAATGGCAAATTTTGTAGCACTCCAATATAGCAGTTTTGAAGTGACTCATCAAGAACTTTCCAACGAGCAGTAGTAGGATATCTTCCTGACTTTGTTATTCGTGCTTTAAGCTTTGACCTCATCAATAGATACATTTAGTGCTAGGCGCGAATATTTCCAGGCGAATTTTGCCATATTTTCGGAAATATTCGGGAATACTTGCATTGTCATGAATAAAATTCACATATTGGAAATTTAAGTAACTATTTCCTATAAATTCTCGCGCACCTTACGAGAACATTCTTCCAAAATTTCCAGTTTATGCTAGTTTTTAAGCTGCCAACCCCCGATTTCATGAGGTTACTATAACCATGTGATCCGCATCATGGAATTTTTTGCATTTTCTTGAATGTTTTTGGTTTTGGTGAAGTTTTTGAATCTTTATTCTTATTTCTTCTTAGTTTTCTTTAATTTGTCAGAATTTTTATAGTTTTATTTTGAAGATGCAGTTTTTGGTATGGCATATGAACAGACTAAAAAGTTCTTTTCTGTGTATGTTAAATAAACAATTTAAATTTAAAGCTATTGTTTGTATTGTTTTTAAAAAACATAACTATTAAACGATTTCTTGGTGTACCTATTGTAATTATATAATATAGAATAGTAGGTACAGTGGATCTCAATCGGTGGGTCGCGACCCCCCAGGGGGTACGTGTCCGAGGGGGTCGCGAAATTTAGGGGAAAAATTAAAGCAATTATTGTTACATAAAACAACTAACTGTAAAATTGATGTGTAACAATGTTTATTAATACGTTTAACGTGGATGTTACGATTTAAAAAATGATAACTATTGTAGATGTTTTTATTATGTACTTAAAAAAATAATTCATAGGGGGTCGGCAAAATATTCAACCTAAAAAGGGACTCGCAGTGTCTAAAAAATTGAGCCAGGGCCACAGCTAACTCGACCATTTTAAAAATTTTACTTTCATTTACCTAATTACCGAAAATTTTTATTTTTTCCCTCTATAACGCTCACAGATACGAAGAAATTACTAAAGACTAAATAGTTCTTAAATAATTCGTATTTTACAATCTACCTCTGGCGCACCGAAAAAAAGTTCAGGGATCAGGAGTAGGAAATAGACTATGACCCCTGAAAAACAAACCCTGATCCTGTATATTGTCACTACCCTTGACATGACCAAAGATGTACACCCTTCAGCATAACTTATATTTCAAAATTGAGCAAAATACCTCGAAAATTTTGGAAATACTTACAAAAACTTGTAATTTTAACACCCTGTAGGTCGGTAATGAAGCCTTGCAGACCTATGCTTATATAAACTTTTAGTGATAAAATAAGCCAAAGTTAGCCACTTCCGTATTTACCTTTTTCAATGGATTCAATTCAAGAAGATTTTAAAGAAATTCAAAATGCAAAAATTGCACGTGCGAATTTTTTTATATTTTTTTGAATCACTAGAACTTTTTTAATCTTAATTTCTTTTAATCTTTTTGAATCTTTTTTGATTTTTTTAAATCATCCTTGCTGTGGTATGAAAAAAGAATTTAGCATACTGTCTGTTTAGACTAAAATATACAGGGCGTTCTATTAAAAAAATTGAGGTTAGATTCGATCTTTAGATTTTTTTACTTGACTCCGTATATTTATTTTGAAAACTGTAGATTCTGCAACAATGCTAATTAAGTGCCCTATTCCCGAATTAAATGCTCCTTTTTTTTAAATTATTACATGTTTTTCTAGGTTCATATCAACTCCTCTGCTCCTTTTTTTTAAATTATTGCTTGTTCTGCCAGGTTCATATGAACTCAGCAGAGCACTACCTTAAAAACCCAAGAAAATGCACCTAATTATAGTAGTTCACTTTTCATTTTCTTGGTTTTTTGAGGTAGTGCTCTGATGAGTTCATATGCACCTGGCAGAACATGTAATAATTTAAAAAAAGGAACATTTAATTCGGGAATAGGGCACTTAATTAGCACCTAATTATGCAATATGTTTGATTGTGTTCTGTTGACCTTGCTCTGCTAGGTTCATGGACATCCAGATGTGGATAAAAAATCCCTATATTCAGCTTGTATCCAAATTTTGATTTATGCTTTTAAGATTTGTTGCAATATATGGCTTAAAAATGTTGCTGAATCCCAAAACACGTGTCGTTTTATTTCCCCACCCCGTATATATCGCGACGAAAATTCTGGAAAGTACCGGGCGATATCTGTGAAAAAGAAATGCATCTTCAAAGAGGCTTTCAAACGTCTTGGAAGCTTCGGATTGCGTCCACTAGATGCTGCACGTGTAACATAATCATAATTAATAAATTAATTCCAATGTTTAATATAACTTTGCGGGCCGTATGAAATATTGACTATAAATTACGTTATCGGGCCCTGACAAAACTTATCGACGCCGGCCCGTGGACGGTTGCCCATGCCTGCAGTCTATAGAGACAGAGAAAATAATTTATATACAGGGTGGCCAAATAAGAATGCGAGGTACTGTATCTGGGAACCTGTCCATCGTAGAGGCTTGCGATAAAAAAATTTATTACTAAAACGGCCACGAGAAAAACCTGGAAAATATTTTTAAGTTTCTGCATTGGCTGCTAGGGGGCGTAACTGCAATCTGGAATCTACAAAAGTGACGTTTCTGTGAATTCCGCTATATTAACCTACACAAAAAAATTTCCGGTCTTTGAAGTTGACGATAATCTGAACCTTTTTTGTTTGACAATTTTTCCCGTATCTCTAAAAATGAAGTGGTGGGGAGTATTCAAAGGTTTCCGTAAAGAACACCCTGTATCTTCGAAACGACTGAGCCGATTTTAACAAACTCGGGTTAATTGAAAAGAGTTATTCTTCAGCTACAAATATGATAATGTTTGCAGTTTTGTTAGTTTCACATATCGCCGCTTGAGGGCTTTTTTTGACATTCCGACAGAAATGGTTAATTTTCTCAAAAAAATTAAATGCGTTGGTTTGATTTTTTTTCATGAAAAAGTAGCTAAATGATGCCTAAACAAGCTCGCGAAAACCGCATCTCGATATCTTGTTCCTAACCTAAAATTCAGGCCCAAGTTAATTTTATACCCTCAAAATTTTATTTTTTTAAGCTAATTTTTCCGGGATTATTTTTATTATATAATTTGTGGCCCTAAAGTGGATCGATTTAAAAAAGGAAGCTTTTAATGCCGCCGTAAATGCCCGAAATGCTGGCCATCACGATATACGAGTTTGTTTAAATTTTTTAGAGATACAGGAAAAATTGTCAAAGAAAAATTGTTCAGATTATCGCCAACTTCAAAGACCGGACATTTTTTTGTTAGGTTAATATAGCGGAATTCACAGAAACATCACTTTTTTAGATTCCAGATCGAAAATCTTAATGTATCTTAAATGTGTGTGTGATGAATCGGTGCGTGTTTGTTATCAACAATGCAAATCGGTCCACGGGTTAAAATTTAGTTAACCGATGACGTGATGCACAAACAAGTTTTAAATACCTTTGCCAATTTAGCGTATCGTACTATATTAATCATCCTCGTTATCATGACGCATCCAAAGCTCTCGTCATGCTATAGCACATGGCCTGTATGTTTTTATTTTAAAAAAATCAAGATAGAGCCAGCTTCCGGTATTTACGGAAGCGACGCCATCTTGAAATTATTGTCTTTAAATTCTCAAGGGTTGATTATGACTGTGAACCAAATTTCAAGTTTCTATTTCAACTGCCAGTTTAAAAACTTCTAACGAACGGGCGACGTGAATCTCCCTGTGTACAGGGTGTTTCAAAAAAATATTTTATAGTTTATTCACGTATAGGACGAATGAAAGGAAGTCAAAATGTTTTAATAAACATAGGTCGGCAAATTAAGAGAAGTAGAATTTGTATTGTCAATAATGAAAACGAGCTGAGACACAGAAGTTATTGACAACAACATTTGACCAAACCGCTACTCTGGAAATTTTTAGGTGGGTTTTTAAAAAATGATTCAAAAAAATCAACCACATAGCAACTCCCCTGCGATTTAAGGTTCAAAAATCCAAATGAAATTCTCAAACCACCCACTTTGTTGAAATTTTAATCATAGATAAAGACAAGCATATCGCATATTTAAAAATCAGATGTGCGCATGCGCAGACTGCCCAATGCCCACTTTCTTATTTATAGAGATATTTCTTTGAAATTTTGGCCACAGATGCCTCTAGTTAAGATCAGGTGTAGTCTGTTATAGGACCTTTCGGGAAGTACTGATCAATTCATGGACAATGCGCTAAAGTTATTCGACTTACGGCGAAACCTATTTTTTTATTTTTGAATTACTTGACAAATTAAATTTAACTGATAGTTGTACTTATTTTATAGACGTTGCAACATGGTTTCCCGAACAAGCCGACCGCTCTGGCGTGGGATCCCTCGTTGGGCCTGCTCGGCATCGGCACGGCGAGCGGCGCGATTAAGGTCTTCGGAAAGCCGGGCGTCGAATTCTACGGTCAGCATCAGAACTCGATACCGATCAGGCGACTCGTCTTTCTACCTAACGTAGGTAGAATCATTTCTTTATGCGATGACAATTCCCTTCATCTTTGGGAAGTAAATAAGAGCTCGCTCGTCGAGGTCAAGACGCAATCGCTGGAGGGAAAGCTGAAGACGATATCGGCGATATGCGTCGAGTCGGCCGGCAGGCATCTACTTCTCGGGACGGAAGGCGGAAATATTTATTTGCTCGATCTGCACACGTTTACGATGACGCCGGACATTATATATCAGGATATTGTTATGCAAAAGTAAGTAAAGTGGTACACTACCCTTGTGTGTAGTAGGGAGGGTAGCTATTGGTTTAAATGACAAAGTGAGGTTTTGAATATTCGCAAGGGAATTTGTTCCCAAAATATTGAAGGTAACTAAAAATTTTCAAAAAAAAAGGCAATTTTTTTGCTAAAGGTCTTGTCAACGTGTAAGACCTTATCACATCATTAAAGCTCTCTGCCAATGGGTAAGTTCACTCCTCTCTTCTTGCAGTGTTGCCCCTTTTACGCTTATAAAATTTAATTTGATTTCCTTTAGTTTAGTAGATACATTTATCTGACAGTGTTACATGACAAATTCAGCAAAGTGAACGGTAAAGTATACATTTATGAAGCAGATAATAAGAAATAATGGTGGGAAAAAGGTAACTGTTGTTTTGCACAACTTTGATTAATAAACTGGTTTTTCAATTTAATTCTTGATTCCAAAAAATAACGCAACGCAATGTTTTGCATCTTGGACCCAAACGCTTTTGTGGTGTGGTGTGAATACAAGCACGAGGGGTGAACCGCCGGTGGAAGTAGGTGTACACCCAAGTGGAATTATATTGGAAGTAGGTGGAAGTGTAAAGGAAGTAGGTGGAGGTAGATGGAAGTAGATGGAAGTAGATGGAAGTAGGTGGAAGTAGATGGAAGTTTGTTGGAAGTAGATGGAAGTTTTTGTGAACGTTAGATTCAACGTGTCATGCGCAAAGGCTTTTACAAGCGTTAAACGGGTGGAAGGAGTAGGAGATGAACACGTTTTGTATTTGTGATTTGTGTATTGTGTTGTCGTTGTGCTTTCGGAACCTAACCAAAGACGGATTTATTTTAACTTCATATTAATAACTACGGCAGGTGAGTTATTGTAATTAGACTAGAATCCGCAACGATACGTATTTGGTGATTTCATTATCTCGTTACCAACATTCGTGGAATTTTTTTATCTTATGGCGCGTCTTATGATTTGTTGTGCAGTGCAGTTAACCATAGCGGCGCGACATTACACGAACCTCCTCTTTTAACAGTAAACATCGCTACTCGCCATCTAAATATAGAAATTATAGAATTTTTTTTCCAATTTCTCAACATCATTTGGCATTTAATACGCTATCCATGATAATTGATAAGATTTCATTTAGGATCTAACGTCTTGTGTATTGTATTGTTATAGTAATTTTGGGAAAATGGCCGAAGAAGTTTCGAGTGGCGTCTCGGACGTAGACATTTTTACTGAAGCTTCACGGGCGCTTAAAATAAAAATACCTAACTGCGTAAGAAAAATGTTGACTGTAAATGATTACAACGACATAGGCTTATTGGCCGACATAAAGGACAAAAATTTGTCTGATATCGAAGCGTTTGCTCGGACTACATTGCATGAAATTATTGATGAATCCGAGTATGACCAATATTATGGCATTTTTAAAACTAAAGTAGACAAATTTCAATTTTTAAGCTCTCATCGCGATATAATTTTCAAACTGAAAGAGTATTGCAAGAGCAAACATCAGACAGTTCCCATAATCAATTCTACTAATACTACAAAACAAACTCTTCGACAAATTCAAACTCCATTTACACGAGTATTACAAAATTCTGGGGCGAATGAAATAAAATGTGCAGATACCAATCTTTCAGACGAGAATGTTCATATTTCAAAAACTTTGAAAGCGTGGCTGAAATGCAACCTTTCTGAATCTCAGCTTCATGCACACGAAGCAAAAATAAACGAATTAAAAGTTACATCAAAATTAGATTACGACAACAATTTAAAGGCATGTATTACATGTTTTACATGTGGAAAAGTCATAAATGTACAAAAAATTTCACGAAATCAAAACCAAAAACCAAGATGGGTGCTTGGAAATTTTCATAAACATATTTTAACTCATAAAGAGTTAACTACTACGGCCGAGACTACGCCAACAACTCCTGGTTGTAAAAATGTACCTAATTCTAACCAGCAGAATTGCTCAATGAAAAAAGCAACAGCATCATTGACAACGTATTTTAAACCTATACATAAGTCAACAGAGGTCACAATGGCAGCGTCCAGTTCAGGATATTCAACACCAAAAAAACTACAACAAAACAAAATTAACATTCTGCAAGATATTTCTGTCGGTGTTACTCTTCCCTCGTCATCTATAAAAGAAAAAATCATGGATGTTCTACACCAAAATTCAAATTGTGATGACTTAAATATCTCCGGCATAGAGTCACTAAACAAAAATAAAAATCGAGATAAGAGTACCGACTCGAACCAAAACGTTGCCATGATTTCGAAAGAGGTAGTTTCACAAACAAAAAATTGTGAAGATAATCAAATTGATCACAACAACATTCGAGACAAAACTACAAAATGGAGAACACCAAAATACCAAAGGAGTGAACGCAGAAGAAGAGCTCGTGAACAAATTATACCGAATCAACCATTAATTACTAATTATTATGCTGTTGTGGATGATGTCGTCAAGCTTATGCAAGAAAACGAAGCCCTAAAAAAGAAGTTACTAGAAAGCTGGTCGAGTCACTATCCGTCTTCAGTACCCTCGTCAGTATCAAACACAGAAATATTATTGAGGATTCTTATGGACACTTCCAAACAAAACTCCCAACGCCCTAAAAACCAAAACTCTTACAATACAACAGTTAAACAATTCGCAGTGTACATCTTTTTTATTGGAGGAAGATTGGTGTATGAGATGCTGCATGCAAATTTACAAAATACTCTCCCATCATTAACAACTTTATTTCGATTTATTAATAAAAGAACCAACAGGCCCCAGGAAGGATCTTTTCGTTTTAAAGAACTAAACACATTCTTGGAAGAGAGAAAGTTACCAAAGTATATTTGGATTGGAGAGGATGCCACAAGAATTACTGGCAAAATTGAATACGATTCAAAAACAAATAATCTAGTTGGATTTACGTTACCGCTCTATAATGGCATCCCTGAAGTCAATTCATTTGAGGCAAAGTCTGCCAAAGAAATATTTGATTATTTTTCGATAGAACAAACAGCCAATTACGCTTATGTTATAATGGCCCAGTCGCTAGCAGAAAATGCTCCATCGTTTTGTTTAAATATCTTTGGAACTAATAATAAATTCACAGCTGATGATATTTTACAAAGATGGAATGAAATGATAAAAATGGCGAGTACATTTGGAATAACAATTTTAGGATTTTCAGCAGATGGGGACAGTCGTCTACTAAAAGCCATGAAAATGAATACTCACCTACCCCCTATAAAAAATGATGAGGATGATTCTGATGTAGATAATTCGGAGTGGGAATCCGATAACAACGAGGATAACAATAATTATGGACATTCTTTTGCTAAAACCGAGGCTAAAACGAACGAGATCCAAGGAAAAAAAGTGTGGGATTGGTTTCAAATGGATTCGGCTTTTAAATATGAATGCTTTGTACAAGATACCGTTCATATAATAACCAAAATGAGAACAAGGTTGTTGAATTCGTCAATTATACTACCCTTAGGAAATTATGTTGCTTCTGCCGCACATCTCAAACTGTTAGTTCAAGATTACTCCAAAGACAAACATAAACTAACAATGTCTGATTTAAATGCTCAAGATAAAATGAACTTTGCGTCTGCCGAAAAAATGTGTTCTTCAGAAGTATTGCATCTTTTGGCAAATATTCCGGAGAGTAGAGGCACAGCAGCATTTTTAAAAATTATGAATTATATTATAGAGTCGTTTTTAGCTAAAGATACAGATGTAGAACGTCGAACTTATTGCATTTGGTACGCAGTATTCTTTCTTCGAATCTGGAAGTCATGGATAAGAAGAAAGAAGTCGCTCTACAACGAAAAAAACAACTATTTATCGTCAAACTGCTATATGTGCGTGGAATTAAACGCACATGCTTTAATAAAGCTACTAGAATTATTTATTATCAACAAAGACTTGAATAACAGCATGTTTCTACCATGGTTATACAGCAGCCAGATGTGTGAAAAAATATTTCGAGCCACGAGATCCCTCACTTCTACATATAGTACCGTTGTAAACTTTAGTATGCTGGATATCTTACATCGCTTAAACCGAATCGAAACTATTAACAACTTAACCCACGATCTAAGTGATACCGTTACTTTCCCAAGAGAAAAAAAACGAAAACTTTTAAACCCAGATTCAAACCAATTTCTGGCAGTTACTTCTGAAAAAGATTTTAAAAATAAAATAGAAGTCATTGTGAATTCTGCTTTGGAAGAAGCAATTTTAGATACAAAAAAACTGGGAATAAAAGTTAGGAAAGGAATCTGGAATAAAGTATGTCATTCGAGTAACAAAAAAAGAACAGTCCGAAACAAAATCCAGACGCGGATTTCGAAAGTTAAAAAATCTACAGTAGAAAATATGTGTATCACGAAGGGTGTAAATGTAGGATCTGATGAAGAAAGTGAGAAAGATGAAGATGAAATATATATCGACGATGAGCAAATGATACTCGATCAAGAAATAAATGAAGAGAACGTGGATCTTGATGGACTTGATGAAAAAAGTGTAATTAATGAAAATGGTACACCTGTAGATTTCGAGCTCGATTTCGAGGTAGATGTATTTGACATTTCACTGTTAAGAAATGCTGGGGAATCATTATTGTTAAGGGATTATAGTGATAAAGGCAAAAGAAGCAAAATGTCAATAAGAAGTGGAAGTGACTTTTATAGCAAGGGACCATTTGTACGCGTATTAATCAAAGATAAAATATCTGTTGTCAGAAAAAGTTCTTTATGCTGGATGTTAAGCACAGAAAAACAAAGAGTAAGTTCCGATCGATTAAGAAGATTTTTTTGTGATAGTCAGTCTGTGATAACGCAGAAGAATAGTATGATAGATTCCGTTGTCAGAGTTGAAAAATCTGAACGTTTACGAATTGGCGACTGGTGCTTGTTCTACAATAGCGGTGTCAAAAATACTAGAAGCAAAAACACTAACCTCGACAATAACCATAAGTCAAACCTTGATAATTATATCTTCGGTAGAATTCTTTTTTTCAAAGATGTCTCAAAGCGAACTTCGAAAACAAAGTTAACGTGGGTCCAATCGAATGCCGTCGGAATAAAATGTTTCTGTACCTGGTACAACGTTCAAAATAATGGAAAATTAACACATTCATCGTCATTTCGACATGAATTTTACGATATTACCTATTATAGATTTTCGTTACCAAATCCGTCTGTGATACCGAACGAAGAGACCGATACCATGGATCTAGTGCTTGAAGACAAAGTGTTAAGTGATCTACAAAAAAAAATCGACTGTTCTGGAAATGAAAGCAGTTCCAGTGCCAGTGCTATTGTGGAATGTGACAATTTTGCTATCGATCGTAACACAACATTTGTGGACTACAGCTCGAGCAGTAGTGACAGTAATCAAGATTTGGAATTGTGGGAAGTTGACGACTCTGTTGACGATGACAACGAGGACTGCAGTTCTTCGGAAGAGCTCCCATGCGTTGACATCGCACATTCTTGTGAGAAAAAGATAGACATTAAGGTTGAAAATTACTACGCGGTATTTTATGATGATTCATGGTACATCGGTCGAGTTATCGAAATCATAGACAACTCGAATAGTAGAGTAAAATTTTTAAAAGAAAATTTGCATCAATTTCTTTGGCCCAAACATGATGATATACAACAAGTTGAAAATAAATACATTTATCAAGGTCCCATAACTTTACTAGGCTCTGGGCCTTTTAGTTTACCTGAAACAGTAAGAGACCAAATTACTAATAATTTTAAAAATATCAAGAGAAAGTATAAGTAAAAGGTAGATTAGTAGAGAATGTGTTTTATATAAAACTCTTTTCATGTTTTGATGTTATTTAATATGAGGTACGTTTTTGTTATATAAGAATATTTCAGGATTTTGTTAAGTTCATTAGTATTATATTATATTTTACGTCGTATATTACCTATACTATTGTTATTATTTTGCAATATTTTGTCTTTTGTACAAATTTATAGTAATAAACTCTTAATTCTTTGAGAGGAATCATTTTATATTTTCAGTTGCGTATCATTATTACTGAATTACGAATACAAACACAAACAAATTGCTAAATACTGAAAAATTATTGAAAAAAATCAGAAAAATTTGGTGGAAGTAGGTGGAAGTAGATGGAAGTTTGATGGAAGTAGATGGAAGTTTGGTGGAAGTAGATGGAAGTTGGTAGAAGTAGATGGAAATTGGTGAAAGTAGATGGAAGTTTGTGGAAGTATGTGGAAGTTTAATGGAAGTTGATGGAAGTTTTTCCAAAAGTGGAAGTAGGTGTACACGATTTTTATCGGCGGTTTACCCCTCGTACAAGCATCACAATTCAATGATGCATTGAATCGAAAAAATGTTTACTTGCGTATTGTTACTGTTCATAATTGAAAAATAAATCTGGCCAATAGTTTTCCCTACGAAATGATGTTCTCTTTCAGCATAAACCAGTCACGTATTATAAATTTACTTATAATGGCAAATAGGTAGGTACCTACGTCAATAAACTCGTAAAAATCCTACCACACGCTGCGATGATACTGTTTTCGGTTTGAACTTTTAATTAACAATGAAGTTTTGCGCTCCAAAATGGCGCACACAATTCAGAGTAGGTATGTATAGTATAGTAAATGAAAAATTGTGTGTTAATTAAAAGCATCAAAAATAGTGTTCGCTTTGACAGCTTGACGAATAATTTACAGAAAGAATTTGCACCGTAAGTTCGGCTAAGAAATCAATACGCGATCCAAAAAATGCAGAGACCAATCTGCATAGATTCTCTTCTCTCTCTCTCCCACCAGATTTTTACTTAAATATCTCGCTGAATCCCAAATACGAAACGATCCCCTTTTTCTGCCCTCTTAACCAATACAAATCCCACATTTTCATCACGTGCTCGGCTTTTTGCTACAGTGGTGCCGTTGTCATTTTCAGAAAACCCACATGGTAGTATCTGTTTTTAAGTCTTCGTTTGCTGGAGGGCACCCCCCAGACCCCCGGCAGATGTTCTATTGAATATTATTTTTCAGAAGAGCATCTGAGTATTTTCCCAAAAACTATTACAAAAGTTTCAAGAGCTAAACATTTTGCAGGGGAGTTACAGGGGGTATTCTCCCCCCACCCATTATATACATACATTATATAGACGATGCGGTTATTATATTTGATAAATTATGCCATGCGGCAGATGTCCGGTAGACTGGCTCGGAATCGGTTCGAAGGACCAATGTGTGGAAATTCAAGGTGCCAAACCGCAATTGGAAGACGAAACCTTAAAATTTCAAATGAGAATTAGATTTTGACTATTCTTTATTGAAAGTTGTACAGATACTGCCTTCGCTCGGAAACGGGCTTCTAATCCCAAAACTGCGCGTAGCACAAAATCATTTGTGGCGGGGAAAATACAAAATTTTCACCAGTGCTTCCATTGTCATTTCCTGAAAACTTATGCGTCTTTACCGGCCTAAAAATAAGGAACAATAGTACAGTTTTGTTTAAATTTCAGTGTGTGTTATTTTAGCGTTCCGGAAGATTATAAGTTAAATCCCGGAGCAGTGGAAGCCGTCGCCGAACAGCCAGATCAGCCAAACAACATCTTAATCGGATATAATCGTGGCCTTATGGTTCTTTGGAATAGAACCGAAAATTTAGCTGTGAAAACGTTCGTTTCCAACCAACAATTGGAATCATTTTGTTGGCACGACGACGGGCAATCGTTTACTAGTTCGCATAATGATGGTTCAATCTCTTTTCTCTTATGGCGAATTTGTACATTGCTTTGTTGCAGGTAGTTATGTTAGTTGGGATTTAACGGACGACGATAAACCAATGACCGAACCGATAACCACCTACGGTCCGTTTCCTTGCAAAGCCATTCCCAAGATAATTAAGTGCAATCTGAAGGATTCGCCGTTTGTCGCGTTCTCGGGTGGCCTGCCGCGATCGAGTTACAACGATAAGTTTACCGTAACCGCGATTCACAACGACAGGCATGTTGTTTTCGACTTTACGAGTAAGGTAAGTGGTGACCTTCATCTTTGGGCCGAAGATATCAGGTCACCCTTTTGTAGGTGATCGATTTTGTGGTAGCCGAGGCGAAAGTTGATGATCTCAATGAAAGTGGCGAGTCGTTGGCAAGCAGCGACCATCAGCGTAATGACGGACGCAGTGAACCCGTTGCACTGATTGTGTTGGCCGATGAGGAACTGGTTGCTATTGATTTGTTGTCAGATGATTGGAAAATGATGAGTTTGCCGTATTTAGTTTCATTACATGCATCTGCTATTACTTGTAGTCAACATGTGTCAGGTATGCCTCACTTATGCAAATGCTGCTCGACACTCAAATCACTTCTCCATATACATGACGCAAGTTTAACTCGAACTAGAACATTCACTTTTGTAAAGATTTCTTAGAACATTATTTAAACTTTGTTCTGCAAGAACTTTACAATCACAAAAACTGACTGTCTTATACCAAAAAGTCGCGTTATTTAAAACATTCTGCTATACAGGGTGGTGACTTGCGTAACGCATCATAGGGATTTCAATGTAAAATTCATAACATGCGATTATTGGCTCCCCAAATTATTTTAGAGCAAAAATGTATTAAGGTTTTTTGTAGAAAAAAATTTTTTACGCCAATCAACCATATTAGTTTTCAATTTTTTTCATATAAAGACGAAAAATTGGAAAAATAAAACTCCCATCTTTTTCAATAATCTGTGATGCCATGGAATTTTATAATACAAAAACTACACCAATATCCGTCATGCCATGGAATGTCTGCTATAAAACAAGTCAAATTCTATCAAAAAGTATTATATTTAGAACAGCGAATTCAACATAAAGAAAGATCAAATTACTAAAAACGGTTTCCTAATATAACAATTTACAATAAATGTTCGAATAAGTCACCATTAACTGCAAGACAGAAACCAAGTTGATCATAAAATCCATTTCGAACTGATGCTAATTGATAACTGGATATCATTTTGTTTTAGAAAATTCCATGGCATCGCAGATTATTGAAAAAGATGCGGGTTTTATTTTTTCAATTTTCCGTCTATATAAAAAAAATTCAAAATTAATACGGTTGATTGACGTAAACATTTTTTTCCTACAAAAAACCTTAATACATTTTTGCTCTAAAATAATTTGGGGAGCTAATAATCGCATGTTATGAATTTTACATTGAAATCCCTATGATGCGTTACGCAAGTCACCACCCTGTATACCTTCATATTTTACATCTTCATAATTTTGACAACATTCCCCAATCCTTTTCGCTACCAGCAAAACTTCGAACGAAAAAACGCCGGCGCCCCCACTCGTATCATTACTGCGCGTCTTCGCTAAACTAACACCTGTGTTTGGTTCTACGAACACCTGTTTATCTTTAAATGAAATAGCTTTTTCGGAGCGATAACAAACTTCTTATCGCAAGACCGGATTTAAATGAGATAAACTTTTGAAAAACACAACGCAATTATTTCTAGATATCTCCAATCCTTCTGAACGCAATCCAATTGAACAATTGCTTAAACAAAACCAAGCATCCAACAACACCAGAACAAATGAAGACTGATTTCAAATTCAAACCACATGATCGAATCCGTGTTCAATCCAAATTAACAACCACATTTAACCTAATTGAAACTTGACTCATCATTACATAAATGAGACCAACAATTGTTTGCAGGTGTATCTGAAGAACTTTGGGAACAATTAAAAGACGCCGGAAAGGCGCAGACTAACAACTTGTACTCTAATCGAAAATGGCCTATCGAAGGCGGCGACCTACTGTGCTCGAAGGGGGCCCTGCCGCGAAGAGAATTATTACTCACCGGCCACGAGGACGGCACGGTTCGCTTTTGGAACGCCGGCGGCGTTTGCCTGGTGCCTCTATACAAATTTAGCACGGCGCAACTGTTTACGGGCGAAGACATCGCCGATGACGCCGTACAATCGCAGGACGACGACGAAGAGTGGCCGCCGTTTAAAAAAACGGGCGTATTCGATCCGTATTCGGACGACCCTCGTTTGGCGATCAAACGGGTGGTGTTGTGCCCGCTATCGGGTACTCTGGTCGTGGCGGGAACGGCGGGGCACTTGGTGATAGCCAAATTTGACACCGAGGTGTTAGCCGGCGAACTGAAAGTGACGACAATGAACGTTGTTAGCGACAGGGATGGTTTTGTTTGGAAAGGATACGATCAGCTGACACCCAGATCAGGTAAAATCATCACGTTTGTATAAAGTTTAATCGGCAGCATTGTATAGGTGAGATACATCAACCGAGAGGCTTTCAAGCTGTGTCTGTGCTACAGTTACATCCACCTGCTGCAATTACGTGCTGCACGCTTCAAGCGGATTGGGGACTGATCGCGGCGGGTACGGCCCATGGCTTGGCCCTTTTCGATTACAGAAAGCAAAAGCCGGTAATAGTCAAATGCACTCTGAATCCCAATGGTACGCAGTTTGTTTTGAATTGCGCGGTTTTCGGATGATCTTATTGCAGATTTGACCGGAACGGGAGACACGCCGATTTCGCGTCGTAAATCGTTCAAAAAATCGCTAAGGGAATCGTTCAGGAGACTGCGCAAAGGTCGCTCGACGCGCCGTACCACCTCGAATGCTCCGAGCACGTCGCCCACCTCGCCACAGGCGACGACCCCGCCCTCGCGCACTATCGGCTCGGACGATAGCTTTAGTCCCTTGGAGGCTAAACCTGTTGAGAGGCAAATCGAAGCGAGACCTGTTGAGGATTCGATGGGGTCGATGGTTAGATGTTTATATTTTGCTAGAACTTTTATAATTAGTGGTAAGTACAAGGTGGGAGAGGGGCTTACTCATTTGTTTCCTAAAAAAAACTTGTGCAACTTATACCTGTATTCTAAATTGAAAATCACTATTGAATACTTCAGTAACGTTGATGCACACTTATAATCGGACATTTTTTTTAACTTAAGCCTTGGTTCATTTCGGTATAATATTCTGGGGGCCAAAGGTATTGCATGCATAGATTAATGATTATTATTGTGGAGTTGGATTAATCAAAAAAAGACCGGAAGTTGAATTATGCCAACAGTTGCACCTTAGTAACGGGCATAAGTGTAAATGTGAAATTGAATTTTTTCACCTCTGTTCACAAAGGCAACTTATCCGAACCCTTATGATATAGGCCCTTATGATATGACGACCTTGCTTTTGTGCTTCACAACGGCATGGCCGCTATCAGGTATACAGGTGTCTTGATAAGATACTGTGGTTATCCCGTAATTGCCGTGGGTGTAAGTCAAAATGAAGGATTCTCATAACTTGATAGTCATCTTTGAGTCCTAAAAATTAGTCACATGTCCTATCCCTTTAAACGTACCTATTTATAACAGCTAACAAACTACTAATGAAACAATGACATTACCGCAACGGTGTACTGAAATTGGTTCGAACTTCCAGTGACAGAACCTAAAAGATAGCACAAATTAACCAGGTGGATAAGACAAAATGGAAGTTGTGACGTACCCACCTACGTAAGTAAGTAAGTAAGGAATACAAATAAAACAAGTACATGCTTTACAAACGGAGATTTAATCCAAATAATTCGCATTGCAAGATTAAATTTAGAAAATGGTAATTCACCGAGTGCAAATATAACAATGGGCTGGGAAAAAAAAGAACTGACCAAGAAAAAAACCAGCCTATAAATTAATATTGAACTTTATAGCAAAATTAGTTGTCTGTCATGGCACGAATGCATATTATGATGGTTGTCAAGTAAATTTATACAATGTCGAATCACAGGCTCCACTGGAACTCCTAAAGAATCAATATTTCACACACATAACAAAAAAAACAATCATTAAATCATTAAAATAAATTCACATAATAAGTATGGATATTGGATGGCCAGTCCAAATCCCACACCGAGTAGTCTTTAGTTGCTCTACTCAAGACATGTCAGTATTGTATGAAAACGCTAGGAGTTGACCTCTCAGAAGAGCATTTCACACAGGAACGATATCCCAATGTATACAAAAAAAAAACAAAGGGCACAATGGGAACACGCCGTACGCTTTTAGCAGATCCCTGCACAAGTGAGGCCGGGCCTAGCCAGCGCCCTCATGTATGACTAAGCGGGACCCCAACTCTTTCATTTACACATCTCTAGGGCCAGTCCTACCCACTAGTTGTAAAGTGCTGGGTTATAAATTACCGAACTCCAGGCTCTCTACCATGAATACTGACAGTAACCGATCAAAAGACAAATCATGACATAACAAAAATAACAGAGCAACTATCGGCAAACTCGCACGCATACATAATCATAAACAAAATATACAGAGTGGTGCACAGTAAGTAGGAACATAGGGATTTACCATGGCAAATTAGTTTTATTCAAAATCCTGCCCTCCTGTACATTTTACAGAAAAAAACTGTAGAGTTAAAAGTTGTTCAGAATTAAAAGATGCATACAAAACTGTTTCTACATGTTTTATTAAGCTTTTGGTATACCCGTAAATTTAAAAATAAATTTCAACATTTCTGTTATTAATGGCAATTCATAAAACAACAAAAGTCATGGCTATTGCTACTAATAACAGAAATGTTGTAATTTATTTTTAAATTTGCGGGTATACCAAAAGCTTAATATAACATGTAAAAACAGTTTTGTATGCATTTTTTAATTCTGAACAACTTTAAAATCTAGTTTTTTCTGTAAAATGTATAGGAGAGCAGGATTTTACATAAAAATAATTTCCCATGTTAAATCCCTATGTTCCTACTTACCGTGCACCACCCTGTATAGCATTTATGTGGGCTTTGACAGTTGACATATTTGCACCAATATTCGGTGACTACATGTCAGGGATCGACTAAACGAATTGATTATCAATATCGACAAGATGGCTCTTTTCTGAGACACAAAAAAAAACAGTAGGTACTAAAATATATATCTGCGTATGTCACTTCTGAACTTTAGCCAGCCTCTGCTATGTCAATTCGAGATTAAATACAGGTATCAAATATAGCACAGTACATATTCTAAACAAGTCACCCTGCCAAATATTAATAATCATAATTACCCGGTTCAAATAAACAGTAGGACCATAACGTTAAGTATCACATTACAACAAAACGAAGGAAAATGTCGTGGCAAAACATTAGTATATCTCAATGCCAAGTGTAATATGTAGCAATCAACCACCTAACGTACGTCACTCACTCCCAGATGAAGCACCCTGTAAATAAACGGTACATATTCATGCAAAAAAAAAGGAAATGTGCTGCAATAAATTCAATTATAAACTAAAATGTAGTTCTGCATACTTGTATTGAAAATCATCCCTAATGGAACATACTGTATCTAAATATAAATAAAAACAGTAAATCGGTCAGTAATTCATATTGCGGGTTGGCGGGCAAAACCAGCGCTTGGAACAAAGTACTGTAAATTAGAAAACAACATATTCACGTAGACTCTCCATACATTTGATTCAAAGTACGCTCAGCATAATATTACAAAAGAGCAATTTGTATTTAGAATACGTTATAAATGACAATGGTCATCGCTATACTGGAATGTCGTTAATTTGGCAAATAATCTAACACGACCATATAATGTACTAGATAAAGACTATACGTCACCTTTGTAATTGTCAAAGCTGCACTCACTGTTCAAAACGTAAAAATTACTTCTGCCCTCGACAAAAGCACAAATACCTCTGCCTCTATTTCCCCTTTTTAAGCAAATCCTAGACGAAAATTGTTAATATCGACCGTGCTACGAGACGTCGGGTCGATGTGGATCATTAAGTTCCCTTGTATAGCGTTATATTTGTCACTTTTATTGTAAATTATGGTCCATTTCAATGTAGAGCAGAAAAGAAAAACGTGTTCCACGGAAACGAAACAAAGCGCAATCTTGAGTTCTTTCGTCGCGCCAGGAGCGGGTTTGGGAACATTTAAATCGAATTTTAGCGGGCAAATTCCGGTTCCATTACAAAGTACTCATGTAATTAGTGAAACTCGCCAGAATAGTCAAACTTGGAAATTGCAATTAGAACCGCATGCATTTCATCCTACACTCTCTAAGACGTGCTCGTAACTAGAAAAGAATGTTGCCCGAAGAGAAAGTTGAAAAGCAGAGAATGCGCCTTTATTCCACCGAATCTCAAGTAATAATTGCAGTGACCGTGAATTAAAAATCGTTAATATATATATGTAAGAAAATAACCTGTTACACATAGTTATATAGCTATTATGTCCCATATACAGTGCGTTTATCTTACATAGGCCAGTAAATGACCGTTTTGGCGTGTATTTTTTCGCGCCTCGACGGATTTGCTTGAAAATTGGAATTTAGGTTTGTCTTACCCTCTACTTCAAAGATGAACTTGAGCCCAGGGTTGCTTTCACTTGGGGGGGTGAATGCCACCCCTTTTCGGGGGGGGGGATATACGTTCCAAATAAGTCTGGAAATTGATAAACTGAGTAATGCTAAGCAACTTTTCTTCTACAGAGTTTTTTCACTAAGTCAATAGTATTCGAGTTATTTGCGAGTGAAAATGTTCATTTTTCACTTATAATTGCACAAGAGGTTTGTATTTTACCGAGTAAATTTGGGTTGTTTAGGTAATGAAAATTTGTTGCCTAGCAATTAGACGAGAAAAACTGTCAACTAATAAAAATGCGACACCGCAGTACAATTTAACAAACAAGAAATTCACCAAACTAGTCAATTATTGACAGACGTCAAGCTAATCATATGGGAAAGGATAATGCGATAATTGTTCCAAAATGAATAAGTGAAAAAACCATTTGTCGCTGGAAAAGTTGCAGGTAACTTTTGCCGCTGTCAAAGTGACAATTACACTGCGGCTTATGCGATTTTTTATACATGAGTTGAATTGTCAACAAAAAAAACCACGTTTTTGCGCGATCGGTCATTTCTGACTATTTACCATGTGTGTTTCCATGACAGTAAGTGGAATTTACCAGTTGCTATGATTACGACGACGCCAAAATTACTTACCGATCTAAAAACAGAACAGCAATAGTTATTTACGTTATAAGTCCGGTAGGTTACTTGTAACAGTACGAGTTAGACATTATGGACGAGGCGACGTCAGGAGCCGAGTCAAGAATGTCTTAAACGAGTACTGTTACAAGTACTACCGGACGTATATTGTAACGTATTTTATTTCATACTGTAAGTCTGTTTTGTATCATTATTTCATTTCAAAGATTACAAACTTTCATCATATTGTAAAAATCGCATTACCTTGTTTCTGTGGCAACGGCCGTTGCTATAGTTTGTAGTTTGTTGACAATTGAATTTTTTTCACTGAAAAATTGACGTTATAAACGTTGTGGGATGTTCCACTGTTCCCGATACAATCCTGTCGAAATCTCATGAAGCAACCGAAAAGTTGGTTCCTAAGAAGTCGGCCGCAAGGTATGAAAAAGAGTACTAAGTGTTTTGCCAATTGAGGAACGAACATGGGGCGAAACAAGTAGAGGAAAAAGTCATGTTGGCATACTTTTTGGACGCAGTAAGTTTTTGAATTGAGATTTTTTTGCCTGGGTTTCGGTGTTAAAGCGTCATGGAGCATGGAAAAGCTCATCGACGGCAGAAAAATACATCGAAGGCTCGGTAGAAGGAAAAGTTAAGATTGCTCGTATGATACAACTGATACAAGGCGGCGAAAATTTCATTGGAGTTCTACAGCAGAAGGAATCAAACATTACTAACTCGACATCCAGTAATAACCCAGGCGTAGTGTTGAGGGCAATACAAATTGTTTCATTACAATCAATGTTAATATTTGAAATAAAGAATTACAGCCAAATTTATGTTGGGGTTTTTAATTAATTGTGTGAAGATGTCAAATTTGATGTATACAAATAACAGTCCGGTAAGTGTTGCTTAGCGACACTTACCGGCTCTGATGCTGTAATAACTCACCTACCGGATTCAAAATGATAGTGTAATCGAACATCTACCGGACAGTATGAAATAAAAATACTTACCGACGCCTTTTTAAAAACAATCAGTTCAATGTTAACAGTCTTACATTACATTTAATCTTTAATTATTGTTACATTAAACTTACAATTTGTGCTGATGTTTCCTATAGAAAGAACACGTTCTTCATTTAAACCTGAAGCAATAGAGATCAATGTGTTTGAAGATGTGCTTTCGTTTTTCTTAATACATTCCAATTACAATTTTGTTCTGTAAAATCTTCAACATACCATTCGGCCACCGGCGAATACCTCGCTCATAAAGTCATAACGGAAGTGCAAAGCTAGCAAACTACATCAGACACATGCACAAGACATTATTAATTTCAGTTTTGACAAATAAACTGGTTACCTAGTGATGTACACCATACCACTTCGATCATTTCAATTTATTCTGCTCGTTAATTTCTTAGTGCATATTTATATTGGTTGCATAATTTTAATTTCGATCGCGCAAAAAATGTTATAAGCACGTCGAACGTTAAGGGTTACCGTTCTCAGACAATAATTGGAGTCGTCGCTTCGCTCCTCCTCCAAACAATTGTCTTCGAACGGTAAAAATCCCTTACCGTTCTCCATACTTAATATACTATTTCACACCGTTTTTCGCAAATAACTTTAAAAGTAAGTATTGTATCGAAAAAACTATTCTTAGCAAAACTATAGCTTATAAAAAAAACAAACAAAATGGTGTATATATGAAGTCTGTAAACCCAGTAGAAGCAAAGTTGTAGCTCATGAAAAGTAGGTTCTCATTCGTCAAATTCCAAATCGAGTACTTCAACGTGAAATAACAAAAAAATGTTCAGGGAAAACCTATGAATACTTTTTAAAGTGTTTGAAAAAAACCTTTCTTTTTTTTTATGAAAAGTTCTTAGCATCAAAACTAAGTGAGTTACGCTCAAAATAAAGTTGGTCCTTTTTTTTGGTAAAAAAAATCGAGGAAATCACCCCCTAATTAGCACCCCAATTGTAATTAAGCGTTACCACTTTACAGTTTACTTTATTTATGTATTGTTTATATGATCTGTAAGTTTGACTGGTGCAAAGCGCTTATTTTTGAAAAAATAGTTTTGAAGTAAAAAAAAATTTGAAATTTTGAAAAATTGCTTTTTTTTTCAAAATAACTTCAAAAGTATTAGTGATATGAAAAATTTACAAGAATAAAAAAATGTAGCTTTTGCTTTTCTGAACATTTTGCTTTTTTTTTGTTTTTCTGTAAAACAAAAATTGGTTAAGATATGGCTGTTCAAAGTTTGCATACACCCGTCATTAGTGACTCATTCGAGCCCTTTCAACTATAACCCTTTCAAAATATTGTTTTCTATTTGTTATTGAAAATCTAGAGATCTAGGACGAATATTTCAAAGGGTTGTTTTTTAATTGAAATAAAATAAATTCGTAAAATTTTAATTAAAAAAATTACTGTATATATAGTATCATTGAAGAAAAAAAGTTACTACAACTATTCGAATTTCTTCGCAAGGGTTGGTTTTTATAAGGGTAGAAACTATGTGGTAAAAAATAAAAATAGCAAAGAAATCTAAATTTAATGTTACTGTATAATTAAATAATCCCAAATTGCTTGAATTTACAATTATATGATTAATAGGGGTAGTTTACACTCCTAAAAAATAAACAGCAACCAACGGCACAAGTCAAATTTTGAAGTGGAGGGTAAGAATAACCTAAATAGGAAGTAACAACCTCACATTTCGATTAAATGAAGTCAAGTTTTTATTAAGATTGCGAAAAATTTCGGGCTTTTCCGTAATTTTTTGTTGAAAACGCTTAATTAAGGTACCCTGTAACAATTATAATTATTTATCATATGATAACAGGCAAACAAAACGCGTATACAGTGTGTCCCAGATCGCGTGTAATTGCAACTTTCTCATTATTAAAGATAGAGAATTGGTTAAATGGACGATGTTTTGCAGTTTTAGATGCTTATTTAAAATTTCCTTGTGGAAATTCAAAATATCGAATAGGTTCGACGTACAAAAAAAAAAACTAAAATTGGTCATTTCCTTGAATGTCTTATATCATCGAAAGTATAAGAGTTTTATATAAAAGTTACTGTCTTTGATACGCCTAATTTAGAATTGATGATGAAAAAATCAAGATGGCTACCTTTGAGGAACATTTACCTACTTCCTAAAGTTAAATAGGCGCCATATTTTTAGATTATTTGATAGATTTTTAATAAGATTAAATAAGATACCAGTTATATCAACGGTTTTTATATTTTAATCAAGTAGTCTGTGATGAATTAAAAAAGCAAAACAAAATCTATTCGAGGCAACAAAACAATGAAAATAATTAAGTACATCAGATGTTTAAAATACTGGCTATTATTAGGAAAATCATTTAAGGAAGTTTATTGGAGAATTTGTAAATAATGGTGAGCAGTTACAGTTCCATCGAAGATTACCGGTCCAATTACATGACTTCCCATTAAATCATAAAATTAACTTAAAACCTTACTTGATTTCGGCGTGAAACTACAACATGTAGGTTTTCCTGTGACGAGTAATGTTCATTATTTCGATTTGAACACTCCGCAGTTGGAAAAATAAAACTTCGAGGAGATAGTTTGTAGTTATACCACCATTTTGTAAGTATGTAAGTATGGATAATAGGATAGTTAATAAGTGACGTCATAAAAGTCAAAATTTTTCTAGGTTACTTATATAAAATATTGGAGGGAGTTGTAACGCCCAAACCCCCCTCCCATGAGTGCACCTCTGATATTTTAAACATCTGATGTAATTATTTTCATTGTTTTGTTGCCTCGAATAGATTTCGTTTTGTTTTTTTTTTAATTCAGCACGGACTACTTGATTAAAATATAAAAACCGTTGATATAACTGGTATCTTATTCAATCTTAGGTATGATAGCTCGTTGAAAAGAGAATTAAAAAATCTAACAAGTAATCTAAAAATCCAATATGGCGCCTATTTAACTATGTTCCTCAAAGGTAGCCATCTTGAATTTTTTTTACATCAATTCTAAATTAGGCGTATCAAAGACAGTAACTTTTGTATAAAACTTTTTTTACATCTCTTATACTTTTGATGATATAAGACATTCAAGGAAATGACCAATTTTTTTGGTTTTACGGCGAACCTATTCGACATTTTGAATTTCCACAGGAAATTTTAAATAAGCATCTAAAACTGCAACACATTTTCCATATAACTGATTCTCTATCTTTAAAAATAAGAAAGTTACCCATGCAATCCCACGCAATCTGGGACACACTGTATACACAGAGATATCTTATTTATAAGCTTCACCATAATTGGAGCTGTATCTTAGCCATTTAGCCAAATTAGAGCTGAGTTTTAGATGAAATTTGACTCATAGTGTATCGTTCTTTTAGTACAAAATACGACACCAACGTTATGGGCGGGCACGAACAACGGAACGGTGTATGTTTTTACAATCACGATACCGAACGCACAGAAGCGCGACACCGACAACGTGGCCTGCCAACTGGGTAAGGAGATTCAATTGAAGCACAGGGCACCTGTCATCGGCATAGCCGTTCTGGACGGTTCGAGTAAACCGCTTCCCGAGCCCCTAGAGGTGGAGAAGGGCACGGCGCCGCTGCCGGACACGACGCAGCCGCATCGCGTGGTGATCGCCTCCGAGGAGCAATTTAAAATTTTCACGTTGCCTTCCCTAAAACCGTATTGCAAGTACAAATTGACCGCGCACGAAGGTAACCTCGCCGTGTCCACGCGTACGATCTAACAATTTTACTTGCAGGAGCGAGAGTTAGAAGGATGGCATTCGGCGCATTCTCGTGTTATCTTGACGCGAACAATACGAAACACACCGAAATTGACTTGTTATGTTTGACTAACTTAGGAGATTGCGTTGTTTTGAGTATACCTGATTTAAAAAGGCAACTGAACGCGGCCGCCATACGAAGGGAGGACATCAAGTTGGTGCAGGTAGATAGTATTGGTGGATTAAACTGAACTGTTGACTTTCTAGCGGAATATCGTCTTTGGTGTTCACGCGCGATTCGGAAGCACTCTACTTGCATTCGTCCTCCGAATTGCAAAGAATGTCCTTAGCCTTGACCTACGCGACATCGGCGCGGTGTTATCTGTCGCTACCCGAGGGAGCGCGAGATGAGGGCGCTTCCGAGATCGACATTGAAGGGCAGATACACGCGGATCAGGTGCAAGATAATGAGACAGCGGCCCCTTTGGTGAACGGCACTAGCGAGAGTAAAGGAAGCAGTGTTGCAGATAGGGTAATCGGTAAGGTTGCTCCAACTTAAATTCTTATGTAAACTGTTAACAGAGTGAAGAAGTTCGGGAAAATGGCGAGGAAAATTTGCACAATATGACTGTATCGAGTAGCATTGGAGATATAACAATAGACAGTGTGAAGGATCATCTTGGATCGGGAGAAGAACTGACCAGCCGCCTAAGCAACTTAACAGTCACGAAAAGTTCTGTAACAACAACATCGTTGTCCAATCAAAGCGGAGAAGTCACATCCTCTAGCGCAATGACCGTCACCACGACTCAAGAAAATAGTAAGTAATTGTAGAGGTTAATAGCGTAATTCTGTGCGTCTTACCTTTTTCTTGCCTTGTAGTTTTAGAAGGTGACATGACAGGATCTGCCCAAGATATTGAGGTTAGCAAAATGATATTTTTGAATTTAACCCAAAATAACAACTAGCATGTTGCATGCTAGGTTATCGGTAAATTGTAGACGACTAATGTAACTAAATTGTATTGCGATGAAAGGATTTTAACGTCCACAACCATTTACAGCACAAACACTTTAGCTATGTGCAATAAACCACCCACAATCTGTCCAGATAGCTCAAAAAAACCAATACTCTACCACAATTTTTTATATGGAAAATGAAAAAAACTCTGCAGCTTTAACCGCCTCCCCACAAGTCCAGAGAATTATTCAACAAATTTTTAATTAACACCTTACATAATCCTGATCATTTACACACGACATAAATTTATTCGAGAAAAACTAATTAAGCTGTAAGAAATAGAGGCACTCAGGGTCTACAGATAATGTACCACGCACACACGATCGATTGAAACAAATTAAATTTAATAGAAAATTCTAATAACCTTAAAGAGTTAATAATCTCTAAGATCCGGTCATAACTGCGATTTTGTTTAACAGACGCACACAAACACCAATTTGATTTATTAACATACTGGCTTTGTTGTAATTACAAATGTACAAGTGACCTTTTAGTAGTGGATAACTTTACTTTAGCGAGTTGAACACCTTATAGAAAGGCCGCACTTCTGCTCGATAAACACAACATAACTACCTCTCCGTAAACTAATACAATGCTTCAGCTTAACTCAAATTATAACATTTACTGTTATAACGACGTAATAGAGCACTATCTACCCTTTCTTCTATCACAACTTTGCACCCACTAAGACTGACTGTCTTTCCAAAAAGCATTCAAGGCTGACTGCAAACCCAAAATCATCCACCAAAAAGCCACCTTTTTAACAACTCTTCCTTCTATGCCTTCCGCTTCCACTTCCTTATCAATTTACTGCGCGTCGTCGATCAACTCACACCTGTGTTTACTTACGGCGAACAAAACACCTGCTAGCTTTAACTTATTAGCATTTGCTCAGCAATAACTAACTTCTTATCGCAAGGCCGGATTTAAAAGAGATAAAACATTATTTACAGATGTTCTTTTAACACTTAATATAACTGAACAATAGAGTAAACAAAATAAAAGACGATTATTTAAACAAAATTAAACATCTGATAATTCCGAGACGAAACAATGTGTCGAAATTGTGTTAAATTCAAATTAGCGACCTCATTTAACAAAAAAAATTGAGATTTTCATTATACAGGGTGGCTCATCATTACTGTAGGTGCTGATACCAATAAAATCGTCCGAATGATGTAGTTTACATAACAGTATGTTAGCATTGCCATACTTTCTGTACCGCTAGAGGCGAGGCGGCGCATCCTTCAATATGTATATTGTGAAATTAGGCATCGAAACCTAATTTTTGAAGTGGAGCGAAACTGAAGTGTGTTTTGGGGAGGGGGGGATATTTCGATTGAGATATTGGTGCAGGCCAAGTGCCTCTTGGCTCAAAAGAAGTTGGAAAAATTGGAATTCAGTACAGCTTCAAAGTACAGTTCATTCAATGCATTGCACTGGTTTTCCACTTTTTGAAGTTGTTCCGAAATTCCTCCAGTGATGCCTTTCAATGCTTTTTCGGTTTGAATCGCTTTCACATTCTCAAAATGTTTTCATTTAAATACTTGTTTTATTCGGAGGAATAAGAACAAGTTGCTGGGGCAAGATCCAGTGAATGCGGCGCGTCACGGAAACGTCTCAAAAGTGTAGGTAAAACGTCGTGTTAACAGTTTGGTCTTTTATGTCCATTAAAAAAAATGTGGGAATCACCTTGACATTCAACTCCACTCGGGACGCTTTTTAGGGGCTTGGTAACTCGCAAGAGACGTCTAGCGGCGGAAACGTAAAATACAACAGGTCCACCCACCAGGGATCGTTTCCGGTTTCTTTTGAGTCCTTGTCGCGTATAGTAGCTCTTAGACTTCTCTCACATGACGCGATATGCTGTGTATCCACTCTAAGGTTTCTGAATTACAGAGTTTCATCTGAAAACACACCTTAGCGATATTGTCATGTTTGGGAGGGGAGCAATTAATTGGTTACCGGAGCCCAGTGGGCTGGAAAAAGTTTGCTTTGATTACGATGTAAATTGTTTTGTTGTATATAGAAGAATATGGTGTTGGTCTGAAGAGTGGGGGGGGGATTTTCTACATTCCAATGAACACATTGAAAATTGTCTTCTCCAGAAAGCAATGACTGTTCCTAAATATAAAAAGAGGTTCATGAATACTATAATAAAAATCTGATACAACCGAATACCAAACGATCCTTGAGATCTTCGTACATACATAATTTGTACAATACACATTAAGGGGTTGGTTCCCTCCCACCAGATCAGCATAGCGCGTAAAACAAATTTTTGAATCGACATTAGTTTTACTTTTATTTGAGATGCCTACATACAACATTTCATTTAAATATCTTAACAGTGTTTTTCACTGCAAGGCATTGTTAAGGGGGGCGCGAGATCCCTGATGTGTTTGAGACAAATATTTACCTTTAAAATATTTATATTAGGTATTTTTATGTACAATAATTGTATTTGATCAATTCTTACACCAATAAGAAGGTATCTACAATTCTGTAAATTCACCTTTTTATGCTGATGTTCATGTTGCACAATGACTTGATTGAAAAACATAATATTTCATGGGCCATAATAACTTTTTTTAGCACCGTCAGAAAGTTGAGAAAAATTTACCAAGTTTTTGTTAAAATTATTTTTTGATATCTTTGAAAATAAATGGACGCCAACGTATTCTCGAAAATGAAAATGACATTTTTCGGTTTTTTGGCCATAATTCGCTATTTGTAGACCTACAAGACTTTTTGGAAGAGAAAATTAATCACCATACAATTTTGCATAAATTTGCCCCAAACGTCTTTATATCTCTTATGGTCTCCGAGTCCCCATATTGAAAAAAAAACTCCATGTAATTTTTTTAATAAATACGTTTGTAGTAACAGCACTTTTTATTTTTTAATCGGGTTGGGGGGGGGGCGTGAGTAATTTTAGTTTTATGAAAGGGGGCGCCATGGAAATAAGTTTGCGAACCACTGTCTTAGCAGATAAAACAATTGGAATTGCGCAAATACAAAAGTTGGGTTGCGCACGCGCATTCTTGAGATGTTCGCACTTAAAGTTTTGACATCATCAATAGCTATGTCTCGTCCAAACGTCCTTCTTTCCCTTTGTGTGTACTCTCGTCCGAAGGCAGTAGGAATGAATTCCTGCTGTTGAGACTTTTCATTAGAATACCATGAAGGATAATACCAGTTTTTAGCCTCTCCTCCCTCTTCCCAATTACAAAAAGGTAGGGAATTACAACCGATCCCTATAATAGGTCATGGAGGAAAGCGATAGTCTGTAGACTTTCTTTGAGACCTTTCAATTAGAGAACCATGAAGAATAAGCCAGTGTCCCCATCCCCTGCACTGATAAATTCATGGAAAATGCGCTAAAAAAATAGATCATACACAGTGGTATTGGAATATGGATATTGAATGAAGACACTAACGGCCTACAACAATTGATGGTTCTTGTTTCTTTTCTAAGTAATTCTAAAGTTATTGTGGAGTGAGTGCCTCTTACATTCTTCTCCTCAGTTTTTAAATCTTACGTGTAGCACATCATTGATATACCAGATCTCCTGTGAGTGTTGAGCATCTTTCTTTGCTATTGCGCAACAGGTGGCGGTATGCGTTTACTTTTTAACATTTTTCAGTTATGAATTACAAATTTTCGATATCCTCTTCTCGACCTAGACACGGATCAAAGAGAAATATCATCAGCTTAATACCGCTACTCTTATTACGCAAGTCGTAATTAATGGCGATATAAGCGTAATTGTTTAACTTAAGCAGGACGTCAATTCCCACGGAGTAACTGCGGTTTGTACTTATTCTTTGCATTTGCACTCTTTGGACTTTTGGAGGATGTAGTTTATACGATATATCTGTGTAGCTTCATTAAGAATGCTTATATAAGTTCTCTATTTAAAAAACAATCTTATACACAAATAACCTATATGTAACCAATATCAAATGAGAAATCGTATTTTGACCGCACGACGCTCAAGTTATTGATTTTTCATACAGCGCGACCTACACTTTTCGAACGAAACTTTGAAAGAAATTTGTTGAAGTTATTATGTGTTATAAACAATTGCGGAAAGTTTGGCGTAGTCGTAAACAGTTTTTGGACCGCCGTTTCTGACACTTGACCCAATGTTGGCATTTTTTAAATGCACCATCCTGTATATCTTAACCTCAATTTTTTGCATTTTTTTTTCTTATTACATTGATATATAAGCACAACCTATACTTTTTTTATATCATTTTATATTGTATCATATTTTTCACAATTTTGAATTGACATGAATTGACTTTCCATGGATACAATAAACAACAAAATCTCCATGGCCTACCACTTAAAAATAGAAAAAAAAATATAGGTTGTCGTTGTAATACATCACTGTAATCAGGAAAAAGAATCCAAAATAAATGACGTTAAGCTATACAGGATGTGGCATTTGAAAACTACCAACTTTGGGTCAAATCTCTGAAACGGTGATCCAAAAGTTTTTTTGACTACGCCACTGGATTCTATATAAAAATATCTAAAATAGGAAGTTTTTACTGTTTTCTATCTTACATGGATAGATATGACCGACTGTGTAGCTCTGTGGTAGAGCGTTGAGCTACATAGCTGGAGGTCGGGTGTTCGAACCTGAGCTGAGGAAAGAATTTTTCATCTGTGACAGAGATGGGATTTTCCTCAGATCAGTTTCGAACATTCATTAGGTTTTCCTACAGTTTTCCTAATTCGTAAGATAAATACCGGAGTAGTATAGAACAACATAAGATATTCTGCAGGAGCACCTCTAAAAAGCACTATGCGGAGGTGATTCTGTTTGCGGTATTAAAAGTTTAAGAAAAAAGTTGCAGACACATAGACAGACAGATAGGACACATGGTACCTACATGACTTTGACTCGCGATTTACCTTAGAGAGATATCTTTGGGACCCTCATCTTTTTAACGTTTTTCTATGAAAAATGCAGCTTATACTTGCGTTAATTCCGTCCGTCTGTGGGTTCGAGATCTCAGCACATGGACCTCGTAGAAGGCTGGGTTTTTCTTTATTTAGTTGGTTTCAACAAATAGGGTAGACAATAATAATATCAAATAAGATATTAACGAAATTTTGTTGCAGATCTCATATAAGTGAACATACTTTTAATGTACCGGGTGACCCAATAAGACTGTTCCTCGGTCATATCCCGAGAACCGTTCGTCATATGACTTAGCGGTAAAAAAAATTATTGGGTAAATCGGTCATGAAGAATCGCTGGAAAATATTTTCAAGTTCTAAAAATGACCAACAGTGGGCGTAACTGCCATTCTAAAATTTTAAAATTGCATTTTCTGTACATTTCGCATAATAAACTAAAAAATTGTTTTCACATTTTTAAAGAGAATCAGTTTGTCTATCATTTTCGTAAAAACAAAAACTCAGTTATTTCAAAAACAAAGATGGTGTGGGGCGTTCAATTGTTTTTGCAAAAACCTGCTTTAACTTCTTAACCGATTGACCGATTTTAACAAATTTGATATGGTTGAAAAGAGCATTCCTTGGGAAATGAGAATCAACCAAAATATAGTTAATTTAGTTGAATCCTTCTCAGGGACGGACCTAGACAAAAAAATTGGGGGGGCAGACATGACATTTTGCCAACTCAACTGTAAAAATTTCCAACTCAAACGGGTAGTCTAATAAATCATGTAGAAAATGTAGGATATCAATATTCGGTCTCTAATACTAATTAAACGCAATACCAAAATACCAACCTTGTGTTGAAGAAGAAGGAAGTGACGTTCCTATTAAAGAGTCCTTTTTTATAGATTTTGCCGTAATTCTGCATTCCTTCAATAGTCGATTTATTACATTTACGATACTTTCGCGGCTTCGCCAACTGGTAATGAAAATTACCAACTCTTGTCAAAATTGCCAACTGGTTAAGTATTGGAGGGGCAACCTGCCCCCCCATAGGTCCGTCACTGATCCTTCTCCGCCAGGAGGCTAGTTTCGACACTATGACCCAAAATCCTAAAAAAATCAAATGGAATGATATGATTTTTTCTTTATGAAAAAATAGCCAAATAACATCCAAAGAGGCCAGTGAAAACCGTTTTTCAAAATTTCGTTCCTAACCTCAAATATTGGGAAAATGAGATTAATGAATTACCTAATTAAAAAAATGCTTAACTTGTATCTTAAATTTACTTTTTCGTATTTCCGGTATTTGTCGATGGCGCGAAAGAAAAGCACCCTACACTTTTAGGTAGGCCTTGAAAAATTAAACAAATGAAACATGATGCATTATAAAGTAATAACAGCCGTAATTTGTAAATTATTCTGCTGTGTTTACATTCAGAAAGTGCAGTTTTTTGAATTTTTAATCTTTTCTAAAATACCGATTTCTAACCAAGAAGCATTTGATATGCTGGCGATATATTTTGAGTATTTTCAAAATGCGACCATCGCTGCCCGCATTTTCTATTTGCGTTATCCGAATCGACCACGAACCATCGCCGCCAGCATATTAAATGCTTCTTGGTTAGAAATCGGTATTTTAGAAAAGATTACAAATTCAAAAAACTGCACTTTCTGAATGTAAACATCGCAGAATAATTTACAAATTACAGCTGTTATTATTTCATAATGCATCGTGTTTCATTTGTTTAATTTTCCAAGGCCTACCTAAAAGTGTAGGGTACTTTTCCAAACAATCTTTCGTGCCATCAACAAATACCGGAAATACGTCAAATAAGATACAAGTTAAGCAATTTTATTTATTAATTAATTAATCTCATTTTCCCAATATTTGAGGTTAGGAACGACATTTTGAAAAACTGTTTTCACTGGCCTCTTTAGGTTATATTTGGCTACTTTTTCATAAAGAAAAAGAAGAATGTTTAGTTTATTATGCGAAATTTAAAGAAATGCAATTTTAAAATTTAAGACATCAGTTACGCCCTCTGATGGTCATTTTTAGAACTTGAAAATATTTTCCAGCGATTCTTCATAACCGATTTACCCAATAATTTTTTTTATCCCTAAGTCATACGACGAACGGTTTCCGAGATATGGCCGAGGAACAGTCTTATTGGGTCACCCGGTACATGCGCATGCGCAGGACTAACATTCTCATTTATAGGGGGATTTTTATGAAATTTTGATATAACGTCCTTCTGATAAAAGAATTAAAACACATGCCCGTCAAATCAATGGAAATTATGGAGCAGACACATCTGTCGGTAGTTTTGTGCATATTAATATTTTTGTTGAATTTACCCTGGTCGTTGTTGCCTATACAATGATTTTCTAACCACGCCCCAGAGGTATACAATGGACTGTGGCCAATCTCAAACGCTTATTGACATTAATATTGACTTGGCGTCCCAAGCGGTCATTCACCAATCCATTCCCTAGTGACACGCCTACTAGGAAAAGATATAAATGGTTAAAAGTGATTAAAAGTACTGTGGTTGTGGATGCGCGCTAATGAAACAACCCATAGTTTAATTTAAATAGAATTTGCTAACCATTACAAATCCGTCTAACCTTCTAAATCACTATTATACAATACCAGGCAGTATCTCATACTGACATTGACATAATTTCAGATTAAAACCAACAGTACAGCCCAGGACGTCAACCTAAGGGCCCCTCTCGCACTTGCTGAAGGCTTGGAATAATCATCGGGTTAATGGCAAGTTAAATCATTACCATTTTGCCATATTTTTACACTTAACCTCCGTCGGTATAATTTTTCACTAATGTTAGTATTATGTTTACCAAGAAACAAGAAATCGTGTCAAATTTTGATTCCATCATTTTTTATAATTATTGCATTTCTGCTTTAGTATTATAGTGTGTTTTTGTTCGTTAGGCAAAACTATTCCATATCAAATTACTTAAGCCTCACCTTTTTTAATTACCCACACCTTGTACATATACGAAATTGTTACCTACCTTTTTAGTACTTAATTTTTTTAGCGTTGATGGCGGTGTACGATAATCAACGTTCTGCTGAACCTTGCGATTGTTGCTTCCATAACGTGCACCTTGTGTGTGTATTTTTAACTGTTAAATTTTTAAAGTGTCGTACTTGCGTGCGTGGAAGCACGATTTTTATTAAGTAAATTTTTGATACTATTATACAACAGTATTTGACACTAGCTTTGCTCTTTTATACCTACACTGTGTTTAGAACTTAGGGTATGTCATAACTGGTGTTTTTTATTTATTTTATTTTTTAATTACAATTTTAGAAAATAGTGTCATTCTTACTACCGCCTTGATTACTGTTTAAATCGGTTTTAACTTTTAACACCCTAACTTAGTGCATTTAATCGTGCCACATTTCTAATCGAAAAATGTGATAATATTGAAAATAAGCAGTAATTAAGGTGAACTAATAATGCAGCTTTCTTTTTAAATAGCGGTCGGTGGCGGATATAGAACAAATGTGAGTGTTTCTGAATGCGTCCGGTTTTACGACTGGAGTACAATAATGGCCTTAATATGCAACTGTATGTATTTTATATTGTATTTTATTTACATATTATTGAGAGTTTTATATCTATATGTATATCAAGTGAATTCACATGACATAAAACATCACTAAGTGAAACAATAAATTTTATTGATTTATTATGTGACTTTTTTATTAAATGACATACTACAATTTTCAATATAATTACTTCGTTCTTTTTGTATTTGGGACTTGGTGGCTTGCAGCATATAGCTATGGCACTCGTTGGAACAATCAAACGAATAGAGGATGTCGCCATACAACCGTCAACAATGAACGTGACTGTTAAAAAGCAGCATGCCATTTCACCAAATTTAATTTTTAAATCTCCCCACTGAGAAAAATACGCTTTACGTATATCTATAAATAAATTATATACAGTTTTTTCCCTATGTCTACTTTTAACCGACAAAATCTCTTCTGAAGGACGTTTCAGCAAAAGTTTTAACACACTAAAAAAATCATATCTTTTTGTCAATAGCCCTGCCTTTTATTTTAGATAGGTTGGTTGGTACGTACTTATAAAAGCGATAGTAAAGAGTAGTATGCTTTTAGCCTAGAGAAGGAAAGAGAGGTGAGATAAACGATGATCGTAAAGTGGCCGCCTACAGTTCATTGGTATCAGGTTAAAGCAACAACCGTAGGTACATATCGTAAATACAAACGTATTTGAACAAGTAGAAATCGTGCACAACTCTTGTCCACGACACAACAAAACCACGGATACGTTATAAATTTTTGCATATCGAAATCTGTTCATTATATAATATTATGCAATAAGTACGCCACTGGTCACGCACGACAAAAAATGCAAACAGCTGATGGAATAAACAAAAAATACCGCGGCCACCTTTGATTATATAATCAAAATGTCACAGAGAAAGAACATTTCGACTTTCGATAGAAAATTATAATTATAGCAAATTGGACATTATCTTTTACGCAATATAATTACTGAATTTGTTTGTTTGTATTATAAAGAGCAATTTGTAAAAAAAACGGTAAACGCAGTTGTGTTCACCAACAATATGGCCGCCGAAAACGCGCAGACGGCTTAATCGCTGATTTACACCGCGACGACGCAGGTTCTAATCCGAGCGCGCGCACTACGGAAGACTTTTTTTATATGAATAGATATTCGGCTTAGTTGTAGGCGGAAATTGAAGGCGACGGGAAAGGTCGTCAAAGTCAGAATCGGTTTTTTTCCATTATAATTTTTTTAAACCACCTTCTGGATAGGTACATTCAATGGAGAAAATTTGCCTCCAATTATTCTCTCTATCTGATTCAATAAAAGCAGTTAAAGCTCAAAACCATTTAAGAGAACGTCCGTTTCAAATTTCAACCACATGAAATCTCAAAATCGAAATTTGGAATGATTTCCATAACCTCCCAATTTTTTATTTGTGAGGTTATAAAAGATCTATATGTTAATAATCCGATTTCTGGCAATAAATAAATAATAAAATAAAATAAATTAAAATAATACCAAACAAAAAAAATAAAATAAAAATAAATAAATCAAAATAAAATTAAATTAAAAAAATAAAATAATGTAATGTAATGACGGGGCGGAAGGGTTGTTATTTTTAACAAGGGAAGTAAAGTAGCTAATTAAATGGGGCTAATTGTTGGTTAGAACTCATTATTAAGATGCGAAAAATCGACCTGACCTTTCATCGCCAACTAATTAGGTAACAACTCACAGGGGGCGTTAACCCCGAGCTGGCGCAGAACCTTGAGATCGAATGCGTCGTTGGAGATGACATCCTGAAAGCTTGTGTATTTTATTTTACTTTCATTAATATATTTTTTTAATTTTTCTATTATAACGAAGCGGGCGCCAGGCAGGCACCTGTTTGCCGCCCTGAAGTTGTGATCACACCGTATATTTGTGGTCGACAGCTTTACTGAACACCCAGTATATCTAGAAGCGTTTCGTTACTAAAAATTGTAGTTTCTGAATTTACTTATTGGCTCTAGGAGACGAGGAGTGAGCTTTGTGTTTTCATTTTGTTTAATTGTTTCTCATACCGCCGCATGTAATAGTTTCGTAGTGAATTTATTCGTTTTGGAACCGCTCCTGTAGGAATATTTAAATTGATTTTACAGCCCCCGAAATTGACAAATTAATATTTTAGAATTTCAGACATGATAAGCCACTATTCGCAGGTTTTGTTTTCTATGGCAAATTTAAAACTGCAAGGCCATGCAACTTTCGCCGTTCTTGGCAAGATAGCGCCGACCCGATTGATTCAATTAACAATCAGTGTTAATTGGAATACCAATTCTGAAAATTTGGATACGGCTAATTAAGTGAGTGAAAAGACACGTAGTTAAATAAATGTGATGCAGTAAACTCTTGTTTTAATGTGGAAGATGAATACAAACTAATTCAATCAAATGATAACTTTCTATTTTATTTATTAATTGACAATTACCCTCAGCCGACTACTATCTATACATTCTAACAGTCCGCCTCGATTCAATTTTAATCCTAAATATTTGAATCGCTTACTTTACATCTAATCAACAGAACAACTATAAAAAAAAAAAATAATATCCAGATCAATTTACAAGTCCAATTTTCTTGCATATGTACTGGAATACATTCTTTGACAACCCCTTTGTCATTATGTCGGCCTGTTGCTCTTGCATTTTAATATAACGAAGATTGATGATTTGTTTCTCAATGCAATCACGAATGAAATGATATTTTATATCAATATGTTTTGTTCGTTGTGAAACCTTTTCACCTAAAGCGATTTTTATAGCTCCCTTGATTGTCTTCATGAATAATCGTTGGTCCATCCAGAGATATACCAATTTCACATAATATACCACGGTACCAGATAATTTCAGCAGCAGCAATCGCCAAAGAAATGTACTCTGACTCCGTAGTTATAAAGCAATGGACGTTTGCTTTCGTGCTGTCCATCCAACTGTTGAACCAAACACTTTGATTATATTTCCTGAAATCGATTTTCGCTCATTTGATTCACTATCATAATCAGCATCGGCAAATCCCTCCAATACTGGTGATTTATAATGGCAGTTGTATAATAATCGCAAATCAAGAGAACTTTTGACATATCTTAATATTCGTTTTGCACCAATCCAATGTTCATCAGTCGCACATGACTGGAATTGGCTGAAGTAACCAACAGCGGCACACAAATCAGGTCTTGTTGCATAAGCTATGTACATAAGACAACCAATCAGTTCACGATAAGGTTTCTTCGTGAATTCTGATTCACTGCGTGTGATCTTCTTGGTTTGAATCTCCATTGGTGTGGCAACCGGATTGCAATTATTCATGTTGAATCTACGTAGAACGTCTTCGAGATATTTGCGTTGACTTAAATATAATGTCCCAGCATCACGGTTTCTTTGGATATTGATGCCAAGGAAGGTTTTTATTTCACCCATATCTCGCATCTCAAATTCGGCTGCAATCAAACGCTTAACAATCAAAATCTTATCCAAATTCTTTCCAAGCAAAATTAAATCGTCCACATACAATAAAAGTAAGATCATACTTGCCCCACTGCCCATCAAGTACAAACATTGATCATATTGCGAACGTAAGAAACCAATTCTTACAACAAATGTGTGAAAACGCTCATTCCAAACTCTTGACGCTTGTTTAAGTCCGTAGAGAGACTTATTCAATTTGCACACCAATTTGCCTTGGACAAAGCCATCGGGTTGCTCCATATAAATGTCCTCTTCAAGCTTGCCATTAAGAAAAGCAGTCTTCACGTCCATTTGGTGTATTTCCAAATCTCGCTCAACCGCAAGCGCCAGCAAAAGACGTACAGTCGTGATTTTCGCCACCGGTGAATAGGTCTCATTGAAGTCAAACCCCTCTCGTTGCGTGAACCCACGAGCGACCAACCTTGCTTTGTACGTTTCCAATTCTCCTGCAGCATTCCGCTTCCTTGAGAATATCCATTTACAAGTAATGACAGCACGGTTGGATGGTCGTTCAACAAGGGACCAAGTTTCATTTCTTTTTAAAGAATTCATTTCTTCATTGACCGGTTTCATCCATTGATCAGAATCATTTCGTTTTGCAATGTCTCCAAATTTCATGGAAACATCATCAATGAATGCTATTGCATTTAGTGCAAATGCAGAGAAGCATTCGTCCGTATTAAATGAACATGTGGATAGATAATTTTCATGCTCATCATCGTATCTTAATTCAATTGTCGAACTGTCGACCCAGCTACCGAATTTACTTGGTGGTTGACGCTTTCGCTTTGAACGTGCTAATTCATTGCCGGAATATAATTCTTGATTATCAAATTCAGTATCAATTCGTCCAACATCTATTACTCCGCCTGAATCAATACTATCCTTTCCTTTACACGTTGTTTTATCTCCAACATCGTCAATCTCCGCCTCGTCAACACCACTCTTCGCTTGATCTGACTCGTAAAATATGTTCGATGATTCATTGCGTTTTGATTCATCGAATATTACATCACGTTTTACAACAATTCGATTCTTTGAAGAATCCCAAAGTCGATAGCCATTAACTCCATAACCAACCATCACCATCTTGGTTGATTTTGCATCCAGCTTTTTACGAAGTTGATCAGGAATATGTACATATGCAGGCGAACCAAAAACACGGAATTTTGAAATGTCTGTTTTCTTCCCCATCCAAAGCTCGTATGGTGTTGCAACCGACTGAATCGCTCGAGTTATACTACGATTCATCACAAAAGTTGCACAATATACAGCTTCACCCCAAAATATGCGTTCCATATGTCCATCTTCGAGCATGGACCTTACCCTCTCTATCAACGTTCGATTCATTCGTTCCGCGACACCATTTAGTTGCGGTGTATACGAAATCGAATACTGTAATTGAATGCCAGATGCTTCGCATTGTGCCTTGAACCGATTAGATGTGTATTCTCCTCCATTGTCACAACGTAACGCGCCTATTTTCTGCCCAGTATGCGTTTCCGCCATTAATTTGTATTTCTGGAACATAGTGAAGACATCCGATTTTTCTTTGATAAGGTACACTGCCATAAAATGAGTAAAGTCATCAATAAATGTCACCATATATTTGTAACCATCCCATGTGCATGGTGAAATCGGCCCACAAACATCACTGTGTACCAAAGCCAACGTACGCTTTGATCGCGCTCCGCCTAAATTGGCGAACGGCTTTCTAGATTGCTTGCCCATGATACAAGGTTCACAAATAGTATCCGCGTCATCAACTAATACGCCAACACCGTTAACCAACGATGGCATTTTTCTTACATCGGCGTAATTCATATGTGCTAGTCGCCTGTGCCATAGTTTTAAACTTTGCTTTACACTGCCATTGGATTTTATCACCGCGTGTACGTTTTCATTCAAAATGCGTTTCATTTCAAATTCATACAAGCGTCCAATCCGCCGACCGGTGATTACTTCACTTGTACCCCGCATAATATGGACCAATCCATTCTGCACAATCATTTCTAGACCAGCATCCTCCAATCGGCTTACCGAAAACAGATTATATTTCAAATCTTTGATGAAAAGTACATTAGTCAGTGTACAACGTTATTCATCACCATTCACAACAACAGTTCCTCGAATTATACCTCGCTTGTATGCTCGAATCGACTCACCACTTTTCGCAACACCTACAATAATTGGATCTTCCAAATCCCATAATTCATTGAACAATGATAGATCGTTCACCATATGTTCAGAAGCACCTGAATCAATTATGAAGCGAATTGATGATTTTGTGTGGCCAACAAAGGCAAATGTACTCGTGTCAGCAACAATCGCCACATCATCTACCGCATTTTCACTAATTGCCAAATTCGATTTTCCTTTCTTCAAATTCACATTGTTCATTTTACTTGATCTACCGTTCTTCTTCTGAAGTAACTTTGGACATTCGTTGCGTTTATGACCTTCTTTCTTGCAAAAATAACAACGTATTACACCACCATACCTGGCAATGCTATTTGAACTACTTTGACCTGCATCCAAATTGCACGATTTGCTCTCTTCGTCTAACAGACGCGAGCGAACAATCTCCATTGTTAAGTTTTTAATATCCATCGTCTCAAGAGCAGTGACCACCATATCATATTTCCTTGACAAAGTCAAAAATAATGTGACAATTAAATTTCTGATATCCATTTCTCCTCCGCATGCTTTTAATTCGCGCACTAATTTGTCGAAGTTGAGGAAATGTTCAGTTAGATTACTTGAATCTTCACAACGTAGCAGTAACATTCGCTTTCTTACACTTATTTCTGTTGCTATACTTGTTCTTTCAAACGTTGTACGAAGCGACTGTATCATTGCAAATGCTGTTTTCCGTTCCTTCAAATACTCTAAATGCGAATCCGCAACACGACGAGTTATTTGTAAACGACATGCGCGATCTTCCTTAATGATTTTCGCAATTTCCACATTATTTTCACGGATATCAGGTTCTGTTACAGCTTTGGCTGCATCTGTTTCCAACCATTTTTCAATTCCTTTGTCCTCTAGCACTACTTGTAGCCGGAAATACCAATTGCTAAATTCTCGTCCATCAAATTGTCGGAACACAAATTTTTCCTCATCTGCCATTTGATTGATGTGTAATGTAATTCAAATTTCTAAGTTTCGGCTCACAAACGTTTTTCTTCAAACTGCACCAAAAACCAACCACTTCACAATGTGCTGAGATAGCCCATAACCTCTTGTTTTAATGTGGAAGATGAATACAAACTAATTCAATCAAATGATAACTTTCTATTTTATTTATTAATTGACAATTACCCTCAGCCGACTACTATCTATACATTCTAACATAAACGTCATTCGATTGGAGCGTCCTTAATGCCCAATCAAGCGCGCTTAATTAAGAAGAATTATGATCCCAGTCCCATATTTTTCCGTTGATCCCTGGGCGCGCCATTAATTAAAGAAATTTTTATTTTCGCGATTTAACACAACGACACGCCGATCAATTTGGAATTTCCTACGTTCCCTCCCTGCACGAGTCGAATTTTATATAAGGTGTTGTTTAGGAGGGATCTTTTTAGTTTTGTATCTTTGCAGCTACGTTTCGTAAGTGCCGTAATGGAGGATTTTGTAATTTTTTTCTTTATCGAGTGATACCAAAATCTAATAAGGTGTCCATAAGAAAGTTGATGTAATTTACTCAAAACCTAGAAGTCACAAAAATTTTGTTTCAGTACCATCAGAAAGCTGAGAAAAAATCACTAAGGGTTTGTTAAAAGTATTTTTTGATATCTTGAAAAATAAATGCGAACCCTAGCGCATTTTCGAAAATATTTTTTCGTTTTTTTACCATAATTTCGCCATTTGTAGAGCTACAAGAACTTATGAGTAGGATAATTAATCAGCATAGCCCATGGGTCAAGTGTCATGGCACTGGACCTATGACCCAACACCCTTGACCCATGACACATGACCCATGACAGTTTGAAGATTGGGCCACTAGATCCAAAGTTACAGCCATTTGAATTTTCTTTCGAAATTTGTATTTAGTCCATAACTTTTGATTGAGAGGTCTAATCGAAAAAGTACGAAAAGTTTTGGATTCTACGCACCTAAATTAATAAGAAAGTGTTTTCCCAAGAAATTTTGGAGTAGTCGATTTTTGATAAAAAAGGAAGGTTATATACACTGCCTTTTTTTGAGGCTGGAAAAAAAATGTCTGAGATCGACCGCGAAAAAACATTTTCTTATAAAATTTGGTACGTAGAATCCATAATTTCAAACAGTTTGAAGATTGGGCCACTAGATCAAAAGTTACAGCCCTTCGAATTTTTTTTCAAAATTGGATTGAGAAGTCTAATCGAAAAAGTATGAATTGGTTTTTTGTCCAAAATTATTGATTGACCCATGACCCTTGGCACTTCACCCATGACCCCATTTAACAGACTTACGGTTTACGAGATCCCTATAGTGGAAGTGGCACCTTTATATTTTACTTATTTAGAACTTTGGTTACATTTGACTCTAAATTTGATAGTCCTTCCTTGGCCGGAGAGGAACATATGTATCAGCTGCAGGACTCTCGGTTCAAAAGTTATCGCACATGGGACAGAGAGATGCACTGGGGTAGGTACAATTTCTTTCACAATTCGTACAAATATACAGGGTTGCTCCATCTCAAAAATGTGCCAATCTATCAACTTGTCAAATGTTACAAAACTGTGATGTAAATACCAGTTAGGCAGTAAATATAAATATTTCCGTGTCTTAGGAAGCTACCTTGACCGGACAGTTGTAAGGGGGCCCCATGTATCAGGAATATGAAGCACAATCTATTCTAATATCGAGTCACACTGGTTGCCAATAATTTTCAAAAAAAGTTGATGTGTAATTTTATTCAATTCAAGTGATACCTGTGCACAGTTAACAACTGCAGCCGACTGCGCTAGCATTATTGAGTGTTATAATTAAATATTTATATTACTTTACTTAAAATACTGTTAAACACACTTTAAGCAGCACCTATCAATCAAATGCTTTAACCATCACAATGTAGTAGTATTACAATATCGTTTACGTTTGACCCAGTGTTTATTTACTACGTTCAGTCATACACTTGCAACTTAAAATAGAAATTAAACTAATCACATTGCATTTAAATAAATTAAAACAGTAAGACAAGAATACTTTTAACACAATAAGATAGAACTAGTTTTAACAGAAAAATGTGCCGATTACATTTTCTTTCATATATAGTGAACTCCAAAATGCCGAAAAACTGAGACAAACGTACCTCATTCCATACATTCGCCAGTTCAGATATTACTTTGATAGTAAAAAAAAATTATTATACAGGCAAAAGACGGAATCTTGGTCTTTGTTAATAACTTAATTATAAATATTATTCCTACAAGTCCATATTAAAAAAAAGAAAAACAGAAAAACGTCCACGATTTCAACGATTATATTTGAAAGCAAATTATACATATAATATATATCGCTACACCGTGGCATTTAATAAAATTATTAAAAACAGTATTTAAACATAAATTACATTAGTAATTAACAATTGAGTAATTAATTCATGTTCAATTAAAGTCACTATTTGTATACAAACATGCATGTCATATATTTACAATACACTGGTGTTATACCGTACGTAAACGTTCTCAAGCACAGTCAAGAAATAGAATTTGGGGTTGCAAAATTGAGGTGACGACTCCGAAGCTCACTCACAATGCCCGCCGCCATCAGTCTCAGTTGTAAATTTTAATAGCCTTTTCTAAATAATTAAATCGAGACCGTTTCGGCGCCTTATTTACATGTTCCAATCCTAACCATGGTCGTGGACTACCACCTGTAATTAGATCATTTTAGAACCACCTTTTATTATAGGATGTAAATGACTATACTAATAAAAAAAGGTTAGAATGAACACAGTCGACTTTTGATATAAAACACTTTCTACTTGCTTTCATTAGTATCTACAAACAAAAAAAATTAGTTTTTATATAAAAAATACATGGTGCCATTTTAAAATGTGAAGGGGGGGGGGGCATTTTTTTACATGAAACATAAGACCATACGTCCATTAGAAAGCTTTTTTTCTCTTTCTTACTACTTTAAACATGTAAAAAGATATGCTTTCTAATGACGTATCACATGACCTATATTGCTATTTCAAGAAATTCAAGATGGCGGTAATTGCCTACCAACGTGTGGTCGTAGTGAACAAAGGTTAGATGTCAAATGGCGGTGAGATGGTAACAGTGTGTAGGGTTTTTGTTTTAAAATTGTTTCATATTGTATATAACTTTTGTTTTGTACTATATACCAGGTGTCCAAGGTAAAAATCAACAGCACAATGATTTCGGATATCGATAAAATTGAAAACGTCATCTTGTAAAACTAGTAACCTAAATAAACGAAAGCACATATTTCAAATTTATTCGAATCTCAGAAAATAAGCATAATTTTCTAATTGTCTAAACTGCATTTTATTGGCCCCTTAATTCTGAAACTTTCTTGCACAATCCTCCGAAACAGATTGACACATGGATTGCTATTAGCCCTATGCTTTCATACAAAATCACGGATAGGGGACGCTATAGTCATGGGTATGTTAAAGTCACTAGATATAGAAAGTACCACAATCATCCGCCATTTTTGGGCAAATTTGCTGGCAACTTAAAAAACTTGACAAAACCTGAATAGCTGTCATTTTTTATAACCTAACTTCATAGTACTGTCATGTTTTATAAAAATATATACAGATATCTCCAAACAGGTGGAACACATTAAAGTTACTAGAATCTGGTAACTTCCGCCATTTTTGGGCAAAGATCATGCGTTCTCTCTCTAACACACGAGCCCAATGGATTGCGGTACTTTCTATACTTAGTGACTTTAGGGTATGTGAAAAAATGAATTGACATTTGTTAAATTAAAGATCGACAGTCTCAAATTGTGTTTTAACGGACAACTTCGGACAGACCTGAAACTCACATACCCAGGCAATGCCCTTGATATATTTTATTTGCAATTAATAGTCCATGTACGGTATGGTCTAAAGTTTAATAGCTTACAAACAAATTGCATGTATTTGATTTATTGTTGCATGACCTCTGGTGGAAGTCAACAGTTGGTAATAATTGGCACCACCTACCACCTTAACCTAACATGTTGTGTCAGCAGAACCGTTCAGGCATATAACCTAAAATACGTTTACGGTGTTAAGTCAACAGTTGCGTCGGCTGAACGTACCCATTAATTCTGTATGATGCGTTCAACCTGCGACACACTTACATATTTTGGGTCAAGTTTTTAACTTACCTGATTCATGGTACATTTCCTACAGACAAATCTTGAGGAAATTTTTTAAGAGGAGCCTTTAAAACAAGTTGCCAGATTTTGCCAAGCGCGCCGCTAAAGTCGCTAAAAATCGATATTTTTCATGAAATTTCAGTCAGCAAATTCGATTGTCATTAATGGTAACACCTTAGATTAGGAAAGAGTATGGATACCGCGTATGCCGTACAGCCCGTGTATGAATCGTGTTACCTTTTTAAACAAGTCCGCCATTTTATATGTGGCACATATGTCATTAAAGTAACATCGTTTTTTACGAGTTTTTGCGCTTAAATTGAGAGGAAATACACAAACAACAACTTAAAATCATGGTGAAATGTGCATATTGTGGATGCAAAAGCCGGAGTGAGAAGGAGGAACCGGGAATTTCATTTCAAACGTAAATATTGAAAATGTGCCTAATGCCGTTACCACGTATTTTCCTATTTTTCCTCATAAAGTTCTTTCTTTGAATATTCTTCTTTTAATATGTTAAAATTCATAGCTTAATGAGCGACTTGACTTAATTTCTTACAACAGGACCAATCCCATGCATTCAAATTTTGATAACAAACGTCTTCAAGGACGGAATTATTCAATAAACTCCATAGACGTAGTCATTAGCACTCCGCGTTTTTCAAAGAGAAAATTGGTACGGAAACGGCTTTACGTGAAAAATCAAACAGAAAGCAAGGAAGATTCTTATTTTATCACAGTCTTTAGCTGGAGGGACAGTTAGTTTTGAAGGCATTTTCGAAAAAAGATGAGAGGAAGTTTCGTTTATACCCGTGTCTGATTAATAAATAGCGCAACGCACGAATTTCATTCGTATGTTCAACTTCAACGTGATTTATTAGCTATAATAGGTGCTTCTGCCACTATTCGCATTTACGGATGCTACGACACTGGCCAATGTCAATATGTGGCAGCTGGTAACACTACCGCTAGTGAATTATGCGTCCATATTCTTTCCTTGTCTAAGGGTAACACCTATCGCTTCCCTATAGAGGGCGCCTAAATTTTAGTGCGTTTAAAGTCACTAGATATAAAAAGTACCTCAATCTTCGACTCCAAGATCGCAATCATCCTCTATTTTTGGCGGTAAGTGGTATTTATTATTGGTGTGAGTAATCACACTGAACCACGAACTTATAAATAAAGATGGACTGCTAATGTTTAATTGACAAATGACACCTACATGGGGGCAGCCATGATGTGCGCTCACTTGGCGCGAAATTCAAATCAACTAATAAACAAGCATTAACCTCACTTTTTTCTAAATAACTTACTGTGATACATGTCATTTTCCAAGGCTGCAATAGTCTCAAAACTTGAGCACTAGGAAAATTCCCCTAGAAAATAACTAAAACGTGCACATCATGGCCGCGCCCATGCTAGGGCCATTTCTATCTCTATGCAACTGTTTGATCAGCAGTCCATCTTAATTTATAAGTTCGTGCACTGGACACATTTAACATTCTTGGTGATAACAAGCGCTATCTTGGGGAGAATACCTGAACTTTACTAGGTTTGCCAACATGGTTGATTATTATTCGTTGTCAATGTCGGATGGTTTTAACCACATTACTAATTTATTATCAACTTTTGCGAGATGATATTTGGGCAATTAATTTCGCATGTAGTTGAGGAGGTATTCAGTATCTCAAAAATTACCTACTACTTCAAAGTAAGTGTTAAGTGTTTCAAGTGTCAACCTTGTTTTTATGGTTAATAATGAAAATTGAAATCCCAAAAAAGCTTATTACCGACTCCTTGACTAGTAGAATCAGAATTTATCCTCATATTTGCATGATTTTCAGTAATACGAGAGTAATGTGTCTAATAAATATACCTAACTTTGGAATTATGGCGCCATCTTGCGGAGTATGTGTTTTAAAGGGAGATCTTAATAAAAAGATCAACATTTATAATAGAAAAATGACATTTTTCCTTTTACTTACACAAATTTCCAACAATCAAAGCAACCTACCTGCACATGGCAAACTAAATACTATCGCCATTTGGCCTCCAGAGAATTTTCTTCTTTTGATGCAACTTTCCTGAAATTTTGACAAAAGACCCGCCCTTCTAATAAAAGTAAATAGAACGCATACTTTACAAGTCGACTGTGCGCATGCGCAGAATCACCACAAGTAACACCCATAAATGCACACAAATTGAAGTTTTATACTTACTATTGTTAGCGTGTGGTCTAAATTCATCAATGTTAATTATAAAATCATCATCGGAGATGAAATGTGGCCTTCCCATAACAACAATAGCAAATTTAAACTTTTCCCACTCCTTCTCCGGCACAGCCAATTTTTTCTGTATTCGTTCTAAATGCAAACTATTAATAAATTTGAAAGCCAACTCAAGCTCCTTACCTTTAACCCTGACGAAAGCTTCGCCATGTTTGATTTTGATTAAAAACGGTATTCCAAAAGTGGAAAAGACCTCCTTTTGGAAATGCGCGCACGAAATTAACATTTCATCGTCTTGCAGTCTGAGCTCCTCCGTGGGGATTTCCTCCACTCTATACACTTTGGCCGTACCTATCGCCAACGCTTCCAACGACATATCCTCCTTAGGACCTGCGATAACCTTATTGCAATTCACTTCCACTAACCTAAAAATTACACCGATGCCATAAAAGTTCGTACACACTGTGATCTAACCTTAATTTCCCAGTGCCACCCTCGGCAAATTCGACTTGTTTTTTAGCCTCCTCTAAAAGATCCGCAACCGTTCCTCCTTTATTAGGATATAATATTAACTCCTTTTCCTCTTTAAATTTCGACCCTACCCAAATACATTTAATTTGCCTTTTATTTTCTAATTCGTTAACTCTTATACTAAGTTGCTGATAAAAAATTTTCTTTGGCGTTTTTGGTTTCGAGGGCAACAGCAGATCATTTAACGTCCCGTCGAATGTACATCTGAGTGGATTTCCCGGAATGTCTTTATAACTGAAACAGAACGCGTTATTTGCCGTCATGAGAGAATTGAGCGCACACCTTTGACATTTGAAAAACTGTAACAAATACGGATCGGTGCCCACCCTTTGCGCGACCGCCCTCGCTAGCTGATCGTAGGTCATACGTTGCGATAACTCCATCGTGAAGCCGGTGTCATTCGGTATAGATTTATCTACAAATGTCACTTCGACTCGAAAGAATAGATCTTTGAAGTAATCCGCGCAGGTCGGCAGATCGGAGAGTTCTTCCCTTTCTTCCTTTTCGAATACGATTATATCGCCATCCATCAATTCGTCCAGCACCTGTAAGGGAGCAGTATAATAATCGTTCTTGATACATTTATAATTTGTCTACTACTGATAAAGGTTTAGTTATTGAGAGCATACTTTAACAATGGAAAAACAAAAGCTACTACATTACAGCCTACACTAGATCTTGGCATGATTCAAGATGGCCATCTGGTGGTTGGTAGTTAGACCCACCATATCGGCAAATCTGTTTACATGAACCAGATCTGTTGAGATTGATCAGATAATGGAAGAGGGGGTTTGGGACCTGTTATGTATGTCTTAAGGTAATTTAAGAAACCTAGTGTGCATCCACCTCATGGTTTTGCAAATATACTATCTAACCTGGAAATACTGGCATTTTTATTACTTTGAACTGTTTACAGCTGTATTACAATTTATTCGAGTACAAAAAGACGGATTGCCCTTTGTGATCATAATACAAACGCACTGGAATGACATCATATAGGAAGCCGATGCTATCAGTCATCTAGTTCAGCTGTTGGAGACAGTTCTGATAGGGAGCGAGGAGGAACACATTTCCCTATCCAATATGGATTGAACAGTGAGGCACATCATACTACTGCACTCATGACAGTTCCGGTTCTTCTGAACAGTACCCCTTGGCAAATTTGGGGCTTCTAAGCTTCTAAAATTACATAGAGGCCAGACTAGGAGAGCCCACATGCAGTTTCTGTGGCGAAACAGATGAAACTACCGAGCATGTGGTCTGTCACTGTGACGCCTTGATCTGAGAGAGGCGCCAGCTCCTTGCCGACAGTTATCTAGACCTGAGGAGGGTGAAGCAACTTAAGATAAACAGGGCCCTGTTCTTTATGGACAGAAACAGGCTGTGAACCTAGTTGCGAAAGAAAGGGGATAGGCACAATGGGTCTTTGGTGTGCCTAAGTGCTGACTGGTGGGGCTCCCCTTACGAATAGTAATAGAATAGACTCCACAGTCCGCATGCATTGAATACATTCAACCTTTTCACCACACAAATTGACACAAAGAATGCAGCTATCTAATCAATAGAAGAAATGAGAAGAGTTGGTCCTAGAGCAGGTCGAAGACCACTCGCCCCCTGGTGGTGACCTTCGAAACTGTCACGTTTGGGCCTACAGCAGCCATTGTTGTGGCAATTAGCACTCCCCCTTACCAAATACATTCAAAAGTATTTAGTGGTAATTGGTTTACTTTAAATTTTCAGATAACAGGAGGTATCTGAATCGTACCTTAACCAACATTTGAAAGGCTGCACACCAACGACATTTGAACTACTTGACCACTCCCAAGGTTACCATCAAGGAGTTGCGCGAGCGGCGCTGGAAAAACAAAACATGGCCTCCAAATGTCAACTCAGCATGCAGCCTTGGCTGAAACCCCGCCCACTCAAAAATAAAGGCAAATTAAATATTGCTATGAGCACTGACAGTATGCGGACAGACTGTAGAGTAGGTGCTGGCAGCACTTGAGGGAACAAACACCTAAGGCGAGTAATTTTAGCGCATTTTCCATGCATTGATTCCCTTCCCAAAAGGTTATTTTAGGTTTTTCTAGAACCTTAAGGTAAGTAGGGGAGCCCACAATGCTAAATGGGAATTTATTCGAGCATCGTAGGGACCTATTGAACTTTGTAGATTAGATGGTAGAAAGAAAACGTTATATGATATACAGTCAAGGTCAAAAGTAATGTGGTCTCTCAGATACCTCAACTGTAGAAACAATCAATTTCACTTCAATCTTAGGGACTTTCCTCATTTTTGAAAGAAGCTCAAAACTCACAGATCTGGTATATTATGTGCTACACTTGAGATAATCGAAGGACATTACTTCTGACCAAAACTGTACATCTTTCCACTGGTGGGGGGTGCGTGTACACTTCTTCTTTAATAATGTGCAATAAAATACTCGAGCGAGGAGGTATGTTAATCTGCCGGTTTGTATGGCGGCGGGGCCTGTACGGAATTTAGAGGGGAGCTGACGAATTGAATGCAAAAAAATCGCCATTTTAAAACAATCGAACGCGCCAGATTATTATACAACCGAATTATCTTGATGTCCTAGTCGTGCTGACCCATAATCTGACGATAATTTAGAGGGATTCTCATAATCTGACGGTTTGAAAAAACTGTTTTTTAGCGTGAGGCATTTTTTAAATCATCATAGTAGACTCACAAAATTTGATTGTGTCAAACACAAACAACTCTTTAAAAATGTGAAAAAAGAATGTTTAGTTTATTATGCGAAATTTAAAGAAAATGCAATTTTAAAATTTAATATGGCAGTTACGCCCTCTGTTGGTCAATTTTAGAACTTGAAAATATTTTCTAGCGTTTCTTCATGACCGATTTACCCAATAATTTTTTTCACCCCGAAGTCATATGACGAACGGTTCTCGAGATATGGCCGAGGAACAGTCTTATTGGGTCACTCGGTACTTAAATGAACTTGATGAAATTGAGATTACTGAAGACATTGAGACTCTTTTGAGCACTTTGAAGCTAGGTCCATAAAGTTAGCAAAGAACATTTCCAGCAATGTGACGTCATTACCGGTATGTGTAACCAAAATGAGCCCCGCCTTCCCACCTAAATAGTTGGCAACGAACGATGAAACAAATTAAAAATTCAAAATGTTAAAGAAATGTTTTTTACAAATGTTTAGAAAATGTCTCGAAAAATGTGAAAGAAATTTTGAAAATATATCAAAAATCTTGGAAATGTGTAAAAATCGTGTGTGAAAATTTGAAATTTTAAAAATACGTCAGAAAATGTTTCAGGTGTTTCAAATGTTGGAAATGTGTCAAATTGTATAGTAATCTTGAAAATGGCTAAGACATTTTGGAAAAGCTGCTCAAATTATTAATAAACATGTCGAAAATTTAGAAAAACCATATTTTGGAGAAGTTTGGAAAAAAGTCAAAATGGTAAAGAAATTTTTTAATCGTTTTGGAAATGTCTAGAAAATGTGTATGACATTTTGGAAATATATAAAAAATGTGGAAAAATTTTTGGAAATATTTAAAAATCGTGAGCGAACATTTGAAAATCTTTCTGTAATACTTCAAAGAAAAAAGAAAGCGTATGCAAAATGCCCTTAAGACATTTCCGAAATTTCTATAATATCGTACAAATTTCCAACATTTATTCATGAAGCGATTCTAATATTTTCGATTGATTTATGAAACATTTTCTGACATAAGTACTTTTAAAGTTCTTTAAGTATTACAGAAAGATTTTCAAATGTTCGTTTACGATTTTAAACATTTTTTATATATTTCCAAAATTTCTTACACATTTTCTAAACATTTCTAAAACGTTTAAAAAATTTCATTAACATTTTGACTTTTTTCCAAACTTCTCATGGTTTTTCTAAATTTTCGACATGTTTATTAATAATTTGGGCAGCGTTTCTAAAATGTTTTAGCCATTTTCAAGATTATTATACAATTTGATAAATTTCCAAAATTTGAGACACATTTCTGAAGCAATATTTCTTAATTTTCCAATGTTTATGAAACGATTCCAATAAGTCTTTCCGAAGCATTTTTGAAACATTTCCAAAATTCTTCAAGAATTCCTAAAGAATTTCCTACCGATTGTAAATAATTTTTTTGCAGCGTTTCCAAAATGTCTTAACCATTTTCAAAATTGCTGTATATGTTTGACACCTTTCCAAAATTTTTCATATCCCTTCTGAAATATTTCTTTTTCTGAACGTTTCCAAAATTTCAAAATTCTACTACCATTTCAGGTGCATTTTAAAATTTCTGTAATTTAGTATAGATTTCCAATGTTCATGAAACGATTCCAATATTTCCGAAGCATTTCTGATATTCTGGAGCATTTTCAAAATTCTTTAAATATTCTAAAGATATTTTCCAGTATTTCTGAATCAACATTGGACTCCCCCACTAAATATTTTGATACGAATAAACAAAACAGAAAAAGGATTGAAATAAACAACATGTTAGGGAGCGCAAATGTGAGGTTATGTATGGGTTACGTGTTTATAAGCCCTGACTGTTAAAACAAGTGAGGGGCGTATGATGATACGCCTTTGTAGCTCTTTACGCCAAAAATAATGGCAATGATTTTTGTGGGGGTGGTGGGGAGTGACTATCCAATGTTCTTAAGAACTGAGCCAATCGATGTTTTTAATTAGGAATATTACTGTTTTGCCTTATTAAAAATACTTAAGATCAAATTAAGGTGCAGATTAAGACACACGCGGTGCACGCAACACAACCCACGGCCACACACGCGTTGTGTTCTATATATAACATGCATGTGCGCATTAATTCCAACAGATGGTCGTGGCTTGTGTTGCGTGTGTCTTAATGTGCGCCCAGGTTAAACTTACCTGCTTACCTAATTATAAATAACACAATTACATACCTTTTCCAATGGATCATTAATATTAGCAATTTTTTCGATCATATTCGGCCTTATTTCTTCATACAGCACGAGTTCGGTATCAGGCGGAAATCCGGCGCGCTCGTTTAATAAAGGTACAAGATCTGATAGTCGGCTAGTGACCGGCAAGTAATGGTGCCCGCAATAATGGATCTTCTTCTGTTTCGGATCGTACAATTTGAAAAATAACAGCACGTCCGTATCCTTGTCGAAGTTGGGAAGCGAGGGCTGACCCGAATCGGGAGGTAACAATTCCAAAAAAATGTTCCAAGGATTCTGATTCTCCGACGCGTCCAAGACGTTCTTGTGTAGGTCGGACTCTAGGTCGAGTAGGCTGGGACGGAGCGTTTGATTTGAACGATGACTAAAAGGCCACGGTCTGATTTGTTCCGGTGGATATTTAAAGCTATCTGCCAGCATTTCCATCATTTCGCCAACCGTAGCTGCTTTTTTTATTCGAAAAACTCTGTACAATGCCCGTTCCGGATCGTATAAGTCGTTCCCCTGATGCCCGTCGAATGAATCTTCTAATAGTACGTTTATCGTCATATACAAGTGAGCCTCGCTGCGTTCCTTTCGCCTAACCTGTTCCATTCGTTTTTCTTCGGCTAACCTATCTGCCAACTCGCTCGGTATATCGGGATCGGTCACCTAATAAAACAAAATTACTTACTTGTACTTGTAACGACATCAGACAAAGGGGTTTATTAACACTGAATGTACACGTTATACACGGTCAGCATTAATAAAAATGTAATCGGAACTTTTCAGACCTCTTGCAGGACGTTGTGTAGCTCCGTATCCCTGATGTAGACCAACATGTAGGCGTTTGTACAATGCTTGACAGTCATGTTCATATCGTCATCGTGGCCACCGTAATTGTGCTCAATCGCTTCCTGTTTTGTACACCTCGACACGACATCGTCATCAAATTTACACCATTTTCCATCACCTAAAACAAATCGCACTCTGATAGTGTTACATCTCATCATGGCGGCAGTTTGTTTTTTTTGGAAATTTCAAATTGTGCACTTTCACCGTATTTATGAGATGAATTTGTTACAAAGGAAGATCAGTTACTCCATTTTTAAGACCTGCTGGGTACTGAAACGTGTCATGTGTGTCAATGTGATCACCGAAAAAAGAATTAATATGAAATACGCCTATGTCCTGCACATTGATACATAATGTTATCTGACGTATAGACGTATGGTTCTTTTAATTTTCACTGACATAAGACTGAAATTTTATGGTGGGCCTGTAACACACTGAGGTATCAAATTAAAAAGAGATAGACATAGAGGTTATTAGCGATTTCGATTTAGTGTAGATCATGTAGTGTGTAATAATGAATGACTAAATAAACGATTGCCTTTTAAAAATACGCCATATTCCGAAAGATTTCCAGTGTATGCATGGCAATTTTCCAACAGATGAATGAAACTTTGGGGAATGGTTGAACGTATGCCCGCGAAAGTTTCTTCAGTTACTAAAACACTTTCCGAAATTCCCACGGAAACGGAAACAGTTGCCACTCAGCTCGTATTCGGAAATCAGACTTTTGATCCGGCTCATATTCAATAACACTGATCCTTGAACTTGTAGAAATCGATTAGCGAAGGTTTGACATCGCTGTATCTTTTCATCGAACTAGAACCACCATAGTTTTGTCACAGAGGAAGTCATCTCCTAAGCCCCCCCCCCCCCCCCTCTATTCATCTGTGCAGGGTGAGTCAACGATTGCGCGGAGTAACTTAATACCTTGAAGATAAGATATTTCGATAGAGTGCTTTTGTATTATGATATGGTTGAATATTCTCCACATTTTGAAATTATTTGGAATTTGCGCCCACAAAGTAGGGCGCCCAAATGGTGCATTTCTTTAAATAGAACCCCTGTATTTGAATGCATTTTTGAATCCTACGTGTAATTGTACGTCTTTTCGAAATATCTTGGTTTTCCTGGTTTTTATATTCTAATCTTAAATCAGTTATATGTAATTTACATAGTGAGGTGGCCATGCAAAAAAAAGGCATTTTTTATCTGCCTTGTTCAAAGCTAAAATCATATTTATTAATTCATTTTTCTAATAATTCATTTAAGTCTAAAAACTGGAGAATAAATTTGATAGTAAAAACAAACAAATATCTTGGTTTTCCTATTTTTTAGATTTTAATCTGAAATAAGTTCTAATTTACATAATAACGAGATGAATATGAAAAAAAATGAAACTAATATCACTGACTGGATGATATTCGGAGTTAAATTAAATTTGCTTTGTAGTCAAATGTTTTTACTTATTCTCCAGTTTTTGGGCTTGGAAATTCGATATGATTTTCGTTCTGGACTAGGTAGATTGCCTTTTTTTGCATGGTCACCTCACTATTATGTAAATTACATATAATTTATTTAAGATTAGAATATAAAACCCAGGAAAACCAAGATATTTCGAAAACTATCAGAGATAGGTATAGGACATTATTATCAAAAGTTGAAGGTTTTTGGAGGAGCTAAATGATGGCAGAAAAATATACAGGGTGTTCCATTTAAAAAAAGTGAGATTTTTTAATATGAAGTTTTGCAACTATGGACCTACCAAAAAAACACCCTGTAAGCTAATTTTTTAATATTTTATAGTAGATGTGTTTATTTGACTTTTACTTAACCCAGGATAAAAGATATAAAACCTGGAATCAACATTTAAGTAATAATTTTGACAATATATACTGACGCTTGCAAATGCCCAATTTTTCTTAAAAATCTAATTATCTTTAAAACTACTTGTTTTTCGGATATTAACCATATAATAAAAAAGACGTACAATTACACGTAGAATTCAAAAATGCATTCAAATACAGGGGGTTTTATTTAAAAAAATGTACCATTTAGGCGCCCTACTTTGTGGGCGCACCCTGTATAATTCCAAATATTTTTAAAATGTGAAGCATATTCAACCATATCATAATACAGAAGCACTCTATCGAAAAATCTTATCTTCAAGACATTAAGTTACTCCGCGCAATCGTTGACTCACCCTGTACAAGAAATGAAATTTGAAAGACAGGGGGGGGGGCGCTTAGGGGGTTACTCATGACACAAATATGATGTTTCTAGTTCCCCCAACCTCTATGACAGTTGTTATGCAACCACCACGAATTTTCTTGTGATTGTGATTATTATGTGCACCTGTCTTGCGCTGGGATTTTAGTGATAAGGATGCGGAATAAATCAAATTCTATCATGTGGCACAATCCAAGCGTAGTGGGTCATTGTCAAGGTGCTTTACAGGGTGGTTCAAATTCGTAACATATTGATCAAATGAGCGGTATCCGTACCTATTTTTTTAAATTTAGATACAGGGCAGTTTAAATTCGTGGCTCGCGATTGGAATCTCCGTAACGGTGAGAGATACAGTGTAGGTTAAATGGGGCAAAGTTTCTCCTTTTTGTGAGTGAATTTTAAATTTTTGAAAAATGTTTGAAAAGAACTGCGATATCACTGAAAAACTGAAAATGACAAATTTTGGTTTAATTTTCCCTAGCTTAAACGGTCGGAAGTGGACGGTTCCTTCTATGTGTACTTTTTTTTGGTTAATCTGAATCTTTATTGAGAATTTCCATAACATGCTAGACGTAGAAGCTCAGGCTGCTACTTTCTTATTTCTTATGGACGCCATATTGGATTTTCACGAAATGAAACAGAGGACAATAAAGAAAAATAATGACGTGTCACACTCTATAGTATAGAGTGTGACACGTCTATACTGTTACATAAATTATACAACAAAAATGTTTTACTGACTACATACATTTCTCTGATTGCGTAAAAATTCAATATGGTGGCCATAAGAAATAAGAAAGTAGTAGCCTGTACAATACCTAACCTGTTATAGAAATTCTGATAACAGATTTCTAGATAAACTATATTTCACGTTATTAATAATGAATACCCAGATAGTACCTTTTACGCGTTACGATTCTTAAAGTTTCCATTCAACATTTTATGATATCCCGATGTTCAATTGTTTTACTGCGATATTTGGTTTATTCCAATATGGTTTAGGGCCGGTATTTCCATCTTCGGATAAAGTACTAGATTCGTACCTGCAAAATAACTTATACCGCCCGATATCTTCCGTTTATCTATCTGCGGGTATTTCCATCGGCGTGCGGTATAAATATATCCCGTAGATAGCTACCTAACCATAGCCAATGTTGCCGATTTTAGAAATTTTTAATAGAAAAAGATAGCGAGCGGCAGGGCCATTTATTAGAGAAAGATAGCTTACTACCTGACAATTTGAACGAATGCTTTTGTTTTTGAAAGAAATTCAGTGACTTGTAATATACTTGTCAAACGTAAATTACAGAATAAGTACTCTGAACATGAACTAAAATCGTGATGTAAATGCACCGCGTAGAAAGAAAAGAACTGCTAATTTCGAGGTCTTATCATATTAGGTCGACGATAGATCACCTCATATAATTCTTCGTCATCGGATTCGAATAAGTCAAGAAAATCTTGATCCATTTGGAATGTAAAATAGGTTACTTATATCCTTCAAGAAAACATTCGCAAATTTTTAGAACGTCACCAGTTTACTAGAAATTTGATGCAATATCCTGGGGTTATGTTGATAACTGCAGAAAATCTACCCAATAACTTTATCTAGAACTTAACCTGCCGATAATATTTAAACAAGGTTCGAAATACCCGAAGTGACGCTAACTGTCGGTTTACCTGCAAGATATCTTATACTTGACTTTATCCCGAGATGGAAATACCGGCCCTTAGTAGGTATGTATATTTATAAAAATTCAAAATATTTTGCTTTTATTTTATAGTGAGCGGAATGTTAGGCTGTCAGCTAGTCTGACATTTTCATTTTTTTAGCGCATTTTCCAACGAAGTTGGGTACGCTATTGCAGCCACTTTCTCTGTCCGTCCGTCTGTCCGAGGCCGTAACTACTTTTCAAGATATTAAGTTTGTTCTTTTTGCATTCGGTAGCGTATACACCTGAGCCAAGGAAAATCTTGACAATTAAACTGCGCAAAGTGAACTTCCTTATCTATTATATTTTGTTGAAATTTTAACCACAGATATTTCTGGTGAAGGCAAACATATCGCATATAGTAAAAATCAGATGTGCGCATGCGCAAACTGCGCATTGGCAACTTTCTTATTTATGGAGATATTTCTTTGAAATTTTAACCAAAGTTGCTTTTAGTGTAAGCAAACGTATCGCATATTGTAAAAATCAGATTAATGTGCGCATGCGCAATATCAACTGTTATTTATCAAGATATATTTTTGAAATTGTAATCACAGATGCTGCTGTTAAAGGCAAACATAACTGATATTGCAAAAATTAGATGCCAACTTCTTTATTTATCAAGATATATCTTTGAAATTTTAACCATAGATGCTTCTAGTAAAGAAAAACATATCACATGTAGTAAAAATCGAAAACTACAAATATCATTAGGAAAAGCAAACATAGTGCACACAGTAAAAATTAAATCCACGCATGCGCAGACTGCAAATTGCTAACTTTTTTACTTATGAAAATCTCTCTCTAAAGTTTAACCATAAACGCTTCTAGTAAAAACAAACATTGCATACCTATAGCATAAATTAAATTGTGCTCATGCGCGAACTGCGCAACGCCAACTTTTTTGTTTATGGAGATATTTCTTTGAAATTTTAACCATATATTCCTCTAGTAAAGAAAATCACAGCGCACGTAGCTATGGCCTTTTGGGTAGTACTGATCATTCATAGAAAATGCGCTGACGTTACTCGCCTTAAGGCGAAAAGCTTTTTACTTGTTAGTGATATCTCGATTATTTTCAAAGGAGAGACAATTTTCTGTATATCTCCCCCTCTTTGAATGGGTAATTGAGAAATGTTATTGTAGGTACTCTGGGCAGAGATGATGCTCGTACAAGTATAGTAACATATGAGAACTTCCAGTTGTAAAAGAGCGGCACCTATCGCCATGGAACTAGTGGTGGCTGGTATTACTTTAGTATCTAGGGGTTTATATGGAACAGAATTACCCCCAACTAAGTACACTAGACAATTTAACCATGCAATTGCCTAATGGTGGAATCATTAAGCTACTGCTGATGTACAGTGTGTCCTATTTTGGTTGACCCTGCAGTGTATCTCAGCTGTTTTTAAAGACTTGCGGTTTTCGTGACCCTGTACCACGTTTTTCCGAAACTTTTATGGCTAGCACAGTTACCACCCGCAACCTTGCGCATGCGCGTTCTCCCCAATTCACCTCTTTCTTTTATGTCTAAGAATATGTGTACCAAATTTGGTTCCAATCTGTAACTACGGCAGTCTGAATGAGGCGTTTTAGAAGTCAGAATTAACTGTTGTACTGCAATTGGTGCCTGAGTGGTAATTTGATTTTATCAGATGATTGGTATTTTATGTATTGCCAAGAAAATACAGATAACTCATTTTATTAAAACTATTCCAATACCTTTGTTTAGTCGTTCTGTATCTGCATAAGCCCGATAAGTGTACTAAATGAGATCAAATTAATCCTTCTAATCGTAACTGAGAAAGGTGGCAACACTGCATGAAAATTCTTTTGGGTGACAGTTTCACGTCAGTTCATGATTAAACATATAAATCTGCGTATGTGAATGTTAACCTCCCAATATCATAAGTAGCTGGCCTCCTGTATTACCTACCTGTTGGCTCAACTTCGATTATATCACGGCGTCCAACATTTAAACAGAACAAACGTTAAATTGGAATATCAAAAATCAAATCAATCAAAAATATCTAAATAAAAACATACCTTTAGGATTAATAAAGACGACATAGTGTCCCCCGTGATTGTCGCCCGAATGCACGAGTACGGCGTGCAACGTGTAGTCTGCCGAATTGGTCGGATCGGAATCCTCGAGGTAACTGTCCAGCGAGATCTTCTCATAAAACTCGAAACGATCATTAAACTTGACCGAACAGTCGGTGATCGGGTCATACTGAAACCTCATCAGATGTAGATGCAGTACGGGCGGAAACGACGAGAACACGACGCCCTTCTCTGCGTCCTGCAGACCGTGCTCGCCGGCGTCGTACTTGTTGTCGCCATCTAGCGTTTCTTTAGCGATATAATCCTTAAATGACTCGTCGACTAAAAATAAACCTTTGAGAATACGTCGGGCGTGTGAGGCGTACTAAACTGTTCTTTTTGCCCTTGATGTTTAGTTGAATGTCGTAAAACGTTTCGGTTCGAGTGCTAGTGTAGTCGACATTTTTACAGCGGATGTAAGATATCATTTTGCCTTCGAATAACTTAGGAACTGTACCTTCTACACATGTGCCTTTCATTTTACTCTCCAGTTTGTCAAGCAGGACCTAAACAAAAATTAGATTATACAAAATAAGAATGCACCGAGGGGTTGATCACTTTGTAAATATGTACAATTGTGAGTAAATGTGTGGTATGATGTAATAGACTCATAGCACATAGACAATATGAACTACAGCATGTCCATATTTCAATGCCTACTATTGGTATGTCAGCAATTAGAAGAAATAGAAAAAGATTCAAGTCGGATTCTGAGATTAAATAAGTATCATAAGTAGGGACCGGATTTATACGCATGAAAACACGTCAAAAATGCACATATACAGGGTGATTTTTTTTTCATTTTAAGCATTAGGATCTCGGAAAACGTAAGACGTAGAGATTCGGTTAAATGAGGAAAGAGTTGTAGTTTTAAGAGCTTATTCAAGATATGCTGTTGTTTTTTTAAAAAATACAGTTTACTAGATATGAGCGAAAAACAGATTTAGTGATTTTTCATTGTAGAATCGTTAGTATTAGAAATACAGAAATATATAATACAAATATGCAAAAATTGTAGATTTTTTTCCGCTTAATAAGATACATTTATTAATATTTATTCTTCTTTTATAATTTTCGAGTTATAACGCAAACTTACATTTTTTTAAATGGTAATCATAGTTGGCTGTGACATTTTTAAAAAGTGCATTTTTTTCTGTTTACAATGATATAAGGTTCATTGTACTTACTTTGACAAATAAACATGATACAGAACTGTTTGTATCATTAAGTAGTAAAGTAGTAAAAACAGATTTTGCCATGGGAAACATTTTTGTTCTCTTAATTACTGTCTATTATAATATTTAACTTGCAGTTAGTTGTACGGCGGGGCACCGTTGTGTTGAAACCAGCGTAAATTACGTCGTGTTTCCAAATCTAACCCATCCTACATATCTTGAAATTCATTTGGTAGAAAATGAAGATAAAATTGGCCTGTCCAATTTTCGTCGTAAATGAAAGGTACCTATCTCACTAGATATTGTTTTCCATGGCCAACTCTGTTTACTTACCTCTCAATAATACGAAAATTACTGCAGGGCGTTTATTTATTAAAGTTCATTTAGCAAGCCTTATATCGTTATAAAGAGAAAAATTTGTCCTTTTTAAAAATGTCAAAGCCAACTATGACAACCATTTAAAAAAAATTAAAGTTTGTACAGTGCGATCAATAGTGAGTTGCTGCGCCACTTCAATAAATTATGACGTTAGTAATCATTTGCCGCAACAGGCCTGGTACACCAATACTAAAACATAACCTTAAAGTAAACTTTTGACGTTTAACCATATTTAACCTAAATCAACGATTTAACCACCTTGTAAGTTTCCAAATTATGTGGAACTACACGAATAACGAATTACTACAAAAATTGAAACGATTTTATTTCTTTTACAACTCGTTAATATCGAAGTAATTGGGTAAATTACATGCACACTATAACAACTGTTCGAAGTGCTCGCCACCATTATTAAGACAGGGATTCACTCTTTTCTTCATGTTTTCGAAGCCGGCATGTAAGTGCTGTTGCGTAATGTTTCAAACGGCAGCTTCTATACCTGCTCGGAATTCGGCAATGGTGTGTAAACGATTTCGAATACGTTGCCATCTCGTAAATTTGCATGCAATAATTTAGACGGCTTTGCAAGTCTGGACGATGAGTTCTTGTAACACGGTTACTTTAAAGGATAGAAGTACAATTTTCTCCAGGCAATAGCGTCACACGTTCCGTATGAGATGCCCGTTAGTGGGACACATTGTCGCAGCTGCTTTTTCCGACTTTGCTCAAGACGAGCAAGAACATCTTTTACAACCTCCTTATTAGCAATCACTAAGCGGCCAGGTGACTTCCCAGAAGCAAGACTTCCTGTATGTTAAACCGCTCAAGTAGACGATGAGCATTTCGGCGTATATTGTTGTAATCCTCGTCATGGTTGACAATCGTTTATCGAAACTCCTGTATACACAAACGTATCGAGTACTCCCAAACTCCACTTTCGTCTTTAGTCCCATTACGGAAACAGGACAGCAAACGCATCTTATTCTCTTCTAAAGTAAAAGGCTTGTCGGAGTAAACCTATTGCCTATTACACGCTACAACTAAAAAAACGTTTGTTTGTAATTTACAAGTAATTTACCCACCTTGTAAATATTCGAAAGAAACTGGTAGTCTTGAAAAAAGCCGTTTTGAAAGGGACGAAAGTATTCGAATAAGAATCACAAATCATGGTTTTGGTTTGTAAAATTATAGGTTATGTTTTGTATTGGTACACATATACCTGGTTGCGGAAAATGATTACTAATGTGATATTTTATAAGAGCGGCGCAGCATATGATTATTGATCTCCCTGTATTATAACTCAAAAATTGTAAGATCTATAAATAAATTAGTATGTTCATCATGTTCAGCATTAAAATGTCTAAAATTTTTATTCGTGTCATTTTGTTGTATTTCTAATAACGATTCTACAAGTTAAATGAAAAATCTCTAAATCTGTTTTTCGCTCATACCTAGTGAACTGTGGATTTTTTTCAAAAAACAAAAGCATATCTTAAATAAGATCTTAAAACGACAACTCTTTCCTCATTTAACCGAATCCGTATGTCTTATGGTTTCTGGGAACCCAATGCTTAAAATGAAAAAAAAACTCACCCTGTATATGCACAAAAAATATGGCAAAAAAAGTATGAAGATATGCATGATAAAGTAAACAATGCACAAAAAATTATTGAAACTTTTTTACTGCAAACTATTTAAACATAAGCTGTATTAAAACAAATATTGATTAAGTACTGTTCCAAGTGGTCCATCTTAAAATTTGTGCACCTATTACTCAGTACGTGGTTATACACAGAGAAACATCTTTCCGCATCAACATGAGTAATTGGAGCGTACTCTAGTTGAGGCATCAGACGAGGTTCTACATTTAAATGTTCAACATTTTCCCCAGCCGACATTCGTCATCTCATTTGTTGAACTTGAAAATTTGCTTGCATTATAAATTAATGCTGAATTGAACACCGCTGATGTTATAATTTAACAAACTTGGGCGGCATATTTTTTTTTTGTATTTCATTTATTTTTTTATTCTTCTTTTTTTGTTTTTTTTTCTTTTTATTTTTATTGTTTTCTTTTGTTCTGTTTCTATCTTATAATTTTTATTTTATTTGATTTATGATTTGTTTATCTTTATAATTTATAAATAAAAATATAATTGTTGCAATTAGTTCCACTGGGAACTTGTTTTGTAATAAAAATGGTTAAAAAAATTAATAAAATGCTAAACTATCTTAAATATGCACAAAAACCCAAAAAATACCAAATATGCACTATTTTCTTTGCGCCAATGTGATTCATTTTTGTTAATTCGTGTAAATTATTGTTTATTTTGAGCTGCATACAATATTTAATTTACATTATGCATAAAAGCATGAAATCCGGTCTCTAATTATAAGCTTAAATTACATGTGTCTATTTTTTCTTTAAGAGTATACTAAAATCCTTAAAATTGGAGAGTACTATCTGTACATCCGTCAATTTTAAGCTTAATTTCCAGAAAATCAAGAAGTAAGTTTCAAGGTCGAATATTTTCCACCAATTTTTAGTTATTTTCTGTGTCACCAACTAACACAAAATAGATTTTAGAATATTGACAAATAAATTAAGAAATGTAAGCAATGAGAAATAGAGACCCTCAATTATTATCTCAATGCAAGTATTTAAAATTGAAGAAACAAGTTGTAAATCAGCATATGCATGATTAAAGCGCATTTTTGGTAATGCAGGTCAGTATTTTATTAGCGAAGTTTAAAATTATCGATCTCACGAGTAATTTTGGCTGCGTTAAATAATTAATTTGATTTAATTTAATTTGACGGTACGTCTTCATTTTGTAAAACAAATCACAAAGTAAATAATAAGTGTTTATACTGGTAGCGCTATCTAACGGTAAAATTATAGCACCTCCGAAACCCATATCGAAATTATTTTCTTCAATTATCGATCTCACAAGTAATCTAACTCAAAATAGACTAGTGCTGTGCCTGCACATCTACACTATAGCAGAAAGCTTTTAGTGAAAATTTGAATTCTCTAGCTATTGTAGTTGTGGAGATCTCACGCGGACAGCCGGCCTGCCAGCCATAACGAATATAATAACGTATTTTTTTCTAAAAATTGACACATGGTAACTTAAAATTTAATCTCATTTATTTTTTGTGAAAACCATTATGGTGGTTTATAGAATCATTATCACTACTGAACTATCATTAGATCATTAATCATCATTAAATAGCCAATAGAAACAAAGTTTGGTTTCCTTGGTTACCAACGAACAATAAACCTTTGATGCTATCGGCTATTTCTGAATAATCTAATGACAATAGGCGTATTCGTTTCTGGTGATTTTGTGATTTATAAATCACAATCAGTTTCACCAAAATCAGTTCAGTTAAATCACTTGAAGAAAACACAGTCTTGATAGTTTGATGTTTGCTATTAATTAACAGAACCTAAAAAGAAGTTGACTGGATTATTATAGTTTTTTAGCGGTAATATTGTTTAAATCTTGCTCATTCAATTCATTTAGAATTCATATTAAAAGAATTCTTGTTAATATTTATTGTCGAACTCTGTACAATGTGATTTTTCCGTAAATAAACATTATTATTAGTATTATTTGTGGTACGTTGAAGCAAAGAGTATGAACTTTATTTAGGAAACTGATTCAGAGGGTATTCGACAGGTACACTACTCATAACAGTTCTTAAATGTCCCAGAAAAAATAAACAAACAGCCTGGTAGGTTATGATTCCAGTTTTCTGAGGTTATGTTAATTGAAGTGATTTAACTGTACCAACTTTTCCCGTAATCAGATAATAGTGATTTCTGTTCACTTGCTCAGTAGTGGGGGGAACTGCAATCACTTCAACTGATTTAACTTAATTAAATCACTTGAAACGAATACAGCTAATGATTGTAATAAACCTCGTAATAAACGCACCATTAAAGACAGTGACAGGCGTATGTTAAATTATAAAAGGTCATGGGAGATATGTTTTAAATTGACAAAAATTATGAAATATTTTTATATATTTTATCAAATTGTGATTTTTATACAGGGTGTTTCGAAATTCGCGCCCACGGACAATGGGGGCTTAATTATGAGACAATGCTGAATAGAAAAAATTAGTTTCTCATATGTTGATTAATTTAGTCAATAATCTTTGGACACCCTGCATATGCATATAAAGTGATAATGACAAACAAATTTACGTGAATGTGGTAAACTTCCCTAAATGTGATCAATGTCCGTAAATGACGAGGTAGATGTGGTATACAACATTTTCCCAAGTGGTTAACCCCTCAGAACATGCAGAAGTACACACCCTTAAAAATTCTTGAACATCATGCTGCATAAAGGAATCCAGAGTCTCCCAACCGAAGCTCTTCGTAAGCTTCTTCGTTCCGACTGGCTTATCACAAAATTGAAGTTCATGAAACACCCTCTGCAATGCCAACGCAACCGACTTTGTAGAGTCGTCGGACTCTGTCGGCATTTTATACACAGCCTTTCTCAGTTGATTCGTGAAATACAGGGTTTGCAAAAGAGAATTCATGTAGCAGGTCGCGCCCTGATTCTTAAGACCGACATAACCTAAAATCTAAATTAACGATTTCCGAGAATTACAGACAGATATTTACCGGTATGCTTTTTACTGTCCCAAGAGACGCCGTGAGGTGCGTCCGCCACGACGTGCACTTCTAAAGTGATAGTATCATCGCGTATATAGCCTTTATCGACGTCTAGCACTTCGTTCCATGCCATGAAGTGCGAAAAACCCCAATCATTTTCCTAGTTATAAACACACAGTATAGGTACACGTAACGTTTTAAGATCTTATAAACTTCGTACTTTTGAGTAAAACAAATGCTGTATTTTCCTGCTAAAGGATTCTATGTCGGTTCGAACCGACAACAGACGTAGTTCGGCGACTGCGTAGCAGGACCAAGAGCTAGACTCGCTCTCACCGTTGCATTGCAGAAAGAAGCCCAAGGAGCGTTGCGTCGTTCTCTCTTGTGTGTGGCTCGTGCGAGGCATAACCATAATTTTCCACGGAAGGTTCCGCACGTAACATGGTGGCGATAAAACTGAGTCCTGCAAATGTTAGGTATTAGTACATACCAGAGATGTAGATTTATTTATTTTTTTTATTTATTTATCTAGATCTAGATGAGGCACTCTTGTTTGTAAAAGTGATAACCTTAAAATAAATCTCAAAAGCGTCAAATGTACAAACCAAAAATACTAAATAAATAAATAAATAAATAATAAATACTAAAATCAGTTTTTATTAAAAATGATCTACCATCTGGAATAAAACACATTTTGACATTTTACAGAATGACACTTCAGTAGTGAGCAACGACTTCATAGGGAGTCAGTATGGCTGATCTTGCTACAGCTGTGACGCATTAACACGTTGACTGCGTTACATAGCCCCGGGGATATGTGGGTTTCTTTCCGTGGTGACGAAGCCAAACTTTTGCCAAACATTCGTTGTGTGCAAAAGCCATATCTTCCTTGATTTTTAACGTCTATAAGTTTTACGTATAGCTTTTTTATGGCCGTGCTTTGCATAGTCAAGTCTACTGAATTTTTTGGTACATATCTCCGGGGACATGTAACGCACAGGACTAATACCAATTTAATTATGTGCGGCACATGCCCCCGGAGATATGTACAGTTTTGCAGCTACTTCTACGGTTATTGCATCATACTGCATGACAGAATTGCGCAAGTTGCATCATCTTTGTATTCCGTAAACATTTTGTTAGTTTTAACGAGTCTAGTTTCGGTCTAGTTATCGTAATGATTGTCCAGGCCAACTTCCAATTTTCAATACTAATCACAAATAATAATATTAACATTAACATGGAATAAATAAATATCCCTCAAATGTCAGAAAATAGTGTTCGTTGTAATGTTTTTTTATTTGAGTTCATTGCATAATTTTAGGGTTATACAGTCTTCTTCACTTTCTTGCGGTGCAAGTCGCCGGAAATATGTACGGTTCCAGAATTAAATAAATAATAGTGTTAGCTTACAGGTCCCCACGCTGCGGAACTCAAAAAATTACGCACAAGTATACTAGATGGGGCTTACTTGAACAGTTGTCTACATATCCCCGGCGGTATGTATAGCACTGTGGTAAAGTTGCATTACAATACCCCGGCGATATGTAACGCATCAACAGCAAGTTATTGTTTCAAGCTACCGCGGTCAACATGTTAAAGACAAAAGATGCAAATTGGCAATATGGGATAAAGCAGTACCTAGGTTTTTAGACATGCCCTTTCTCATTTTGAAAAATATTTCCAAAATTCCTACTTTTATGTGGGGATACGTACAAAATTCTGATCCCTACATGGTTTGGTATTTGGGAAAAAAATTGCAATTCCAAAAATGGTTACATTCGTATGAAATTTTCGAAGTGGTTTACCCCTCGGAAATTTTCCTATTTTCTTTACCCTTTCAAAAAATATACACTGTGTCTCCGATAAGAATACACAGCACAGGAAAATCGTAAACGATAAGAGATACACAGTTGTGCATTTTAGGGCTCAGAAAAATGTTTTTTTAAAAATTTGGAATGAACAAAACGGAAATTAACCAATTCGTTTTATTTTTTTCTTACCCTGTATATCACACTGTCTCATAAGCACGTTATAAGCTCTACAAGATAGTGCCCGCAGATGTTCTCGAATGAAACCATCATCGACTTTATATTTTTGTATGGACCGGAAACAAGTACATACTATATGGCACAATATGACTATAAAGAAACCATCAACGAACTATTTTGAGATTTTGTCAACGCCTGCTACACTAGAATGTTAAAAACTGAATAACAAACCTTTTTTCTGACTCAAGTGATAAACAAATTTTAACATTAACTCAATGCAGTATGTTCTTTTTTACAATCCATATAAAAATATGAAGTTGATGGTGGTTTCTGAAAGGCAAGAACATCTGCGGACACCATCTTGTAGAGCTTAAATCGTGCCTATGAAAAAGTATTATTTGTTTTTTTATATCTTTCCGAACAGGTTTAGAAAAACAACAAATATGGTTAATTTCGGTTTTTTCCCGCATACCTTTGGAACAGATTGGAATTTCCAAATTTTTAACTTTTTTCTAATTTAACCAACTGCGTATCTCTTATGGCTTCCGATTTACCCATGCTGTTCGTTCTTATCTTGGACACACCGTATACGCCATATATCGTCGTAATACATAATTAGAAATGTCAACGAATTTTTTTTTATTTTCAAAAACAAAATTTTAGTTTTGCTAATTTCACGTTTAGAGATACCCAGATTCCAAATGTTGCCAAGATCGCAATTTTTTTCGCAAATCCATTTTGGAATGTACCAATCCTCAATTCGTTAAGATTTTTCTTGGAATTCCGTCCTCCCTCCCGCCTAAGGTTTGCGATCTCTGGCCTTGTAGAATGCTGCGGATATTTTTTCTTTAGGCTTCAACGCGCATGCCGGGCGAAAAACAAAAAATTTCATAGTTTGTTTCTGCGGATTCTTACTATATTATGTACATGGTGGTCCCATTTTGGGAGGGAAAATATGGACCTAGGTATCTGGAGGTCAATCTTAAAGAGAAAATGACTGGCGCAAACAGAATTCAGCTATCTCTAATTTTTGACCGCTAGGGGGCGTTTCTTGAATTTAGTTGATTTCGTTAGTGCCTTATAACTTTATATATCTTTCTTAAGCGAAGAGTGCATTGTCAAATTTGTTTTTTCCATAGCCCTTATGGACATTTCATGCCTTAACAAGAATACAAACATAAAATAATTTTTAATTTCTGATCGCATGACACCAATACCAAGTCTGTAAGTGGTGTAGTTCAGGAGCCTTATGACTCACAGACAGAACACAAAAGAGCACTTTTCATCTTAAAGTGAAAGTGGCCTAAAAATTCTCAATTTCAGAAGGACCCTATATTTTCTTAGTTAAAAGCAGCCTTGGCTCAAACCCCGCCCACTCAAAAATAAAACCAAAAATAAATAAATGCAGAAAAATGTTTTTTATACAAAAGTTTCTTTATAATGATTGTTTTTTAATCTACCGTGCTCAGAAAAATATAAGGGGTCAGGCAAAAAAGTTAACGGGGCTAACCTAATTTTTTAAATGAAACACCCTGTAGATTTTGTAGTCACTTTTTTTAAATTTTTTTAACCACTTGCGTCTTCTTTGAATCATCAATGATGTGTCATATTGTTGAAAGAGAATTTAATATGCTCTTTTTAGGTTCGAATATACAATGTGTTCCAATTTAAACAAGATGTGGTTAGGTCCGATTACTTTTCTATCTGGTCCCATATACTTATACATTTTTCTGTACTGTAATATAGGATCATTTTGAAATTGGCAATTTTTGAATTTCTCCCGTATATCTTAATCGAACGAACATTTTAAAATTTTGATTTTACAGTTTCAAATTAATTAATGAAACATAGTAAAACAAAAGGATGAGGATAAATAATGTGAGGCATAAGGTTTTTAGTTAATTTTATTTTATTTCTTATCATTTAGTAAGTAGTAAGTAAATTTGAAATTTGGCACACATATGTAAAATATACCTACTCTTCAAGGATAGTCTAGGCTCTAAGGTTACCATTTAAAATTAAAAAAATTTGCTCTTATGTCTAAGAATATGTGTACCAAATTTGGTTCCAATCGATTTACACAGAAATGAGAGTACAGACAGACAGACATCAATGAAATTTTGTTTCATTCGGATTCCTGGTGCGTCAAAACGTGTACTTCCGTTAAAAAAGGGGGGGTATTTTTTTACCCCCAACGCAAAACATCTCTTACTAACGTGCGGCTGGTAAAAATAATCGATGACGTCACACCGCAAATTTGGGACACGCTGTATAATGCAAATTCGTGGATCCCCATTGGGATCTCCGTAATGGTGGGAGTGTATGTAAATTGGCCCCTTTTAAGACACAAAACAATGCATTTGAAATTGTTGTAAAATGTTTGAAACTTGGCAAAAAATTGAAAATGTCATAATTTCGTTTTCAATTTCCCTAGCTTACACGATCGCAAATCAACGGTTCCAGTTAGCACCTTCTATGGGCAATTTTTATCAGAGAATCTAAATCTGTTATCAGAATTTCCATACCACGCTAAATATAGAGGCGTACTACTCTCTTATTTCTTATGGGCGCCATATTGGATTTTTAGAAAATGAGATAGACGACAACAAAAAGGAAAATAATGACGTGTGACATGTGTTTGACATGTAAGTATGGTCTAAACATGGAAAGATGAGACAAAAAGGAACAACTTTGCCCCTATTTAACCTACACTGCATCTCTCACCATTACGGAGATCCCCAATGGTGGGCCACAAATGTGAACCACCCTGTACACATACAGTGAGTACCTAACTAGTCCCCCCGTTCCTTATAAATATTGGAGACCGTTTAAGATATCGATTTCAAATTGGAGAGAGCACAGTTGTAACTTCGAAGATGACAACTGTGCGCCATTTTAATTTTTTAATAGAGAGGGAGGTCATGATATACCTACCATCTTAGCTGGGGTTACAGTGGAGACTGAACACTTAGGAGGTTAACTGCGGATAAGAATACATATCTTCAAAACGAGACTCATGACTCATCCTTAACTATTAAAAAAAATCAAAATGGCATACAGGCGCCATCTTAGAAGTTAGAACTGTCAATTTTAAAATCGATCTTTTGATAAAGTTATGTTTTTAAAAACAATAAAACAAACGAATTTTATACCTACCTAAAAAAGAAAAACATATGTCATATCATAACACCTTTAAAACGAAGCTCTAAGCATTCAGACAAATTAAAGAAGACTGAAAAATTCAAAAAAAGAATGAAGATTTAAAAACTTCACAAAAACCTAAAACAAAAAAATCTTAAAACTGCAAGAGTTATACTTGTTAACATTCGTGTGAGCTCATGAAATCAGGGGTTGGCCGATTAAAACCAACTATAAACTGAAAATCTCGGAAGAATGTTCTTATACAGTTCTGGAGAATTTATAGGAAATATTGTGTTCAAATGTTCGTTCTTAGCTATGCAAATACCTCAGGCAAATTCCGAATATTTTCGAAAATATTAAAAATTCACTTGGAAATATTCGCAGCTCACAACACAACACAAAATGGATAGTTCAAGGCTAAAAATTTAACGCATTCCTCTTCATACACAGTGCTCAAAATACAAGAGACTTAGTTCAGGCCAAAAGTTTGATTTTCAAGATTTATGAAACAAGTAGAAGAACTGAGAAAAGTTTCAAGATGATCCAGGCTCAACAATGTGGAAGATTCAAAGATGAGATATAGGTATATGGTTCCTGAAAAGTTTATTCCTCTGTTTATTCAGTATTCATTATTATTTTAAATCGAGTTTAATATTCAAGACACAAATTCAACATTCAAGACAAATTCAACATTCAAGGATTAAGAACTCAAACAGTAATTAAAAAACTTCAAAGTTCAATATTCAATGCAACTGTAACATTGAAAAATTCATTACAAATAAAAAATGTATCAGTACAATCTACCTACCCTGTATATTAAAACAAATATTGTCCTAGAAATTAACACTGACAAACCGTTGACTACTTACAAATTTCTAAATATGTAGGAAATAAGTATTTTTTTCTATTTCGGTGTCACAATGATGATTTTGTACAACTGTTTTCCGCCGAAAACAGTTGTACAAAGACAGTGATTAGTCTTTTTTTTTTGGTAACTCATCTCTTAAGTTGGCAGTTACTAGTTAGTACAAGTAGGTACTTCGTTGGGTACTTGCATGTTTGAACTTCAAAATGTCAGTTTTACTACACTGCCAACCTAAAACTTAACGGCATAAAAAGTGTTCCCAACATAAAACATGTTAGTTCTAATGTTCCCTATAGTTTCTGATAATGATTTTTTTAATTAAATTAAGGCACCGAAATAGAAAAAATAGTATGAAAAACGCGTGTTACAATGCTTTATTGTAATACTCCTATCTTGCGGACACTCGTGGCTACGCTTCGCGTCGCCACTCGTGCCACAAAATAGTCGTATTGCAATAGGTCGCATTGTAACACTTGTCTTTCATTATACTATTTTAAAACCTGACAGACATTTATTTCTTTGTTCTTTAAACATAATGTTTTGTCTCATCCAAGACCAAAAAATACTCCCAAATACAGAAATTTTCCATCACAATGCTGTATGTCGATTTGACATTCGTTGGCACACAAAGTGTGTTATGATCATTGCTGGTTAGTAAAATGTGTGGTCCAAATAACAAGATAAAACACAAAGTAAGATGATTATTCTGTCACAAACGCCAGGTAAGACAGAGCACCCTGTATGCACGATATGTTTTCCACAAGATTTTTTTACATTTACGAACCAATATAATTATTTACCTACTTTTAATTCTAATCAAATAAAAAGACCAAAATGCTTTGTAGTCCCAAAATCAGGACATAGGACTTCCATAAATAAGACAAAGAACACTAAATCGAAGTGACATCATCATATTTGGGACAAAAGTGCCACCACACTAAAAATGAGCACCTGTAAATAAGGGTTGCCCGCTATTTATATCACTTTCTGCACCCAATTTAGAAATGCCACTCACCATGATTTTGCAAAAAAAAAATTACAAACCAAACAGCTCACCTTTAATTTACTAAACTGCGGAAGGGTGAAACGAAAGGTGGCCTCAGATCGTGCCTCGTCCTCTTCCATGTCGGCGTCCTGAACGGTCGAGCTGGGATCAGGCTGCGGCCCGAACATAACCTCACCGTTTTGCGAATGGTCCATTTCGCCTCCGCCACTGACTGCCATATACTCCACAGCAGTAACTGCAAGTTCCCAAGAATGAGAATGAACAAAACGTTGTGACAGATCGGTATTGAAACAAAGGTGCCGCGACCTCTTTGATTATTTTTTTTCCCGGGGAAAAACTATTACCCACCTTCTTGAGTTTCCATTTCCTCTACATCATTTAGGTTATTTTGTGGATTAATTTCGTTTCTTCGCTCTTGTGAAGTCACGTGGTTCATAGTGAGGGGCGGCGTCTCCGGTGCCCCCGTCTTTTCCTTCTGACCGGTGGTAATAGCGCTCTTATTTTTCTTAGAGTTTATAGTAAAACTTTTATCTGTTATTAAAGACGTTTGATTGTTACTATTATTCAAATGATGAGAACTATTTTTAGTGCCGGAGACGGTAGTCAATTTGACAAAATGCTTACTCGCGATGCGCCCAATGTCTGCTGTTTTCTAAACCCTCTAAACGAGGGGTGTGCACAAGAAACATATATACGATTTTAAATGAGAAACACTACACGTAATATGACCGTTATTTTCCTAGACTTATTCGTCGATAATTACTTTTTTAAACATTCAGAATTAAATGCCGATTTCACTTCAGAAAATAAACAAAATGGAGGCATTACATTCTTGCGCTCAAAATTTCGACAGATCTGTCAATATCGCGCCATCTTACGATCATCTAATAAAAGCAAAATTAAAAACATTCCTGGAAAATTTCCATTGTAGTATACAGGGTGCTTCAATGTAGTAATAACAAGTTTAATAATATACTGAAAGCTCATCCACCTTCTCTTTTATTGGGAGAGATACGATAAATGTGTCAAATATAATTTTATATGTGACATTACGATCTATCCGATCACATATTGAAACGTCCAGTATCGCTTCCGGTTTAACGGAAAATCGATAAAACTTTTGTTTCTCAAATACAACATGATGATACGTGAATATTTAACGAATTGCTCCATTTCCCGATATATTTTGCAATCCCAAGGAAAGCGTGGCAGCTAAAAAATGGTATTCAAATAATAAACATAATCCTATATTGCACATTGCACTGTGTCCAAGACGATGGCCAAATTAGGGAAAGGTGCACAATTACTTCTAAAGAAATGCCAGAAAAACCGAAATTTGCCGATTTCATTTTTATTTTTTTCATATGTTAGATATGAACAGATATAAAAATAACTTTTCCATTGCCACTATTTGACCTCTGCAAGATACCGTTGAAAGATTTTCAATACATCGTTTCGTTTCGGAGAACCCATCATCAGCTTTATTTTTTATATGGCCAGTAAAAAGAGGACATACTGTATTGAGTACCAGTTTCTATTATGAATACACCAAAATATACAACACACACATAAAAACAAAAGTTGGAAACTGAGAATACCTATCGGACAAATTTTCCATTTTCCAGGAAACTTGGCCGGGAGTTATATTCTCGCACGATTAGAATGTTGTGCACGGGTGCACCATCCTGTTGAAACCACCCCCGTTGTCGCTAAGGGCAACTACATCAGAACTCCAGGTTGATAATTGGCATCATAGGACACATTCATTACATCGGTAGGTAAATGCATCATTATATGGTAACTTTTATTACGAATTGTGGCATCCAATTTCTGACGCAAGTTTTCTCGTATACCTACTCGTCCCTCACGTTCACGTTTCTTGGCCGGATCTTGTACCCCACTTTAACTCGCACGGTAATCGTGTATTCCTAATAAGTACATGTGCCTCTGTCCTATAGTTTCCTGCACTGGAGAACAAATCTTAGGAGTCTCGCCAAGCCGGCACTGTAATCGTGACTTACCCTACACCTTAAGTTGGCAACTCTGGGGAAAAAGTACGCGTTGAGCCACTTAATTTTCAACGGGCGGACGTTTCGCGACACTTTTGAATCTCGGTAGCAATCGATATGAATGGCACGAATAAATTCTTACGTTGTGTAATTGGATCTTTTATGTGTTGGGACGTGAGACAGAATCGGGGAGAGAATTGAATGAAATGCAGTATTTTGTAGCAAGAAAAAAAACAAGAATAAATAAATATATATTAAGCACAAAAGGCGATACCAGTGAAACCTTCTTTGGGACAAAAACCTCGGCATAGTCGACATAAAGTAAATCAACTACAGCAATAAAATGCAAGAAGACTACGTAGTGTTTTGTTAGTCCTCATTTGTGCCTCATATCTTGTATCAGTACGACTGGCAGTCGTGAAAAACGATACCCCCGTGTACATTCTGCAGTGCTGGCTTCCTACCCTTGTCGAAAGCACTAACGCCGGGACTGGTGAGCATCGTTGGTAGTTTTAGCGAGGGTATGAACTTACGAAGCCACTGAAGCCAGCACTGCACATGGGAGTATTATTTCCTCAGAAACTGTTGATCGTACTGATGTAGGTAAAATACAATAAAGGATAACTAATGTGTATCGGTTTCATCATTAGTGCTTTTAATTTAATGACCTTGCTATCAAGTTCCATTTAAAATAATAATAAGTCTGCTTGCAACCTGTATAACTGGAAGTGTTGCCATTATTGAAAATATGCAGATTTGGTAATGACAGCCTACAACCAATTGCGTATAAAAGTAGAGGAAGACATTTTTGCCTTTAAAAAGCAGACGATGAGGCGCAGAACAGCCTTTTTTGTAGTGCTCAACAATTCATCTGCAACTTGTCCAACAGTTTGCTGCATAAAATCTAAGATATTTTAACCGAATGCCTATACGATTTTTGGAAAGTTCGAAATGCTGACGGTATTTTGACTGTCCGAAATACCCCAATGGGGTCATCCCGGCTTCATTTTTTATTTCTGATCTACAAAGTATATTAAAAATAAAAAGACCCGTGTGTCTTCACTTTAAATTTGCGAGTAAAATAAACCCAAAATAAATTATTGAAAAGCTGTGTTTTTAGACCGAATTTGAAGCGCTTCAGTCTAATACGTCACAAACCTACAATCAATCACGTAGAAGTGAGCCGGCAACCTTGTGCGAGGGTCTGACGTTTGTCGAATTTGACGTTTTAAGAGGCATGTACTGCATCTAAACGCGAAAGTGAACTACAATAATATAATAATAATAATAATACAAGTGCCTGTGACAGATGTCGCAAGTTACAAATGACATTCTCCTGCAATATTGCCAAGTCGTTACGTCATCAGAATGGTTCTAGGAGCTGATTGGTCGGGTTTAGTACGTCACAGAGCCCGTCACATCGTTTTGAATAAACCCTTATACAGTGTGAGCAACAATGATTGAAGCGTGCGTCATCACCGCTTGTTCCTATTAATATCAAAACTACCTTCTTTGTATGTAGTTGTATACGAAAATGACGTTCTGCGCTGTCACAGTGACGTGCGTCTATTCGTATTTCGTATCTTGTATCAAATCAGCATATGCTATGAGCGGCACATTGCCAATTTAGCTGAAGCGGCACGCTTCAATCTTTGTTGCTCACTCTGTATTATTATATAGAAGTGAGGACAATTTGAATTTCCCGCAAATCAAAAAAATTATGAAGTTGGTACTAACTGATGATCACTTATTTAATTGCAGTGGTGTATCATCATGCTTTCAGTAAATCGTTTATAATACTTATTTATAATCTACAAATACTGCTTCTGTTTTACCACAAATCATAAACTAACACTAGACACAGTCACGTTTCCTACATATTTTAGTGCGTCAAATCTAAAAATTGTTCAAAATGGAAAAAGTAATAAACCGCAAATGGCACACAACAATTAACGCCGACACTGGTTTCTTAAATGACAGTCATGACCGAAAAAAATTACTAACGAAATTCAAACCGTCAATCTAATAATGCAAAAAATACTAAAACCTTACGCGCGAAATTCAATCGATCATCACTTCTAATGAATCACCCGGTATTATATTATTATTAAAACCGCACATGTTCATAATTTTTTTTCTAGTCAGTCTCTATTTTTAAATAAACTTTTACTGTCCAAAAAAATTTTTTATGGTTTCAGGTACATGCTTATTAAATTAGAACTGCGGAATTCAACTATACTGTAAACCCCCATTCAGCCGCATCGGCCGTAGGTATTTTGAGAACAGTCGGCGAAATGATCGGGCAAGTGATTGTCGCTATTGATCTCTCGGTGGGATGAGTTTTTAGGGGAATTTTTCGAAAGAAAAAAATTCCTCTTATGTGATGGTTTGTCCGTCTGTTTCTCCTCTAATTCGAGAACGCAAAGAGACAGCGATGTCAAACCTTCGCCAATCGATTTCTATGAGTTAGTAGTTACTATTGAATATGAGCCGGATTAAAAGTCATGTTTCCGAATGTGAGCTAATTTAATTAGTTTCGAGCGGTGCACATAAACGATCTACTGCGCGGTGATCTTATTAGGGGAAATTCCGTAATGTCGGAAGTCGGTACTCACAAAGGGAAAGTTAGTAATAGGTCGACCAGACAGGATTACTAGCAACGGAGATATGATATATTTTGTATCAAAAGGTCAAGGGTCGTAACAGAGTAGGTACTCACAAAATGAAGATTAATTAACTTCTTTGCTAGATGCATATATGTGTGCAAATTTACATTCGAACATCTCGAGAAGGATTTGGTGTAATGAAGTCGTATTATATGTTTAGAATTGGTAACCTAATTGTTATTATCCTATTTTTAGCGCATTTCCACAAAAATAAAAATAAATGCGCTATTGTGGCCACATTGTCCGTCCGTCCGTCCTCTCGTTCGTTGAGATGTTACTAGTTCTTTATCTTAAAATAGCTATTGTTCTACTACTTTTTTCATTATTTGGTTCGTTATGGTGTCGAGTGCTAAAAAAGTTATTGTAAAAAACCAATAAACCGTTTTTTACATGTTCCATAATTTTACACTTTTGCCGTTTATTAATGATCCTAAAAATCCTTTATAATTTTGTATTGATGTCTGTCGTCTGTCTGTTGGTCTGTCCGTCTGTTCCTTTGTCTGTTTGTCCCTCTATCTGTCCGTGTGAACGATAACTTTGGTTAGAAATGTCCGATCGCTTTGACATCTCCGTTAGTTATGAACTGAATTGCATGAAATTCAATATGGGCATAGCTTTAGCCATATAATACGCAATGCCAAAACTTGAGTCGAATTGATTCAAAATTCACAGTGCCCTTTTCCCATCTCGACCATTTATAAACCGAATTGCAAACTTTTTTGTTTATAAAAGTATTTGAATGAAGTTTGATACATAGGCACTTGGAATAAATGAAAATCTAACGCCAGTTTCAAAGTTTGGTATTGCGCATGCGCAGTGCCAACTTTTTTTATTTATGGAAGAATTTAAACGAAATTTGATACATAGGTGCTTGGATTAAAGGAAAATCTAACGCCAGTTTCAAAATTTTATTTTGCGCATGCGCAGTGCTTACTTTTTTATAGTAGTATAGTAGTACCTATAAGTAGCACGTGAAAAATGGATTGCACATTTGCACCGCTATCTTTCATATTTGTGGCCGGCTTTTTGTAAATCGTTTACGATTACTTTTTAACTTGTTACTATAGTAGTTACCTATGTATTGTTATTTTGAAAATAAATTTACATATATCATTTGGTACATCGAAAAATGCTCCTTCTGAAAATTGTATGCGATTTTTCATATCTTGTTGGTAATAGTTGTTGTTGTCGCTTTGGACGTGTGATCGGAAGATCGTCCAAATTTTTGATTCGGCAAAATGGTACAAGAGTACCTAGACAGTGCGCGTATTTGACCTTTTCAAAATCGCATCGACATCGACGTTTTGCGTCCTTCGACCAAATGTCTTTGCAGGCGAAATTAAAAAATTTAGTCTATATAAAAAAGCGGACACAAAAAAAACGTTATCACATTATTTTGTATCACATCAAGGTGAAAGGTTGCTGCTCACTGAAGCTTGAGACCTTTTTCGTTTATCTTGTCTACAAGCATAGACATAGTATATGTTGTACAATTGAAAATGTTCGTTTTTCACGAGGTATTTTATGACTATAGACATTTGCGTGCTTCATGTAAATTTATTTTGATTCTATCCCTAAAACGTTTTGTAAATTATTGGATAAGTATTTTTTTGTTTTATCCGCCGTAATCTCAACTGTTACATTTTAACTACAAAGTAATAGATTCACTGGCAGAATTTTTGAATTAATTAAATAAATGCAACTACCTATTGTAGGTAGTAGGAATCATGGATAGGTGCGAAAGGCACGTTCGTAATTTTAAATGATCTGCTTGCTTTTAGAACAAAGCACCACAACAATGAGTAGAACAGGAATTTCAATATTATTAAGTGCAAATCTATGGGATGCTGATCCAGAGCTGTTTAGTCTAATACAAAAGGAGAAAAAGCGCCAAGAAGCCGGTCTCGAGTTGATTGCTTCCGGAAATTTTACTTCCTTATCGGTTTTGCAATGCCTCAGTTCATGTCTTCACAATAAATACTCAGAAGGGCTCCCGGGAGAGCGGTAAAAACCTTTGTTTTTATGACTAAACTAGAATTTAACACAGAAAAACCTTTTAGGTATTATGGTGGCAATGAGGTAATCGATGACATCGAAAGGCTCGCTCAAAAACGAGCTCTCGAGGCTTTCAATTTGAATCCCGAAGAATGGGGGGTCAATGTTCAACCCTATTCAGGATCACCAGCAAATATAGCAGTGTACACAGGTAAATCGCAAATTCTCGCACACATTTGGCAACAATAAAAATGTACCAATAGGCATTGTGGAAGCGCATGGTCGTATTATGGGCTTAGATTTACCCGACGGAGGTCACCTCACGCATGGCTTCCAAACCCCAACCAAAAAAGTATCGGCATCATCCATGTTTTTTGAATCTATGCCTTACAAGGTTGATCCTGAAACAGGTCTAATAGATTACGATCAACTTGCTAGCTCCGCCAAACTGTTCAGGCCAAAGTTGATTATCGCTGGTATTAGTTGTTACTCTCGTCCTTTGGATTACGAGCGATTTCGAGAGATTTGCGATAGCGTCGGTGCGTACCTCTTTGCAGATATGGCGCACACGTCGGGACTCGTGGCCGCCGGTATTATACCAAGCCCGTTCGAATACAGCGATGTCGTGACGACAACATGCCATAAAAGCTTAAGAGGGCCGCGATCGGCAGTGATCTACTTTAAGAAAGGCGTGCGATCCACGAACGCAAAGGGCGAAGCAGTGTTGTACGATCTGGAAAAGAGAATCAACAATGCCGTCTTTCCAGCTTTGCAAGGGGGACCTCACAATAATGGGATCGCCGGTATCGCAACCGCGTTTAAACAAGTCAAGTCGGTCGAATTTGTCCAGTACCAAAAACAGGTGGTGGCCAACGCTCAACATATGGCGGCAAAGTTAATAGATAGAGGATACAACATTACCACTGGAGGCACCGATAATCATCTTTTGTTGGTTAACCTGCAAGGAACAGGCCTGTCAGGGTCCAAAGCTGAGAAAATTCTAGAAAGGGTGTCAATCTCCTGCAACAAAAACACTGTTCCTGGAGACAAAAGTGCTTTAAATCCATCTGGATTCAGATTAGGTTAGACCTTAAAAGCAGCAGATCTTTTACGTTTCTTTATTTTAGGTACTCCAGTTCTGACCACTAGAGGACTCGTCGAGGCCGATTTCGATAAAGTTGTAGACTATATCGATAAAGGAATTAAACTGGGTTTGGAAGTTGTCAAAATATCTGGTCCCAAACTTGTTGATTACATTAGAGTTCTTGATAGCGAGCAAACCATTGGGAAGAAAATAGAAGCACTAAAAAATGATGTTGAATCCTTTAGTAAAACTTTTCCGATACCGGGACATCCTGATTACTAGTTTTACTGTATTACTGTATTAAAAATAGAAACACAATACCAATTGTACCAGTACCAATATATGATCAGAATGGCGTTGCCAAATAAATTGCATAGTGTACCTAACTTAGACCATGTACCTAATCACCGCATCTTGTTACAATAAGTGCTGCAATAATCGCAACAATAGTTGCTGCAAGAATTGCAATAAAACTTGCATCGTCTAATATGGCTTACATATATACAAAATGGAGATGCCTATTTTAAAGTCCCTTTTCACTTTGTTAAAAAGTGGCGCCGCTGGTAACGATAAAGTTTAGGTGGACGCCTTCACACAGAGCTGCGCAGCGGCATATCTGCGCTACTTGTAGCCGACGGCGCGATTCAGAAGCACCACCACGCAAGGCAAGACAAGGTTGTTTCGTGAAAAGCGCACGCATCAAGTGATGACGTCTAGTTTGAAGAGAGCGTCGATCTTGATGGACTGGAAGTGACAGCAATTTTATTTCAGTTTCGCGGGTGTCACAATTTAGGTCAAACAACAAAACACCCCGAAAAATGGAAAATCGCACGTGCATAAAAAACATCAAAATGGCGTGGCTTTACTGCAGCGTGGGCTACCATTAATTTAACATTAAAAGTACAGGGGAGAACTCAAGCAGTATACATGTTAAAGTTGATTATCCCAAAAATAAAAGACCAGCAGGTTGGGTGAAATTCAATGACATTTATTTTCTGTAATTCAGGATCGATTTCGGCCTAACTGCCCATCATCAGGCGTAGCTAAAAGATTGCAATTGAAGAGTTTATCAACAAAATTGATTATCCCAATAAGAATCACATACGGAACAGAAGATAAGTTAATTAGAGGGCTTCCTTCTCGTAATGCTAAGACACGTGAGTTGCAGTCCGCACGAGATAAGGGAGCAACATATACAGCGAAGAATCGGATTATACTCTCTTCGTTGAGGAAACGATCACATAAATAAATACTTATTTAATAAAGTAATCTAAAGGCATATACCACCTCTACAGTATAACAAACAAAAATGATTCACTAACGGTACTAAAAAAAAACAACAGCTTGGAACACGCCGCGCTTTGTAAACAAATATCAGTATTTTATGCACAATGTAAATAGCAACATATAGTGTGACATGTAATTCAAAAATTGATGGCTAGTAGAATAAAATGGTTACTACCTACAATTGTAAACGCAGAACAATAAACAAAAGAGGATATAAAAAACGGCAGAGCCCCTCGGTGTGACCGCATGGGGTCATTGGATTTGATCGATGTTCAATAGGCTTGTTACATGTGGTAGGTTAACTGTGCAAACTTTGAACCGAATCGGCCCAAGCGATTTCATTTATTATGTTCACGGACTTACAGACAGACGGACACCGCATCTACTCCGCTATAGTTTCCATCGCTTTGCTCTACCGATTAATAAACATTGCGAAATCGGAAACGCGTGCCATTACTCGCCATCGGAAATCTTAATAACCTACGCGACATTTTTCTTTCCAAGCTTCGTGGCGAAAAATCCCTGTTCCCCGACGGCTGCGCAGAACTTTCATATGTTTTCTCATCACGAACTTATAAGTTCGTGTTTCCCATACTGTGATTCTTTCAATTGTGAAGTGTGTTGCCTAGCTGTAGGGGTATGTCACCACAGTATTATAAGAAAAAAATGTTTCAAAATCCACTCGTGGGTACTGCCGCGTAACACTAAGTATTGAAATGACGCATTGTCATCGAAAGCACACATGCATATTGAAGCACGTCCACGTCCCGAGAAAGAGAGGAGTTAAATAGGTCAAATAAAGTTTCAAAGAAATATTACCATACATAAGAAAGTTGGCGATGAGCAGTCTGTGCAGTCACTGCGCATGCCCACATAATTTTTACCATGTGCGAAATGTTTGCCTTTACTAGAAGCATCTGTGGTTAAAATTTCAAAGAAATATCTCCATAAATAAGAAAGTTAGCATTGCGCAATCACTGCGCATGCCCACATAATTTTTACTATGTGCGAAATGTTTACCTTTACTAGAAGCGTCTGTGGTTAAATTTTCAAAGAAATATCTCCATAAATATGAAGTTGGCATTGCGCAGTCTGCGCAAAATATGGAGTTAAATGAAACTGATCGAAATGGGCAAATATAGACCATAACAGTTTTCAATGGGGTCATCTCGCCTTCATTTTTTATTTCTGATCCACAAAGTACATTAAAAATAAAAATACCCCGTGTGTCCTCAATTTTTATTTGCGAGTAAAATAAACCCAAAATAAATTATTGAAAAGCTGTGTTTTTAGTCCGAATTTGAAACGCTTCAGACTAAATACGTCACAAACCTACAACCAATCACGTAGAAGTGAGCTGGCAACCTTACGCGAGGGTCTGACGTTTGTCACATTTGACGTTTTGAGAGGGATGTTTAACTGCATCTAGCACGAAAGTGACAAGTGCCTGTGACAGATGACGCAAATTATAAATGCCATTCTCCTGCAATATTGCCAAGTCGTTATGTCATCTGAATGGTTCTAGGAGCTGATTGGTCGGGCTTATTACGTCATAGAGCCCGCCACAATCATATCGTTTTGAATAAACCTTTAAAACCGCACATGTTCATTATTTTTTTGCTAATCAGCCTCTATTTTTAAATAAACTTTTACTGTCCAAAAAAATGTTTTATGGTTTCAGGTACACGCTTATTAAATTAGAACTGCGGAATTCAACTATACTGTAAACCCCCATTAGCGAAAACCCGAAGTCTCTAGGTGGCCCAGGGGCCAAGATCTCGATGGAACGGACGGACGAACGGAGGGACGGACGGACAGATGGAAACACGAGCACATAAGCTTTACCTCAACTTCGTTGTAATTACGCTAAAAAGGGCGCGTGCGGACCAGCGACATCAAACATCGCGAGATGACGGTTTTACATATATGTATAAAACGGTTTTACTAACTGAGCTGTCAGTCTGTCCTATACTCTTATAAATACGACCATAAACTAAAATCACTTTAGTGTAGGTAATTTGTTCATGATGCGACAAACTAATACCTTACGTGAATAAACAAAGCTAATAGCATTGATTATACACACAAGTACCTATAATCAATGCTAATACCTATCATTTTATTTACTTCGAAGCAACTAAATACGCTTTAAATGTGAAAGGTTCCACCCTGTATATACAACTTGCAACGATACATACATTTTTGAGAGTTGGCAACCATGCAATTTTTAGGTGAGAAATAAAGTTACTACTTACTGGTGACTTTAGGTGGGAAAAAACTGCCTGCGCCATCTAAAAAGCACGAACGGGAGTTACGTTGATCATCTTGTCTCGAATATGTAGCGGTAGTGAACGCGTCGCTCCATAAATGTTTGTTGTTATTTTGTGTTATTTAATACAGGTAGTAGGTAATTTTTGCATTTCTTATATCGTATTTGTGTTTTGTATGCCGCATTTTATATTTTTTGTGTGTTTCAATCTTGGTTTTTGAAATCTGCTTGATTTAACCCCAATGCAGAATAACATGTTAAATACCGTTATGCTATTGTTTGTAACTGTTTACGTTTTTGGGGTCATGCTTCCTTAATTTATGTTTATTGATGTTGATTACTTGATCTTGTCTGTGAAGTAACATTCATGTAAGTCTTAATCATTTTATCTTAATATGTGGAAATTACCGATTCGTTTGATGTATGTACTGACTTGTTGTTTGTAACTAACAATTTTCTCTGTGAATGAAGCAGTCACGGGGGTGTCAAAAACTGTAGTCAAAATTGAGCTATGACACCTAATTCGGTGATTGTCTTCGACTTTCAACTGTAGGCTCGAAACCCCGGACGAGGGGCGACGCTACCCGCTACCTATCTTGCGGGGGCGAGATTACGCTCTTCAGTTTAGAATCTATGTAAAATGAGTTTAGTTAAATTTGCCTACAAGGCCATGTAATTTTCCATCTTGCTTTTAACAAGAGGACTTTATTGCACCAAAGATGAGTCACACTTTGTACTCTTAACCCTTTCTCAGAATTTAGGTACCTGCTACTACCTGACTCATTGTTCCCAAAAACTTGCTTTTAACCTTGAGCGTATCCAACATTGTATATATGCATGTACTATCCTTGTTAACTATTGCTGAAACTTTTACAAAATGTTTTGTTAATTAACTTTTGGACTGTATTAATCAAACTGCGAGGTTTTTCTTACGTCGTACTCTTTTTACCCTTAGCAGTTACTTTTGCGAGAGTACGGCACCTTTTGGCTTTGCTTGCTTTGTTTATAGGTATTAATGTACATCAACTAAATTTCCGGGCTTTCACACTCTTAATAATTACGATCATTATTAAACAAACTTTCCACAATTTCAGTGTTTTATTTAACGTTCCTTCCCTACTGTGCTTCAGGTCAAAGCGTTGTTTATAACTAACGTAAGGGCCGGCCCTGCCTTAGATGTTTTATCACATGCCACTTTTCAAATTTAAGCGGAATCTTGTTTAGTTTTGGAGGGAATAGTCATTCGGGTGGCAATTTTTAAACGTTGCCGGGTTGACTTTATTCCCGTGTTCTTGTAGTGTGAACACAGTATATATACTGTGGTGTGAAGTTAGCGTAGAACCTGAGTGTTAAGTACACTCTCTGAGTACACTACAGTATTATACAGTGAGATTCATGTAGAAGTAGGCATATGGATTTCCTATAGGAATTTCCTATGTCTACTTTTACATGATAAAAGCATTGTATAGTAATATACAATGATTCAAGTCTCCCGAAAGACGCCTAATTTTATGCAACCAAAGTAACTACTTACAACAAATGAGGATGTGCCTGTCATATTAATTAATTTAAATATTATGGCTTTGACGATATATTGTGCGATGTATTCAACTAAAGAAAAAGTTGATATTTCCAATTGGTGTTATGTGTGTTGTATTATCTGTATGACGAATGTGTGTAATCCTCAAATTACTCTTACATAATTAAGATTTCGTATTCGGTATAATGCCGATAACAGTTAAAGGGGCTTAAGAGATTTATTTTCTGTGAAGCTAAAGTAACAATATTCAAATTAATAATTAATATGACAGCCAGATCTTTATTTGTTTCAAGCTTAGATCATAATGATCTAAGGTTTCAAGAAGTTACTTTGGTTGCATAAAATTAGGCGTCTTTCAGGAGACTTTATCATGTAAAAGTAGACAATTAGACATAGGAAATTCCTGAAGGACATCCTTCTGTCTACTTCTGCATGAATATCACTGTATATAATAATCTCACAGAAATATACTGTTTTTAGTTCAGTAGATAATTTGCATCTGCTATGGAAACCAATGTAGGTAGTATGTGTGATCATTGAATAAAAAATTAAGATTCAATTATAGTTAGTTTGGTTAGGTCAAAGAATTTGTAGTTAATTTCTTAAATTGAGCTAGTCGTCGGCACTAAATTTGCAAGAAAGTAATATTTTCCTTTTATATGTCATTTACCCATTTGAAGATAAAGTCAGAATTATTAGTACGAGCGTTACATAGGCATATCAGTGCGATTTGTACAGTTTAGGCGTTTTTCGCATACACATTGGTGTACAAATATAACATTTTAACATCTGTTGTACAAAACCTATATGTAATTTTTGAACCATAAGCTTGCAAATTCATCTTCGTCTGTCAGCTCTACAGGCTATATATAATTTTTCACAAATACTGATTTTCCAATCGATCTAATAGACAAGGCATAACTTTCTATGAATTTCAGAGGCAAGACTATAGTCTTTGATATGTTTTGGTAGTTAATCCACCGTACCCCATAATATAATCATTGAATTTATAACTTCAATGACACTACTATAGTTGAGCTCATTCGATGGAAGAAAATGCGACTTTTTCTCATATGCCTATGGAGAAAAATGAGTGGACTTGCAAAGGCTACTGAACTTAATTATCGTTTCCGTGAGCTAAACCGTCAGACAACTATACAACTATAATTCATATACATGGATCCGTTCGTTCGCAACAGCGCCAATCGTAGTTTGTTTTTTAGTTTCAAATCAATACTACTGTGGCGCAATATACCTCACAGAGACTATCTTATTACTAACCATATTATTATAATTGCCAAGTTAGAAATCAGTATGTTTATCGCATCCATTCTTATCTTATTGGGCAAGGTGAAAGGTCGCGAGTCAACTAAATTCATGTTCTTTTTGGTTTATACAGTCCCCGTGCAAAGGTAGGTTACGAAATTGTCTCCGGCACAAATTCGAAATTACCGCCTTTTTCAAATGTTCACACGTGCTGCTTGTATAACCGCCAATCGGATCTTAAATTTGAAGGTACGTTTGTTTATTTGAATGGAAAATTCCTGATATAAAAACGTGGAAACCCGTTCTACGAGCGTAAATAATAATACTTCTAATGAAATTTGCCCAAGTGCTTACGTTTGTAGAGGTTATCCCTCTTTAATCTTTTTTGTTTATACATGCAATTATTGCCTCATTTATATTCCTATTTCAACTTTTAAGGCGTATTATTATCACTAGTCGGTCGGTAGGGGGGTTTCAGTTTGGCTAGAGATTAACAAAGCACCTTGCATTCATCTCTAGAACGTGAAACAACTAGTTCATCAGACCGCAGCGACCATGAGTGGAACTGGAAATTCGACATTGTTAACATCAAACTTATGGGATTCTGATCCCGAGCTGTTCAGTCTTATACAGAAGGAAAAGCATAGACAACAGGCTGGTCTGGAATTGATCGCATCGGAAAACTTTACATCGCTATCGGTGTTGCAGTGTCTTAGCTCCTGTCTCCATAACAAGTACTCCGAAGGTCTTCCGGGAGAACGGTATGAAACCATCTTTATTACTTCATTTAGTTTAAGGTGGATCAATAAGGTCCCGTTCTGGTATGTTGTGCTCACCCTGTACATTATGATACCTTACATGAGAATGTCAAAATCTCCTGTGCCTAAATTTTTCAAATGTAGCCTCGTTTTAAAATGAAGTTAACGATCACTAACAAATTTAAAGGACTAATCCTTTTTGAGTACAAATTTTAGAGAAAAAACATAACCTCTACACTGTACATACAGGTTTGTACCTAATCTACAATACAGGGTGCCTCATTTATTTAGTCTATTTGTTCTCATTTGTCAGTACCTAATAATTTCTAGCTTCATTTAGAGAATAAATATGTGGCACGCTCACAAATGTATTTATAACTTACCCTGTCAGTCTAGTCTAGTGACTAGGAATTTTTTACCCATGACGTACGTAAATACTCCCCCCTCCCTTCTCCAAAATAACAGTTCGTTACACATATTTGTTGAATCATGCCCCACCTGCCACATACATCTAATTAAAATTCGACAAATGGACAAATTAACATTTTTAAAAAATGAATTTTTTTATGATGCTTGCTAAATAGCGATTTCAATGGTTTTATGAATATCAGAAATTTTCTTGAATTTTTAGTTTTTTTAATTTTCGGAATTTGAAATTTTTTAAAGTTTCAACATTCGATTTTTTTTTATTTTCGACATTTTTTACGTTTTCGGGTTGTTTTACAATGTTCAATTTTTCTGCATTTTAAGTAATTTTTTGTAATTTGTAATTGTCAACCATAATTTCGAAATTTTTCGCGACTTCTTTGTTTCCCGAATTTTTTGAATGTTTCGATTTTTTACGCGTTAAACACTCAAAATATCTAGGAATGATTTTGAGTCACTTTAGGGGTCGGTAAAATAAGTGATTCATTTTCTGGTTGGTTTAGAAACTTTTCGGTCTCTTGTAATTTTTATGTGTGTACTGTGTATTTGTGGCCATTATGGAGGAAAAAAATAATCAATGTTCGTTACCTATACGTCGTCTAGTATAAAAACAGCCGTAGATAGCCGCCTACTGCAAAACTTATGTCTTGTTCTTCGCATGGACTAAAAAGATGAAAATATGATAGCATAATTTATGTACAGGGTGGCCAAATAAGAATGCGAGGTACTGTATCTGGGAACCTGTCCATCGTAAAGGCTTGCGGTAAAAAAATTTATTACTAAAACGGCCACGAGAAAAACATGGAAAATATTTTTAAGTTTCAATGGCCGCTAGGGGGCGTAACTGCAATCTGGAATCTAAAAAAGTGATTTTTCTGTTAATTCCGCTATATTAACCTAACACAAAAATGGTCGGTCTTTGAAGGTGACGATAATCTGAACCTTTTTTGTTTAGGCCAAAGAAAATTTTATACCCTCTTTCGAAGATACAGGGTGTTCTTTACGGAAACCTTTGAATACAGGATACAGGAAAAACTGTCAAACAAAAATTGTTCAGATTATCGTCAACTTCAAAGACCGGACATTTTTTGTTAGGTTAATATAGCGGAATTCACAAAAACATCACTTTTTTAGATTCCAGATTGCAGTTAGGCCCCCTAGCGGTCATTTCAGAAACTTAAAAATATTTTCCAGATTTTGCTCGTGGCCTTTTTAGTAATAAATTTTTTACCACAAGCCTCTACGATGGAGAGATTCTCAGATACAGTACGCATTCTTAGTTGGCCACCTCATAGGCTACCAGTTTTGCAGTGGGCGGCTACCTACGATGATTGACATGACTGTCATTATATTAGAAGTAAGAAGAGCAATATTTAGCTAAATGAAAGTAACATTTTTAAAATTGGCCAGAAGGCCTTGGCTTTATTTGATAGTCTCTCTTGTTTTTATTAATTTTGACAGTTCGCATTTGAAATTGTATCTTGTTTGCATATGTTAATCGTGAATTTATAACACCCTGTAGATCGCTTTTTGTAAGAATTAAAAAAAAAGTGCTATAGTTTGGGTTTTGTCTGTCCGGATTCACTTCTGCAGTTTGGAACTACATTTATCGGAATTATGCTAGTCCTGAAATGTTTTGCAAAAGGTAGCTTACCGTATATCTCGAAGATGTGCTTTAAACTTTTGTTGTCTTGGGGGGGGGGGGGGGCTAAAAATTATTTCCAGTGTTTCTGATAGTCCAAACTTGCATAACTGTAACATGTGGAATTCCAATACAATTTTTGAAAATGGGGGGGGGGGGGCGCACGTTTCACCTTTCATGGTTTTCTAATGAAAGGTCTCGTCGAAACGAATTGGTTTATACAAACGATACCTTTTCTTCACGACTTTTTCGAGATCGGTGGGTGGGTAGAGGGGGGGGGATATTTTAAATTGGTTTTATCTTCCATGGTATTGTAATGAAAAATATCACCGAAAGGAGTTGTTTTTTAGTTACTGTTCTTCTCCCATACCCCTTATCAAAATGGGGGAGGGGGAGCACTGGTTTTATCCTTGTATGATACTATAATGAAAGGTCTCAACTCAAAAGCGGAGAGCCGGAGGAGAATACTCACAAAAGCAAATGAACATCTATTGGTGAGGTCGAAACGAATATCTCGAAGACAAAGTGTCGAAAGGGGTACTTATAAAGGGCAAGTGGAACGTCTGAACCAGACACATCTACTGGCGATGGCAGTGCTACTATCTGCAGAATGGAGTGTCGGAGAAGGGTACTCTCCAAGGGAGGTTTGGGTGTCTACACGAGACATATCTACTGCCTATGCGAAAACTTAAGTTCGAACATCTCCAAAATGAAGTGGCGCAGGAAAGTATATACCTACAAATGAAAAGTGCACGTGGCTTTTACATATGTGTATGTGTAAAGAGGCCCCCCCCCCCCCGATCATCTACCAAGAGGGTAAACATCAATAAATATAGCATGCTTATAACCCAATAATTATTTATTTATTTTCTTGCATTTTTTGACAGTGAGTTTTCAATTTTTGTGGGTGGTTGGAATGTACCACCTGGTGGAAACACCCACCGTTAATTTCTCACCACATTGGCGACACACGACTTATGCTTAATCACCGGATTTTGTAAGTATTTCCGTCACTCATTTGATTCCTCGTCCATACACCGCGTAACAAATTTTCGGACTAGTCCGAAAAGTAACTCGTTTTTGTACAGTTACCATGGTGATGCCGAGTACTTATACTCCCGAAATCGCCATTTTTATGTACTGGTACCTTAAAAGTGTGACAAAACAGCCTCTTATTCAGGAGAAAAAATATATTCTTAAAAAGCTGCAGTTTTTGATTTCGATAGAACAAGCTGAAACATTATCGTGGTAACAACTTTTTTGAGCAAATTGGCACATTACTTAATGATTATAGACTCAATCATCCATTTTCCTATATCCGATGGTATAAGCGCATTTTGTACTGCAGATATTATGGTGGTAATGAAGTAATCGATGAAATAGAAAGGCTCGCCCAAAAACGCGCACTCGAAGCTTACAATCTTAAACCGGAAGAATGGGGAGTCAACGTTCAGCCCTACTCGGGATCTCCCGCGAACTTAGCGGTATACACAGGTACTTATAACCGCCTCAAATATTCGTGACTAATAAAAAGCGTCTAGGCATGGTGGAACCTCACGGTCGTATTATGGGCCTGGACTTGCCCGACGGCGGACATCTCACGCACGGATTTCAAACTCCAGTGAAGAAGATCTCGGCGTCGTCCATGTTTTTCGAGTCGATGGCTTACAAGGTTAATCCTGAGACCGGCCTAATCGATTACGACCAACTCGCTACCGCCGCGAAACTCTTCAGACCGAAAATGATCGTCGCCGGAATTAGCTGTTACTCTCGTCCTTTGGATTACAAGCGGTTCCGGGAAATCTGCGACAGTGTCGGCGCGTACCTGTTTTCGGACATGGCGCACATTTCGGGATTGGTCGCCGCTGGAGTTACTCCAAGCCCTTTCGAATACAGTGACGTTGTTATGACGACGGGCCATAAGAGCTTGAGAGGACCGAGAGCAGCCGTAATTTTCTTCAGGAAAGGCGTGCGAACCGTTAACGCAAAGGGAGAGAAGATCATGTACGACTTGGAAACGAGAATAAATAACGCCGTGTTTCCGGGCCTTCAAGGCGGACCTCACAATAATGCCATCGCAGCTCTCGCGACCGCCTTTAAGCAAGTCAAGTCGCCCGAATTCGTGCAGTATCAAAAGCAAGTGGTCGCCAATGCCAAGCGTTTAGCGGCAAAACTAATGGAAAAAGGCTACACAATTACCACTGGTGGCACTGATGTTCATCTAGTCTTGGTCAACTTACAGGGCACTGGTCTGTCGGGGTCTAAAGCTGAGAAAATTTTAGAAAAGGTCTCGATCGCTTGCAACAAAAACACGGTTCCCGGTGACAAGAGCGCTTTAAATCCATCTGGATTTAGATTAGGTACGTTAATTGCTAATTAATAGTAATGGTAACATCATTTACGTTTAGGTACTCCGGCGTTGACCACCAGAGGGCTTCTGGAAAGCGATTTCGATAAGGTTGTCGATTACATCGATAAAGCGATTAAGTTAGGTTTGGAAGCCAGCAAAATATCCGGTCCAAAGCTTGTTGATTTCAACAGAGTGCTTGATACCGACGCAACAATTTTGAAGAAAATGGAAGCTTTAAGGAACGATATCGAATCGTTCAGCAAATCCTTCCCAATGCCAGGTTATCCCGATTACTAATTTAGGGGATTTTTTATTACTCCTACTTTACGTATTAAAGCTTTTATATTTTTAAAAGATTTTTATTGTGTTTAATAATCTGATTTAATGCTCACCGAAGATCTGGTTATAGCAGAAAGGAACTGAACCCCTACTATAGTTCATTTCACCAATAATTTAACATTTCTCATTAGGTCGTTAAGTAGCTTGAATTCCCACTGCGACATTTAAAACAATAGGACAATAGCCTCCTTTTCACTAAGTCAGCGGTTCTCAATAAAATTCTAATGTTTCAAACGCCAAATTGTAGCGCTCCTATAAATCGGCCCATTTCCTTAATAAATCGATATATTTAAAATGTAGTTCCTTAAGGAATGCGTCGATAGGACAATAACGACAATAATCGTGTTGATACCATATTAATGTATAGTGTAAAGTTTCCCCAATTACAATTTGGCGTTTGAAACATTAAAATTTTTTTGAGAACCACTGACTTTTAGTTAAATGGGGAATATTGTCCTATTGTTTTAAATGTCCAGTGGGAATTCCCGCTACTTAACGACCTAATGAGAAATGTTAAATTATTGGTAAAACGAACTATTAACCTAACAAAAAAATGCCCGGTCTTTGAAGACGACGATAACCTGAACCTCTAAAAATGAAGTGGTGGGGGGTATTCAAAGGTTTCTGTAAAAAACACCCTGTATCTCCGAAACGACTGAGCCGATTTTAACAAACTCGGGTTAATTGAAAAGAATTATTCTTCTGATACAAATATAATATTTGAAGTTTTGTTAGTTTCACATATCGCCGCTTGAGGGCTTTTTTCGACATTCCGACAGAAATGGTTAATTTTCTCAACAAAATTAAATGCGTTGGTTTGATTTTTTTTCATGAAAAAGAATGCCTAAACAAGCTCGCGAAACCGCATCTCGATAAGATATAAGATAAGAAACTTTTTTAGATTGCAGTTATGCCCCCTAGCGGTCATTTCAGAAACTTAAAAATATTTTCCAGGTTTTGCTCGTGGCCGTTTTAGTAATAATTTTATTTACCGCAAGCCTCTACGATGGATATTCTCAGATACAGTACCTCGTATTCTTAGTTGACCACCCTGTACATAAACAATCAAATGTGCGCATGCCCAGACTGCAAAATTGGCTTTAAAAATTTGAGAAAACAATCAAACCTACAAATAACCTCATTTCCAACTCCGCTGAATTGGGTGCGCATTTTTGTGAAAAAAATTTCTGGTACCTACTAAAGAATCAAACCCAATCTACCCACTAGGCCTAGACCATTGTGGCATACGTTGAATCATGGCCGAACTAGCTTAACATTTTGAATAAAAGGGGCACCCAAACGACGCATGTCCAAGAGAACGTAGTTACTTTGTATAAGCTTGGAGGTTTGTATTACTACGTGGCTTGGAGAGGGTTGGTGTTTCAAATCGAGTTCTATTCAGGTTCAATAGTTCTATAAACTTTCAGTAATATTTTCAGAACTCACTTTTCACGTAATTGGGAGCTATACTTTCAAAATTGATACCCGATCAGTCGAATTCAAATTGTTACGACAAAACTGGTGTCATACCAGTCGTCCACATGTATTCAACAAGTGACAACACCGCAACTAATGATACGCCAGCATTTGAAAATCTTCGTTTATTAAATGGTTGATGATCTGGACACGTCATGCGCAGAACCGATGCCCGCGCTATTTTACGCATTAACCGATGGTACGCGAACATGTGAACAATATAACTTAAAACAATGGATAGGTCGGATCCCCAGTCTTGATCATCAGTCCTTAGACAATCCTTTTGGACGCCATTTTACACCGGCCATCTTGGACCTGCGTTATACGTCACGTGATTGCTACCTAAAAATTCTTTTAATAGCGTTGGGATTCTATCCAGCAATACCTGAAATAAAAAGCGAATAATGCGTTAAGCTATACGAGAAAGAGGGGTCCTCTTACATTCCTCCTATTTATGTGATTTTTTTGGGAAGAATAGCTCAGGAATCAGGTAGCAAGATTCTGAGAACGGCTGAAATACACAGGATGTGACGCATCTTTGGTACAAGAAAATTACAGGGCCTGGTAGGGCAAATTCCATTTTACGACAAAATATGTGGAAATCAGTTAATTCACACATAGCTTCTAAACCGAAGAGTTTTTATTAGCATAATCTTGCCCCCGAGATAGATAGCTCGCTCGTCATTCGGGATTTCGGGCCTACAGTTGACTGTCAAGATCAGAAATAGGCTGGGAAAAAAAAAGAACTTACCAATAAAAAAACCAGCTGTCAAATTAATATCAAATTGTGTTGTAAAATTGTTTTTAACCCTGCAGTGGTGACGTGAAATTTTGAAACACCAGTGGTGACCTCGGTCTGAGAGACCGAATTTGATTTTGGCTTGATTTCGTAGTTACTATGCATGTAACTTGGCTTAAAATAAAGGAAAAAGTTCAGTCGATAAATAAACAAAGGCATATAAATGGAAAAATAAATTTTATTCTTGTAACATAACCAGTAGCGGTCCCAGGATTTGGTAAAGGGAGGGGCCCAAACCCGAACTTTGTCCCAACACGGAAAAAAATAAAAGAAATCTAATGGAAAAAATGAACAATGGGGGGCCCACGCCCCCCCCCCTCCCCTGGGACCGCCACTGATAGTAGCGGTCCCAGGATTTGGTAAAGGAAGGGGCCCAAACCCGAACTTTGTCCAAACACGGAAAAAAATAAAATAAATCTGATTAAAAAAATGAACAATAGGGGGGGCCCGGCCCCCCTGGAACCGCCACTGACCATAACTACATTGTTATACACACAATACAATACACAATACTAAACTTACGGGGGGATGCGCGTTGCAATGCTGCGCTGACTAGAATTTTCGTAGCATCAATGGCGGCGATGCACCGGAAGGCGGCCAATTACTTACGGCACTAAATATACCCAAATTTCCGAATTGTTCTTGATTTCTGTTTGAAAGAATGTGCAGTGGCAGCTTGAATTTTTAGGTACACCAATGGTGACGTCTGTCTGACCGAAAGGGTTAATTGTCAAAGAACGGCTTGCTTCATCAAGTTGTTCGTCTGGTACTAAACTCAGACACGCAAAATATTAAGCTAGCAGAACTAGCAGTGCCATGCGCTGCGCCGTTTTTACAAAAATTTGAAAAATACTTTTCGTCGGTCTGAGAGACCGTGCGTCACCACTGAAGGGTTAATGATGTGAATGCGTAACATAAAATTTAACATCGCAAAAAGTAGCAGGTAAACTTCAAGAGGTAACATATAGGTTAAAAACAAGTTTTGGGAATTATGGGTCAGGTAAGCAGGTACCAAGATTCTAAGAAAGGGTGAAATACACAGGATGTGACTCATCTTTGGTGCAATAAAGTCCTTTTGTTAAAACCCATATGGAAAATTACATGGCCTTGTAGGTAAATTTAATTAAAAACAAGATATGTGGAAAGTATTGAATCGCCACTCATTCATCGCACATAGATTCTAAATTCAAGAGCTTTGATTAGCGTAATTCCTCTCCTGCAAGATGGGTAGCCCGCTCCTGGTTTCGAGCCTACAGTTCAATGTCGAAGACAATCACGGAATTAGGTGTTGTAACTCAAATTTGACGCAGGCGGTACACCAAAAACGTAAACAATTACAAACAATAGTATACCGGTAACACATATGTGATTCTCCATTGCGGTTAAACCAAGTAAATTTCAAAAACAAAGATTGAAACACAAAAAATATAAAATGTGGCATACAAAACACCATATAAAAAAATGCAAAAATTACTACCTGCATTAAACAACACAAAATAACAACAAACATTTATGGAGCGACGCGTTCACGACCGCCATTCAAGACAAGATGCCAAACGTAACCCCCGTGCGTGCTTTTTAGATGGCGCAGGCAGCTTTTTTCCACCTAAAAATTGCATGGTTGCCAACTCTCAAAAATGTATGTATCGTCGTAAGTTGTATATACAGGGTGGAACCTCTCACACGGGTATTTTATTTTTAATGTACTTTGTAGATCAGGAATAAAAAATGTAGTCGGGATGTCCCTATTACATTTCCACGTTTAAAACAAATAATCAAAATATATATGTATATTACTTCTGGTCACGATCATGTAATCAAAACATCAACATAAATTAAGCAAACATTACGCCAAAAGCGTAAACGATTTCAAACAAAAGGTTAACAGTATCAAATATGTGATTCTGCATTACGGTTAAATCAAATCAATTTCAAAAACAAAGATTGAAACTCACAAAAAAAGTTGCATACAAAACACATGTTATAAAGAAATGGATTAAATAATGCAAAAAATAACAAACATCTACGGATTGATGTTTTCGTGATCGCCATTAAAAACAAGATGCGAAACATAACCAACGTTCGTGCTCTCCAGGCGCAGACAGCTTTCCCCTCCCAAAGTTCTGGTATCGGCTTGTTGTGTGTGTGTATTTATTTGTTCTTATCTTTTTTACGCACAAAATTCTGCATTTTATTCAATTTCATTCCCGATTATGTCTCACGTCCCAACACATAAAAGAACAGTCTAACCACACGCTAAAGAGTACCAATGCTGTACACGAGAAATGAGCGATCTTGCATACAGCATAGACCACCTCACCAATTAATGTTGGAAATCCCCCCCGTTTTATTTTTTTTTACCTTTTGTCAAAACTGTATTCCACAATCCAGAGATCGCACCACCTCCATTGAAGCTGCTACACAATCTGAAAACAGATTTCTACAACCTACTGTTGTGTACATAGATGAGTTTACCTTGTCTCTTTGTCAGATATCCTAAGGGTACCTGGTTCACATATATTTTTTTACCAACCGAGCTAAAAAGCTTTTGTGCAAAATCGCGCATGTCAGCAGATCAATTTCATTGTGTGCACCTACGGTTGTGATTAATTTTATTTTTTGTTTGAAAAGGTTTCAAGAAATTTTTTAAGAAAAGCAAGCAAATCTTTAAACAGTGTAAATAAATAAGTTTATTACAATCCAAATTCCGCTATTTCGGCTTGTGTAATAATTAACACAGTAAATAATTTTAGTAAAGAAAATTTTGACTGTACTTGTTATTTCGTTTAGATTGTGATATTTTACAGTTGTACTATATTATTATTACGTCGTTTCAGCTGTTGTCAGATAACTTAATTGAGATTATCTTGAAAAACAAACAAAAAAAAGTACTTCAGTCAGATTAAAATGTACACTATACAACGGAAATGATAATATTAATCTAAGTCTGTATTTTCTGTTAAAAGTCTACTGGTGGAAGGCGATGCTTGTACCGAATTATCATCATCACTGTCGTCATCTAAACCGCTAAGGAAGCTATGTAAAAAATTTCCAAAGAACCCTCTTCGTTGCTGTGGTGGCGGTTTTAAACCGAAAAAAATTTGCCCAATTTTATCCAAGTATTGCATGTAACATGGATCCCTTTTAATGGACGGTTCGTATTGCTCACATAGAACGGTGAAAGTCGATAGTTTCTGGCTATAATCAAAAGTCAGAGGTCAACACGTGTCCGCATCACGGTACACTTGCCTTTCGACTGCTTGCAGTAGAAACCATATGAAGTTCAAGAGGGGCAGCAGGTACGGCGGACGACTTTTCCTTATTCTCGGATGTTCCTTTGTATAATTATTGAAGGTCTGGCTAGCCGTCACTTTATTCTGCAGGCACAAATACTGTAAAACCGCTTGGGTGATGAACAGGTCTTCCTCGTAACTAAAGCCTTGAGTGACTTGAAATTCAATAAGTAGTTTAGCACAGCCAAGTCCGTCCTTCGAATAAATATAGTGGTGTCTCGCGTTTATATAGTTTTTCTCGTTCCAATATACTTGAGCGATACCCTAAAACAAACAAGAAACACATTTAAATTTTGTGAATTAATACATAACAGACATATAGGAATATAATTTCCTGCAAACTAGAAAACCTTTGAAATTTTGCACGAACATTCAATGGATTAGTTCCCTAAACCTTAAGGCTATGATGTTAAATCTTATGAAAGATTCTTGGGAACTCTTTGATGCTTAAGGCCCTTCAATGAACCATAAAGGCTTTAAAGATCGGAAAGGACGCATAAAAACTTTTGAAGGTGCATCTCTTAAACACTATTGAAGAGTAGACTAGGACTCTTTAAAGGCTCAAAGGTTAATAAATGCTATTAAAGATACCCTTGAAAACGTAAATGTAAGCTTTACTTAAAAGGCTTTCATGACACACTGCCATCTATTGACTTATTAGTGATGTTGGTTGCCTAATTTACGAAAATTTCATTTTTATAGCGCAGACAATTTTCTCTCGAGAAATATGCTAAAAAGTTCATGCATGAACTTAACACTCTGTATATAAATTACTCATAATGATAGAAATAGCGGTGTCAATGGTGAGACAAATATACCAATATAGGGCTAGTAAGCGATCAATTAATCAACCTTTACGAAACTAATCATACCTGATGTAAAAACGGATGCCCCTGTGTCTTACCACCCTTGGCGGACCAACGAATAGCACTCGCTATAAACGTATCTCTTTCAGGATATGTCGTACTAATCTTTGCGAATATTTTACACAACTTCGGTGTCCACTCTGTATAATTAGTCGAATCCGACTTGACTAGAACCTCAACTAATAATATCGCCAAATCTGCGCCGCTAATTTGCTAAAAAGCGACCATGATAACATTGCAAACGGTGACACGAACGTTTTTCGATACCTGATCGCGTTCTAGGAATAGTAAAGCACCTTTAAATAGCATGTCGAGTAGTTCTTCGTACTTCTTCTGGGCCAGATACCTAAAATGTTTTAATTAAAACGTAAAAAAGGGCTTGAAAATGTTGATCAAAGGTGAGGTTAAAAGTGTCACGTTATGTTTGTACCTGAAGTATATGGTTCTGTACATTTGATGTGCCTCGTAGTAATTGCCATCTTTAATTGAATTTTCTAATTTTTCGATTACTCTAGAAACACCTCGGACTCCCTGTGCAGCCATAACTTTTACAGAAGAACCTAATCGAAGAAAACAATTTTTTTGCTGTGTATTTTTACTTTTGGTGATTTTGTGGACGGCCGAACAATATGTTGGCAGTTCTGTTTAATTCAGTGTCGCCAACGGTATATTAAAGTGCTATACAGTGTGTCCTACTAGTTAATGGCTTGTAACATCCCTTTAAGGGGTGTGCATAAAGTGTAACGATATGTAAATAAGCCGGAGTGATTTTATCTTATGCTTTTGTTCGAGTGTTTTACAAATCACACCAACACTTTAGAACCAAAATTTAAGAGCAACAGGTATAAAACAGATTTCGCCAAGTGCGGGGCCTATAAATGCAATTAGTTCTGGTTCTTTTCTATTCCGGTTCCAAACTAATTTTTGACTATGTCGCTATTATATTTTCGGAAGAAATTCTCATTCCGGAGTGATGAATGTATAGAAGTCTCCGCCAAGGCGAAAGAATTGTCTGGGGTCAGAAGGAGAAGCGGGATTTTATCACGTGTTCGATATAATAGTTTTTTTTACCTATTCCGCCTATTCGTATTTCTCCGGACATTGCTCATGCTTGCTTGACGGATCTTAGCAACCTTTCCCAACAACATTCCATATAAGGCGCTCTGGGTGTGTTGAATTACCACTTTCTTCCATGTTGAATCGAATTGATTGTTGCCTGAATTTTGTTTTGAACCGGCAGCGATTTTGGCGTACCAATGAAATTTGTATCGCGATTCTAACAAAATTCTCTTGGGCATGGTGAACGTTTTGGTGCCAGTACGTCCATGTTGTGTATAACTCGAATGTATCGCCACCCACCTCTTTTTGTGACGTCTTCCTATCGATACTTCGATGGGACCCAAGTAGTCTATTTCGGTATAAAAGACAGGGTTTCTATAATCTGCATTTGAACAGCGTACCCATCTCTAGGGAATGACATTGGGTGCTGCTCTTCGTCATGGATATGGAAAGCGAATTTTGCAAACAGATGTCGGTATGAATGGCGACAATTGGTATAATTTGCTTGACTTTAGAACGAAATTCATTTTCTTGAGAAGATAATGATCCTAAGGGTGCCCCGAAGCCGTCACTGCAATCGTGATCTATCCTATACTTACAGAGTTGGCAACTCTAGGGAATATCTCTGGGGAAAAACGACGAGCAGAGCCACCTACTTTCAAGTCGCAACGACGGAGGTTTCGCAGCACTTTTGAATCTTAGTAGTAGTCGGTTCGATATGGGTGGCACGAATGAACTCCTACGTTATGTTATCGGTTCGTTTGTGTTGGGGCGTGAGACATAGTCGGGAAGGGAACTGAATAAAATGCAAATGAATATAGGGATTACGCACACAACAAGGCGATACCAGGGGAAAACCTCCATCGAGACGAAACCATTGCCCACACAAATACATGAAATAAATGACTATACACATTTATATCATATATCCATTTGAACTCGTAAAAATACCCCCCCCCCCCCGCGTGTCGCCGGAGGGTACTCACAAAGAGCGATTGGGGCGCCTGGAAGAAATATATTCATTGGCGAGGTCAAAATGCGAATATCTCGAAAACGGCGTATCGGAGGAGAGTAGGTTCCCAAAAAGGCAAAATGAATCGCGTAGACGCGGTTGGTGTGATCGAAACGAATGCTTAAAAAACGAAATGCCGAAGAGGACATAAAGGATAACAGGAACGTTTGGACGAAACCTCTCCTGGTGACATAAAAACTTTCAGGGCAAATAGCCTCAAAAGGCGGCGGTTAGAAGGTCTGGATTGCACCATTTTTGCAGTATTTTTATAAAGGTTAATACACTCGCTATACATATTCGACCAATCAGCGTGATGATGTTTCGAATTCTAACCAATCAGATGATTTGTAGCTAGTAGCTTTTTATTAGCGAGAAAGATGCACGGAAGAATGCGTAAAATATAAAATGAAATTTATTGTCATGTATTAACCTCCCTAAAATGCACTCGATTCTTTATTTTTAATTCGCTCAAGTTTTGTTGCCTCCTGGAAAAAAAAATTGAAGATGCTGATGAAGGCTATACCAAAACAAGGCTGCAATACAAAAACAAAACAATTACACAGTACTCTTTAATATTTACAAAAATTTGAGAATGTACAAATTACATGCTTGCATAAATTACTAAAGTAAAGAATGACTAGTGCAGCGGTACGACGAAAAAAAGACGTCATAATTCGGTTGTAATTTCGTCTTGTGGGCGAAAGCCCAGCTGAAGAAAGTCGTCCTCCAAGAGATACGGATTATTGAGGTACTCCCTACTACTTTTCCACTGGGATGGTATAAACTGGGAGGAATTAAAATGTTTATTACTCATAACCGGATAATTGAACTGCCACTGAGGATTTAAGGGAGATGTGAAGTTACCGCTATCCGCACTATCACTAAAATTCTTTAATGGTTGCCCTGTTAAGCTGGGCGAGGATCCGTAGTTTTGGTCCGGTTTAAAGGTCGACAACGTCGTACTGGCCCTCGAGTATTCTTCGGGATCCTTTGATATTGAAGGCGTCTGTAGGAATTTGATCAATTGGTTCACTTGACTTTGGGAGACGTCGCCCATTTGTCCGTGTCTGCGCAGAAGCTTCTCGGCCCACCTGTGCAAACGCTCCCAGTCGTCGGGAACCGCAAGCACTTCGACGGGACGATTCAAAAGTAAAAGTATTTTAGCCAAGTCTCTTATTACCGGTTTATACGCGGAGGCGGCCGTATTATCAGCCTCAGAATGTAACTCTCTGACTTGTCTTCTGGTATCGTTTAACATTTCTAAGAACGTTCTGGCGTACGGTCTAAAGTGTTCCAGTTGTTTGATAAAGTCCCGCTTTTCCGGCGAATCATCCACATCCGAACTAGTTTCGATAACGTAATGTAGATAGCTACGTTTACGCCTTAGATAAAAAACGGCGAAAGTCACAATAAACACACTAAAAATAATTCCGCAAAGAACCCCTACTAGAATTGATAAGCTGGCAGGTGAAAGACCTATGGAGGTGCTGGTTTGCGTACACGTTTGTCCCATATAATCCAAACTCTTGCTCCATTGAATCTGGTACCCCGAAGGACAGCTGTCAACGCACTTTCGAGTGGAATAAACTATCAAGTGGGGGCATTTAATGCATCCGGCGGAACCACACTTAAGGCATAATGGCTCTTGCTTGCATCCTGAAACCAAGGTACATTTAATTAGTATACATCTGGTTTGTTGCATATGGTTATGTAAACATATCTAATGCGGCTTCTGGCGCTTTTAGATTAAGACACGAAAAATATGCTACGGACGCTTGAAATGTTGTCTAACGCCGCTGTAGGGGACAACTCAATTACCCGGAAATAATTAAGCAGAATCCCGTAGGGACGGACGAGATTTATAGTGTAACGCAGTCTTAGGGAAATATTTGAATCAACCCCCAAGTCTCATATTGTTTCCTGTCTCCGCAACCAAACACCTGCACGCAGATAGAGAAACTGCATAGTCTAAAATGCAGTTTCAAAAATGTTAAACTAATAGTTCCCTTATCCCATGGTCACCCATGGAGAGCATATTTTTTGGCTTTTTTTTCCGTAGCTTTTTACAAGCTAGCTCCATGAAAAAAAACTGTTATTATCTTTTTTGTTTTTGATTACAATAAATTACAGTTATCTGTTACCAACATAATGAATGCGAAAAATTCGAACTGTCATCAACCACTTATGATCACTCGGTATTTTCCATAAATACTTCCTGATATTTTTCAACATTTAAAGAAAATGTACAACATTCGTATCAAGGTGTGAACAGTTCCTGGTGTCTACTTGTTATTAGATATGGTGCCTACATTTAACTTTCATAACAGATCTTACCTCATAAGAAACGAGTCATGGACAGACGTGGGCGATTCCACTCATTGCTTTTTCTATTAATGAACCAAATGGATAATTAAAACAACAAATTTGACCTTAATTTTTGTTATAGTGAATTTAATTAATCCATTCGATAGTACCGCAAAATAAATTGTGGCGACCGCATCCGTACCGTCAAGCAGAACGCTGCTGTCGCAAATAATGTCTTTCGCAATGGCAGGAAATACCTTCGAACTACTGCGTCTAGATCGCTAGTTTATTTCATGGACAATTAAATATCATTATATCGACTCTCGTTACTTGAGAAAATCACGAATCGATCGTTACGTTAAATGAAGATATTTATACATTTCCGAGTTTTATTTTGGCTTTCTCTGTCTCTCTAACGTCCTTTCAAATGATGAGATTATTATTCTTCGGTTGCTGGATGAGTTAATCGCGGACTGAAAAGAAAACAAAAGGCGAAACGACTTTCGCTTGTAGTGAAAGTCCAAATGTGCAGATTTAAATGTAATAAGCATATCAAAAGTGTAGAAAATAAAGAGTTTCACATCGGTGGGTGTCGATTATTGTTGTGCATAAAAGCAAGCGCAATAGACATAAAGTATTTGCCCGGTTGTAGGAAGATTCGCCCCAGAAAATTCGGCCCGGTAAATTCGCTCCCGAAATATTCGCCCAGTTAAGAAGATAAGCCTGAACTTTCAATGGCGAATATTCCTCGCACACGATTCGCCCGTCTATGATGTAACCCATTTATAATCCAATATAGGTATACTATACACACACACACACACACACCCCAAGATTTTCGTGGAATGAGCTGAAGTGACAAGAAATGGTGATGAACTTCCGCCGCCATATTGGAAAATGGCGACTAATTTCTCATTTTACCAAATATCACGGAAACGGCTTCTCACGTTTCTCGTGGTCAAAAAGACATCACGGCTAATTTGAACCGCACTTATCTTAAATATGTCCGTAACCACTTGCTAATCGGATCCCCCTTAAATATAAAATATGTAGGAGAGGGGCTTGTGACCGAAGCAGGGTACCCTTGTGGAGTTCGCTAGGGAAGAGCAAAATCAAACTGCAATGATGTACCTAAAAGAAAGATTCGCATATCGAAAGAGTCTTCACATTTTGATCGGTTAATAGTAAAAATGTTTACAGGGTGTTCAAAATTGCTTGTTTTCAATGTTTTTCGGGGATATTTTCAGAATCAAAAGAGATGCGGTTTGCACTTCTCGTAGTTACTTTTCAAAGATGCCTAGCTTAACGATGCCAATTTTGCCGTATCACTTGCGCGAACGTGGCAACAGCGCAAAAGTCCAAAAATGCCATAAAAGGTTTTGACTCATAATTGAGTTACTTGTGGGAATATCAAAAAAGTATAACGAATAAAAGTTCTGTAAAAATAGTCTCTTAGTAAGGGGGTATTTTTAGCGCATTTTCCAACTCATGTTGGAAAGCGCTATTATGGCCACAGGTCGTAACTAAGAGTTTTGAATACGTTTAGTCCCTTCTTTTTGAATTCGGTAGCCTATAGCCCTAGCCAAGAAATAAAGTGCGCGCACATGCGCAATATCAACTTTCTTTATTGAGATATCTTTTTGAATGTTAACCACAGATGATTCTAGTACAGGAAAATATAACGCATATATAGTAAAACTTTCTTGTTTATGGTGATATTTCTTATGAAATAATAACCAAAGATGCATCTAGTAAAGACAAACGCATCGCATATTGTAAAAAAACGATATGCGCATGCGCAAACTGCGCAATGCCAACGTTCTTATTTACGAAGGCATTTTTTTGAAATTTTAAACAGATGCTTTTAATAAAGAAAAACAGCGCATATAGCTACGACCTTTTGGAGAGTACTGAGCAATGCTTGAAAAGTTACTCGCCTTAGGGCTAAAACCTTTTTTATTTTTATATTTTTCATAGCCTGCTTAGTTTTTAAGATACAACACCAAAATTTGTTTTTGCATAAGTATTTTTTGCACCAATCAATTCCTTACTTTCTTCTAATTAGAAAAATACAAAGTTATTAGTATGTTGGATAAGAAAAAATTGAGATAAATAGGGAAAACTCTAATTCAGTCTTGAAAATGTGGATTAAATACAAGTAGGCCGTGGAATATACAGGGAGAATCACGTAACCCGTTCGTTAGAAGTTGCAGTTGATATATACAAATTGGAAATTTGGTTCACAGTCATAATCGACCATTGCGAGTTTTAATAAAATAATTTCAAGATGGCGCTGCTTCCGTAAATACCGGAAGTTGGCGCCATCTGGGGTTTTTTAAATAGAAACATACCATTCTCAATTTTTTTCTAAATGCTCCATTTCATTCCGAATTCAAAGCATTTAAGATTTGCGTGGCTCTGTCATAGTTTTTGACACACGTCAATTTTTCTCTAAAAATTTGGAGATGCAAGGGTTAATTAATCGATGTTTTAACTAAATGTATTTTAGTAAACTTAGCAAAGTGTCATATGTACCAAATTTGGTTCAATTCGATGCAATACTTTAGCCATAATATGGATAAACATAAAAAATAGGCAGCTTTTTTGTTATTTTGACACACTTGCGCATGCCCAAAAGCTTTTCAACGCTTCCTTTTATATCTAAGAATATGCGTACCAAATTTGGTTCGAAGTGGTTTAGCCGTTCAGCCGAGAATGGGAATCAGTACAGACAGACCGACAGATATTATCGAGATTTTGTTTGATTCAGATTCCTAGTGCTCCAAAACGTGTATTTCTGTCAAAAAAAGGGGGGGTCATTTTCCCCCCCAATGCACTCTCCCTTTACTAACGTGCGGGTTGGAGTTTTCTTAAGAAAATCACGATCGCATGCATTTGTTTTAAAACGCAAAATGTGATTAAATGCTACTAGATTCCGCACTAAAAAAAACTCCGCCAGGGTGGATATCGATCTCAACCCGTTTAGGTAGTATATAACCATTCACAGGTATTGCGGACGTCAACACGGAAATAAACCCTCTCATATTATTAGTAAACGGTTGAAGGCCGTCACAGATTTTTTTGTGAAATTTAGTCCTCCACTGTTTATCTTCTATACATTTTTCATTTTTGGCATGTAACCGTTTGATTTTACAGACGGATACGTCGCCTCCTTACCTCCCATTTTCCCTTTGTAAGTACCCTCTCTCGACATCTAATTTTCGAAATATTCACAGTTTGTAGTTTTGACTCGCGGCCCAACCTTTCACTTGCCTTCTGTAAATACCATTTCCGACAGTTTGTTGTCGGCATACACAGTACTGTATAATAATTATGATACTACAATACAATACGGGCCGCTTATAACAGGTAGTTGCTGTAGGATTTAAAGATTTTCTTTTAAATTTACATAGGTATAACTAATATTCGAGAAAATAAAGCGTGTTAAGATAAGAAACTAGTGTTCAAGCAAATAAATAAGTTACAGTGTTGCCGGTTCTAAAAACCGTCGCTACGTAGCATGAGAGGGGTATTTTCTGCTATACCTTCGAATGGTATAAAAACAGTGTGAACCCTTCGTTTCGTATTTTGGATTCGGTGAGTACTTAAGTAAAACTTGGATGGGAGAGCCTTCGAAGAGAATGTATGCAGGACGAGCGAATCTTGTGAGTGGTGTACGCCTTTTTTGGCCGGCGGATTTATGTTCAACTGTAAATACAATGCGAATAAGTACCCACGTTAATATTTGCGGGTCATTGTACGATCGGATTAAAATATTCGCATTTAAATCAATTTTCATCACGAAAGCGTTGGGGTGCATGGTGCAAAACATTTCGTTGCGCTACATTGGGAGTGGCTAGTTACGTTAAAAAAAAGTATAAAGGTTCGCCAAGAGAGAATGCCGATCACAGACCACTTGATGCCGATCCACAATCGTATGGTTTAATATGAAAAACAGACGATTGTAGACCGAAATCAAGTGTTCTGTAACCGACATAATAATAATAATAATAATAATAACAAACAAACGCAATAAATACAAGTAACGCAACACGCACTACAAAGACGCCCTCACCCACACGGCCTAGCACAGCTAAAAAACACAATACTCTTTCTTCTCAGAAACACACCACGTTATCACAAACACAACCCACTCGTACTCAACCCAAACGCAACAACCTTAACAGCACTACAGGCTCACAAAATACTGTAATGTCTCCACCAATAACCCATGCAACAACAGAAATACAACTTCAAGAACAAAGAAACACCATAAATACAAGTAACGCAACATGCACTACAAAGACAGGTCCATCCAATAAAGTTACACGCCCTAGCACATTTAAAAAACA